GATTGAATTCTGGTGAATTCATCATGTTTCAGGACCCATGTCACAAAGATGAAGTGCACTATAAAATATCAGCATAGTACTATCCTGTCTGGAAATGATCATCTAGCTGAAGCAGCCTCTATCTTCACTGTACCATCCAATTTCTAGTGTATATCACAAAAGGACTATTCACTTACTGGACCAAAACTTAAACAACAAACTGTAAGCCAGGGTGGAGGCCCTGAACCTGCAGTCCTATGGTCAGAATGTCTGCACAGAAAAGTTTCCCAGGGTATTCTGTGGGAATCAGGTCTTGCTCTCTCTCTGAGCAATATTACTGGTGCTTGCTGCAGAGAGTTTATTCTGAGGCTCCGGGGTAAGCTTATTGTAGGTAGACTTAGTGGGACATTCCAGGATGATAGCTTGTATTAGAGCTTCAAGGGGTTCAGTTGGTCTCATACTCTTTCTTAGGAGGGGAAAGCTGTTCTTTCTGCAGACATGTAGTTCTATGACGTGAAAGAAATTGCTTTCAGCGCTATAATTGATAGATAATTTACATCTGAAATTGATAACAAGGACAAGGGCATTATTTTTGTTGTAGTTTTCCTAAAAAATACATTGAAAAAAAAACTCTCATTTCACATAAAATTAAAATTATTTCCCCCATAGACAAAGAGAGCAAAAGCATGTTTATAACTTGAGATAATTTACCCATTGTCATATTTGAGTTATCAAATATGGTGAAAAGTTGTGCTTTTACTTTTAAAACTTACATTACTGACAAGTTTCCAGAACTTATGATCAACTGGAAACAAGAAATCTTCACAACAATGGCCTCTCTTGGTTAGGAAAAAACCCTGGTTTGTCTTTTTCCAGGAAAAAAAGGACAGAAAAAAGTGTGAAAACAATCTGATAACCAAGCTTTTTATGAAACAGAAGAGCAGGAAAGTTTTTGCAGTTGATTTCTTTGTTGATATATCAACAACACATGGTATAGGTATGTTACACACGTGGACAAAATTGTTGGTACCCCTCAGTTAAAGAAGGAAAAACCCACAATTCTCACTGAAATCACTTGAAACCTACAAAAGTAACAATAAATAAAAATTTATTGAAAATTAAATAATCAAAATCAGCCATTACTTTTGAATTGTTGATTAACATAATTATTTAAAAAAAACAAACTAATGAAATAGGGCTGGACAAAAATGATGGTACCCATAACTTAATATTTTGTTGCACAACCTTTTGAGGCAATCACTGCAATTAAACGATTTCTGTATTTGTCAATGAGCGTTCTGCAGCTGTCAACAGGTATTTTGGCCCACTCCTCATGAGCAAACTGCTCCAGTTGTCTCAGGTTTGATGGGTGTCTTCTCCAAATGGCATGTTTCAGCTCCTTCCACAGATGTTCAATGGGATTCAGATCTGGGCTCATGGAAGGCCACTTTGGAATAGTGCAATGCTTTTCTCTCAGCCATTCTTGGGTGTTTTTGGCTGTGTGTTTTGGATCGTTGTCCTGTTGGAAGACCCATGACCTGCGACTGAGACCAAGCTTTCTGACACTAGGCAGCACATTTCTCTCCAGAATGCCTTGATAGTCGTCAGATTTCATTTTACCTTGCACACATTCAAGACACCCTGTGCCAGATGCAGCAAAGCAGCCCCAAAACATTGCTGAGCCTCCTCCATGTTTCACCGTAGGGACAGTGTTCTTTTCTTCGTATGCTTGGTTTTTGAGTCTATGAACATAGAGTTGATGTGCCTTACCAAAAAGCTCCAGTTTGGTCTCATCTGTCCAAAGGACATTCTCCCAGAAGCTTTGTGGCTTGTCAACATGCATTTTTGCAAATTCCAGTCTCGCTTTTTTATGATTTTTTTTCAGCAGTGGTGTCCTCCTTGGTCGTCTCCCATAAAGTCCACTTTGGCTCAAACAACGACGAATGGTGCGATCTGACACTGATGTACCTTGGCCTTGGAGTTCACCTTTAATTTCTTTGGAGGTTGTCCTGGGCTCTTTGGATACAATTCGAACGATCTGTCTCTTCAATCTGTCATCAATTTTCCTCTTGCGGCCACGTCCAGGGAGGTTGGCTACTGTCCCGTGGGTCTTGAACTTCTGAATAATATGAGCCACTGTTGTCACAGGAACTTCAAGCTGTTTAGAGATGGTCTTATAGCCTGCACCTTTAAGATGTTTGTCTATAATTTTTTTTCGGATGTCCTGGGACAATTCTCTCCTTCGCTTTCTGTTGTCCATGTTCAGTGTGGTACACACCTTTTCACCAAACAGCAGAGTGACTACTTGTCTCCCTTTAAATAGGCAGACTGACTGATTATGAGTTTGGAAACACCTGTGATGTCAATTAAAGGACACACCTGAGTTAATCATGTCACTCTGGTCAAATAGTTTTCAATCTTTTATAGAGGTACCATCATTTTTGTCCAGCCCTATTTCATTAGTTTGTTTTTTTTAAATAATTATGTTAATCAACATTTCAAAAGTAATGGCTGATTTTGATTATTTAATTTTCAATAAATTTTTATTTATTGTTACTTTTGTAGGTTTCAAGTGATTTCAGTGAGAATTGTGGGTTTTTCCTTCTTTAACTGAGGGGTACCAACAATTTTGTCCACGTGTGTATGTAAAATAGAATAATAGCAGAGGTAACCTTGAGGTTTGAAAGCAAATTTCTGACTGATGGTTGTTCATGTCTCAGTAGGGAAACAAAAAGAAACTCTGGCCTGTTGTCAATTATGGATTTAGCTGTAACACGCATAACCACACCTCAGGGGACCATGCATGAGCAGTTTAGGAAGAGCAAGAGTTGAGATGCTGCAGCTGACCTCGTACTGACAATAAAACCAAAGGCAACCCAGCTTACATTACATCCCACTTAAAAATCCAGCAAGCAGAGTAGCTCAAATATCTCCAAGGAGGAATTTTACTCCTCCAGAAACATGTTCTTTATGTTTTATGTAGTCCATATTACTTTAGGCCAGATGGCTGAAAATATTCAAAATGGCTTCTTCTCACAATTAGCATATAACCAGTCTTATGTTGTGATAATCACGATCAGAACGGTGTGGGATTTATGTAATCATCAGCCAGCCATTTCTAAACAACCACTTTGGACATATGTCCCAGTTTTTCAACTTGATGTTGACCTCAAATAATGCTTATGATGATGTTATTTGTACATGTGAAAATAAAGACAGATTTAAGGTCCTTACGTCCTTTTTGTCATGCGATTATTTCGGAAGTCAATATTTTTTTCGAACCCATATCCTGTCAATACAAGCCTTGACATCAGAGACGTTTTCCCGTTCTGCGATATTGCAGCATTTTTTTTTTTCGGATCATGGTCGATTTTTCTCAAGTTTCGCAGACTGTGTGTCCACCTCTGACCAATCAGATTGCGTTTTACCACAGTTTCATGTGCTTATCTGATACTGGCCCGACTCAGTATTTGCTGTCATGACAGAAAGCCATCTCAACACTAGTGTCTAATCAGAACTGAAAACAATTGATTGATTTAATTCAGTTCACAAACACAGTGTTTGGAAGCAGCTGATCATTGCAAAGCTGATTGTTTTACCATCCTCTGACCTGATAGGGTTGTCGATGGTTCAGTCGCTTAGCTTGAGTGAACCCACAAAGTAACTTGGGGCTCCAGCCAAGCTGATTTGATTTCCATTGGTTATATGTGCAGAAGCATGCACACAAAACTTGGATGGAAACTTCTTTTAGGTATTTTCATGTAACCACAATTAATTCAATGAACACCTGGTATTTTATTCTTGGTTAGAATTTGGACATATTTTCTAAAACACAGAAACAGCAAATCCTGTGGTTCTTCAGAACATTGGTTCACATAGTTTCATTTGAAAAACCTTCATACTTTTAACTCCAACGTTGTCTTATTTCCTCTTACATCATTCTGCAGGGTCGGGAAGCTACATGCTAGTACATCACTATGTTCTGGACTGTGTATGATTGTGCTTGAACTGTTCAGTATGACCAGCACCAAATATTGCTGTAAAAAAACCCAAAACAATATTTCTAATTAAAACAGCATTTATGGTTACATCAGACAACAGCTAATGCTGGCATTCATTCATTCTATTATTAGTTTTAAAAAAAGTGTTGGTAAGCATTAAAAAGGGTTATTTAACAAGGCAGAAAAAGCGTTAGTCTAAGATGGATACCAGCAGAGTTATATGAGGTAGCTGTCAATCGTAAGTGTCCCCAGGGGATCCATGTCAGCTTGCCTCTTTGGCTGGAGAACAAGTTTCTAAGCTAAAATAACAACCTCTGCAGATAAAGTCGACTCTGCTGTGTAATTTAGCTAATTTCAACAAACTTCAGCTGAGACACCAAAACACATTTGTGTTTTCCTGCTTGCAGTGGTTTATTACCCAGCTTCTGATATGGTTCGCTGGACACTGTCTCAACCAAAGAGCTGTGCTGGCTGGCTGGTATCCCCTGTGGCTGATAAACTTACTGTTCCCAAAAACTAACTAACACAGCCCTCATTAAAAAGAACCAAACAAACTACTTTGACTTCATCAAAGCAAACCCATCGCTACTGCTCATAACATGCAAGCTTTCTACCAATATTACTCCTGAGCTGTAATTTACATTTTTCACATCATGTATAAACAGACATTTAAAAAGTAATTTTAGAAATTAGCTTCTTGTTTAATAGCAACATTTATGTTGGTTATGTCTATTATTGTTCTTGGTTTGTAAAATATGGAGGTTTTACCTCAAAATCAGATATCTATTCAATACCATAGTTGTTTTGCCTAAGAAGGCACAGCATTACTACTTCTTAATAAGACCATTTGAGCTCCAGACACTGATTCTGTGAGGTCACAGTGAAATAGGTGCTTTGTGAACATGGGGGAGGTAAAACATAAAAGTTGAGAGACCACATTTTCCATTTTCTACAATAGTCAATATGAATTGGTTGAAGTTGGTTTGGTGAGACACAAAAAAAGAGTAATAACTCAAAAAGTATCCTTTTTAGATCTTAAATGTTTATTGAGACAGGTGAACCCTCTCTATTAGACAAATATATAAGATGTCAACATTTTTATATGATAAATAAGTCAGTATTGTTTGTTAGGCAGCAGTCGAAAGTCAGAAAGCTATTGTAAAGACGGACAGGGAGACAGAGGAGTGGAGGCCTAAATAAACTTGAAGAACACAATACTGGTCATTGGGAATGCACAAACCACCCAGAAACAGGTAACACAATCACTCAAGAGTTCTGAATTATTGCATGTACTTTCAAAATTTACCCCTATACCTAGCAGAGCTTTGTGGGATATGACACACGCTGCTGCTGCTGCTCTTTTTCGGCCTCAGGGAACATGCCTTCAGTATGAAAAATGAAACACTTTGTCATGCCACTGACAATGAGACAATATTATGTTATTCTCTTTTATGTTGTGGTGAAAGTTTCCAATAAAAAGACCAAAACCAACACTGTCTGAATACTCTCCACGTTCCCATCTTTTTCGTGGGTCTCAGCCAAACATCCATTCATCTATATAGTCTCTCACACACACATACACACACACCACACATATATAGTTTACAGTACAATCTAACTTTTTGACAGTTTTAAATGACACAAAATAAATCAACCATGTTAAGGGTGTTATTCATTTTCTAGCAGATTTGAGCCTGAGGTGGTGAGGTAAAGTTTAAGTGATTGTCAGGTTACAAGAAGCACAGATGACAGAAGTCGGCTGAACACAATATGCAAACTGTCAGGCTATAAATGCTTTCTAGACAAACTGTAAATTGTCTCATAAACAAAGCTTAATAATATTCCACCAGTGGTTAAAAGCTTTTCCCTCTTTTACAGGCATGTTTTACTACTTATAAAGTCAATGTAACCACAATCGTCATCAGCCTTGGTAATAATAGCTTTTGGTTTCAACTTTTCAAATGTCTTCGATGTCCTGGATAGACCATCTCATTGTTTCGAAATGGAAAGTCAAATGTAGTCCACAACCATCTGTTGCCAGCTGGGGATACAGGGTTTGTCTGATCAGGCTTGACATAAGCAAGGTCATCGGCTACTGATTTTATGGCTGAAGTAATCCTCCCGCTGCTCTCAGTGGGGAGTGGATGGCCCCCAGGGATCTGCATCGAATTTGCAGAGGAGTTCTTGAAATCACTCGGCCTGATGGAACTTGCTCCAAGAGTTATGATGCAGAGGAATGCCGGCAGTGTCAGACTCTTTAGCTCTTCCCTTAAATGTGAGTGTGCCTGTGGAGGTGAGGGTGCCAAACAGAAAATGAAGGGCCCAAAGAGAAGGGAAGGATCCATTCCCGCAAGGAAAACAGCGAAAGACGGAGAGGAGTCAAGCTGTCATCCCGGGCCAGGGACTCTGTGGAGACTCCTGATTGGCACTTTCCGAAGGGGGCTGTGAGGAGAAATATGACACAGTTAACAAGCAATGTTAGGGCCTGTGCCCATTAACAAAGGTTTAATCAAAGGAAGTGCTTACTTTCTACACAAAAACAGTAAAACAGAGCATTTTTTGTATCCTCATTGGTCAGCTGTTTTTATTCCTGCTGCCAAGGTGCACTCGCTTGAAAAGCTATAAATTAACTATGCACAATTTATCACCTGCAGCTGACAACACTTTGTTGAGGTTAAAAATATCTGCTCTAGAGCTACTGCTAATGTCAGGATGGGATTCTTTTCCATACTTTTCATGTTTTCTTTGATTAAAAGCAAATTAAAATACCGGAGCGGTTTAAAACAGACTAAACAGTCACTACAAAGGCAAGCAGAAGAACTGTGAGACATTATTTGTAACTAAGCAACAGCAAGGGTGAACATAAAGCAGTCTGAAAGTGATGTTGGTGCTGTCAGCTCAAATAACACCTCCAGTGGACACAGGCCTTTAGAAAAAGGATACATGACGAATGTAATAAAGACTGAAGAAACTCTAAAAATGGATGAAAAATATCAAAAAATTTAGACATTTTATTTCACATTATTATTATTTTATTATTTTGCCTTGATTTGATGGCCAAAGAACTTGGCAAAAGAAAGGAAATGTGGGGTAGAGAGTGGGAGAACATATATAGCAAATGGTCGGGAGTTGAAACAGAGGCCATTGTGATGAGAACTAAAACCCCTGTATGGTGCTTTAATCATTGGGCAAGCAGTAGCAGTAGACTGTATATCTGTGTGATCCAGGCTCTGAAAACTGTGGATTATTCTGCCTCTGTTTATCTAAGCCAAAAGAGTGATAGCCCTGATTGCATCATTATGGCATCACTTTTCTAAAACCAATTTTCCTTATGGGAACCTGAGCGTGATCCATCAGCATGTGAACAACCCATAATGACCCTGATCTGTAAAACATGAACACTGTGTGCTGATTGTTCTGAGTAGCTGAGTATCTATTGCTGTGAAAATTAAGAAGTTAAAATTTAGATTAATTATGACGATAAGAAATACTTAAGTATTGCTACTATATGGCTTCACCGATTCAGTGGGTAATACCTTCCTATTAATTATAAGTTTTGCATTTTTTCTGGTATCTCATTACTAGCCTTTGTTATCTAGGGACTTAAACCTGTTGGCTGAAAAGAAGATTGAACAACAAGCAACAGCAATAATCTAAATTTCTGCACTGATCAGTCCATTCCTCTTGAAAATAGAGATTAACTGTTACTACCACTGCTGTTTTCATGTGTGAAATTCAGAATAGTGTAATTATTTTGTGTACACTTGTTATATCTGAATACTTAATACTTGAAAAACTGATATTCTCAGGATGATATAACCTTTCTAAATCAGACATCCACTTATGTTTTCCCTTCCGGATACAAGAAATAAGAAGATAAAATGATTTTCATGTTATTGAGAAACAGAAAGATGTTGAAATGTTCAAAGTTTCTCATTTTTCCTTATGTTGAAAGTCCAACTATGTCTCTCAGCAAAATGTACTTGATTGTTGTGTTTCAGTTACACTACATTTAATTACTGTTGCTTGAAAATAGATTTGTGAGAGGTGGCCTTTCAGTTAACTCTTAAAATCTTACTCAGATTGCTTATGAATACTTTCAAAATAATAGATTTTTATGGCATGTAAAGAAGTTAAAAGTAAATGTAGTGTTAGCGATCTTATTCTGTGTTCCTAGAAAACATATATCATATATGATATATCATATATATCAAATATATATATTTATGATATATCAAACATTACATATATACAAATTTATTCCTTCTACACCTCTTGTTTTTCCCCAAAATATCAACAATCGTGATTAGTTTTTTAATTTTGTTTTTTTTTCTTGAACACCTTTTTCTCGTTGTGTAGATGTTAATATAGTTTTAAACAAAGAGCATCAGACTGACCTTGACAGACAAAATTTTTTGCACTCAGAGTCCAAGTCAGGTGTGGCACAGGTGCAGCGCTGAGCCCCCTTGGTTTCAGATGCTTGTGGGCCAACATCACGTCTAATTCGCTGTGGTCCCCTGTAGCTCGACATCCCATATGGCACTGTGCGCCTGAGAAGGTTAAACAATCAGAAATAGGCTATTAGTATTAGTAACAATGAGAGATTAATTATATTTTTAAGAGGAAACCATAACAGCAAGAATCAGACTTTGAAACGATTACAGACTTAAAGACGGACAAAACTTTGAAATACTTTAACTCAACCCCTCAATCCGAATTAGATCACAGATTAAGGCAGCATAGATTTTTGTAAAATGCATACATCTAACAGAGAAGTGATTCATCCATTGCAATCAGTGTCGAAGGTCTCTATCTTAAACTTCAACTGAAAATAACATTTCCGTAAAATAGCAGCTGCAGCCAATGGAGAGATCAAGGTGAAGTCTTGGAAAAGCTAAGTTTTCGGTGTTTGGCATCCTTTCCTTTTTATATATTTTTTTTCTTTCGGCAAAAGCAGAACAGGTGGTGGCCATAAAAGCTCATGACAATTGAATCAAGTTCATGAACTCCATTAATCTCAGGCATGATCTCAAATGATCCATCACTGTACACTTCACTGCTCAAACTACACTCCTGCCATCTGGACACCACTGTCTGTGCATATAAGTGTCAGGTTGGCACCTCTTAACTTCTCTTTGGTGTCTCTCCTTTTCCATCATCTGTTTCTAACTATTTCTGATATAGTGTTGCTGACATCCCTCCTTCCTTAGCTGTGTTTTCTTTGTTTTGCAGCTTGTCTCCTGGTCAACTTCAGGACTATGAAAAGACATCTGTCAGCTTCATACCAGTTCAATCTTAAGTAGCTGCTATTAGTCAGATAACTGTCTTCATGTATGATGCAGAGGTCCAAAAATGCTGCCATCAGCCCGGAGCTTTAATCACCGGTAAAATAATAATCTTAGAGGAAAACAGCACTTTGAGGACAATTGAAAGGTAAGGGAGAAGTTAAAATGCCAAACAACAAACACTGACTCTTGGAAATATGATACCTGTTGTTCAACCGCAAATTTTTCCCAATAATGAGAAGCTATAGGACCAAGTTGTGGCCTTTTGAGTACTTCCCATACTGATCATTTATGAAACTGAAGCACAAGAAATGTTGTGCTCGTTCTGGGATTTATCTCCCATCATATAGCAGAAAAGCTTTCATATTAATGTTGTGATACAAGTAAATTTAACAGTCAATCTTTAAACTATGTCTATTTGTCCCAACTTGCTCAAGTGCTCTGTTTATCTGAAACAGCCCAAAGCAGTTTTGGAACCAGAAGACAGAAGAAGAAGAATGCTTTCCTACTATCTTGCCAAGGAGCTTAATATGTGGTTATTGGTAGTGGCAAAACAGAAACAAGAAAACAAGGAGGTGTTAGAAGATATATATTTTGAGGCATCACTACAATCATGCGGTATGCAAACCCACAGGTTCAAAAGACATTGTGTAGGCACAATTTATGAAAAACAGCTACTTTTCTCTGTAATTATGATGAACGGTAGTGTTTGCTTGTCGTGGGCCATCATCTTAAGCAAAGCAAACATAACTCAAGGAAGCAGATGGCAATCCTCTGGCCACAAGTGGCCTCAGGCTTTAGGTGATCAGAGCATAACTGGGATGGAGGTCACGCAACCACTCTACCACTCACCTTCACACTAGTCTATTCACAGATTCTGCATTGAAAAAAAATCTGTGGCTGCAAGACTGATAGAAGTGTTCTTTAAAGGTGTGTAATATCATCCACTATCATTCAGCAATCACCAACTATGCAAAGACACAGGCCTTCAATTACACAAACATGGACTGCCGATAATTAGAATAATAGCCTGATCAGAATGAAGATGCTTCATGTAAACATTTCAGTTTGATGAGAAATTTAATTGCTATTAAAAGGGAAGTTTGTGCTGACTGCAATTCAGGTCAGTGTTTATGTGAACACGTCTTCCATTTCTTCCTGGTTAGAGTTAAAGTTGTTCTTTCTGCATAGGTCTGCCCCATAATGTGAGAAATACGGCAGGGCAAAAGTGTGGAGGCGTGCAGTGACAGCTGTATTTTTATTCACAATTTGTAACAGATAGAATGATGAAGTGACAGTGGCTTTTGTTAACAACAAGAACAGGCAGAAGGAATGACTGACTACTGTCTTTGACACATTTAAGTGGAGGGATAACTCTGCACAGTCATAGTGGTTTAATCGAGATGAATGTTTGATGCAGGTCCACCCTTTTCTTCATCAGATCACTTTATTTAACGTTCAGTGCGGGTTTGACTCTCTAATCAGAATGATTTTAATCAGGTCAACCATACCAACTGTTAACCACACACTGACAATTTAGCTATGATTAATATCCTTGAACAGATATGTGTGTCAGATTAGCTCTACAGGCAGAGCTGTTGCCCTAAAGATAAAACTGTCAACATAGAGGCTGCAACTGTTTGATATTTGTGCACACTGTGGTAGAATTGTATATCTTATATTGAGAGGGTTGGAGGTTCGACCCCCAGGCCCCAAGTGTTTTTGTCCGAGACACTTAATCCAAAACTGGCCCCAGTGGCTGTGCCAGCAGGGTGTGAATGGGATTAGAAAATGCTGATGGGGGCTTTATGTAACACCTTCTGCAATCAGTATATGAAGGCAGAGTGAATGGTTAAATGTGACTAGTAATGTAAAACCTAACACAGGTAAAAAAAAAACAAACAAAAAAAAAACAAACAAGGATTTAATTAGTTTATTAATTTATTTAAATTGAACTTCTATGTTACCCAGAAGTCCCCCTGAGATTAAAATCCCTTTTAAGGACATCAGCAACACAGCACAACACAAGGGCATCACAATAGTCAGTAGTTATAAAAAGATATGCACAACAGGCTGTCAAGAAGAACAACAACATGCCTCTGTTGCCACATTCTTTGTGATAAACTTACAGTTTAACATCCTAGCAAACAGTTACATCTTTCTAGTTGTGCGCAGTACTATGTAAACATATTTGCATAAGTCTTGGTCTAAATTAAATATGAATGCCTCGTGACAAATTGACAACATACAGTGTGTAAAATTAAGTAACTGAGCAACATACAAATGCATACACCTAAAGAAGGCTGTAAACATTAATAATTCTGATTTAGAACTGGTCATTCTACTTTAACATGAGGCCTAACAGAGTACTCAGCTTTTTGCAGTTAGCTATAAGTGGACGGTCAAAGGAGCTTCAGGTTTTTGCTTCATCACATTGGCTTAATTTTTAACAGGTTGTAATATGACTTGTGTGACTTTTCTGGTCTTTCTGACCACTCAAAGTGCTCATACTTCTTTAATTTCACTTTGCCACATTCACTTATTTGTACCACATTTATGAACCGATGTAAGAAAATGCAGTATTAGGTGACCAGTATTAACTACTCCCATATATACACAATCACACACCATTTGCTTTGCCAACAGGAGCACTGTCTTGCCCAAGGACACCTCAGCATGTAGACTGTGGGAGCTTGGATCAAACTGCCAGTCTTCTGTCCCAACTCCAACACCAACTCTATTTTTTCTCCTCCAGTTAATGGTCAGTAAATATTAGCAATTCATGGGAAAGGAAGTCCTGGCCAGAAGTGTGTATCCTTAGCTGCAAGTTGCAAAGGGGGCCTTAAAAAACTGCTTACCCCTCCCAGAAACATATACTACTGTCATATCAAAGCTGATGGTTTCCAAGATTGCCTCTATCAAATGTTTTCATTATGCCTCACATCAGTGTTTTTCCACCTCCTGAGGCAGTTATACCTGCCTCTATCTCTGCTCATCCTGCCGCAGCAGATAGTTAAAGACCAATGAATCTTGTTCCTCTCTATGTTTCTGACAGTAAAGAGGGAGTATTTTCCTTTAGCATTTCCAAGCGGTTAGTCATGGTGGATAAAATTGTCTCTGTTAACATAATACAACAGAGTACAGTGAAGACTCTTTTTTTTAAATGTTTCTGTTTGAGGGGCGGCAAAAATAAAAGATGGTGGATTGAGAAAGTTAGAAGATATCAGCTGTGGGTCACCCTCAGTGCCTGTTAACTGAAACATCTGGGTTTAGTTTTACAGCAGACTAAAAGCTATACGAACGAGTCAAATCGACACAATAAAACCAAAGAACCAGTTGTGTTACAAGCTTGATTCTCAGGAAACTCCTTTATAACATATCAAGTTCAATTGGGTATGACAGGAGCACTTAACTTTGGTATAATCCACCATAAAGTAAATGAAGAGACCGTCTATGTTGCCAGTCTCGGCATGTTGTTAGCTTTTCATGACAGACTCTCTTTAATCTCTGTCCATTCAGCTTCACAACCACACAAAGATCTTAAGCTGGGGATCCTTCATCGTTTGTGAGCTCATGACTGAGTTACACAGTAGCTTCATATCTTCATATTTTAGCAACAACATCAGCAAAGCCTGACTGGTGATTTTTTTTTATGTCAGGCCAACAATGTCAGGGATGGAAAGGGTTGATTTGAACATGCAGAGAAAGCATTTAAATTCACGGAATATCTTTTTATGGTGGTGCAAACAATTGAAGTGAGGCATAAAGCTGCCACTCAAAAGGGTCACATAATCCCTGCTGACTCCGGAGACACAGAAATATCATATAAGATTCTAATATTCTGTGTTCATGCCCACTTGAACATGAACACAGCATTGCAGATTGTGGCACAGATGTTAAACCACAGATAAGATGTTAAGAAACAAGAAGTAAATAGAAGAAAAACAGAACAAGTTAACTTTTGCAGTAACAGTCTCCACCTCACTGATGTCAATATTTGACCTTGCACTGGGTTTGTTTTAGTTAAGTGAGGGCTTGCCCTCACTTGAACCGTGACTGCGTCTAGCGCCTGGCGCCTCGGGGGTGCACATCGGGCGGGCCTTGTTGCATTGTACTGTGTTAGTGCACGGCCCCGATTTTAGTTACAAAAAGCACCTAAGGGCTTGTGTGTTGCTTTTTTCAAAGTCATAATAAGCATCCTTCTAATTGTTAACACTGATAGAAGATGCGCAGATGTGCATTTGTAGATGTGTGTGCAGTTGTAGACTATGTCCCTAAGGATTTGCCACACAGAATTTAGAGACAATAAAATGTGTCCTTTGCAAAAACAAAACAAAAAAAACAAAAACAAAAAAACATGTCTTACTCGGGAGTGTTGATCCAAATGATGTCCAGGTGGCAGTAGTAGACGCACTCTTTATCCTTGTAGGAATAACAAGTGCAGCGCTTTGGTCTTGATTTTGCTTCTGTTGCCTCAGCCAGATGTGAACCTTCTGGTCCTCCAGAGCCGGACACCTTGTCAAAGTCCCGAGGACGACTGGGGTTGATCTCGTATGTCAACACACCTTGTATTGCACAAGAAAAATGTTATAAGTAAGGTACTTTACAAAAATGACCAAATGACTGAGATATCAATATATTCCAGTGCGTAAAACAGACGTTTGCAACTTGCATCAAACTTACCTTGAAACAGAATCACTGCCAATATTTCAAAAATCATAACTCTCGCGAGGATGAACAGTATCCTTTCCATGTCAGACAATCCAAAATAAAATCATAGCCTGGTGAGGATGCGGCGCACGCGTCAGATTAATCGCCCTCTGGCACAGACTGACGATCCATTAACTTCAGTATAGATGTCCGTGTAAAGTCCATATTTATTGCTGCAGTCCGGGCCCCAAATAACGGATCAGAGGATGTTTGTGTCCTCGCAGCACCGTGTCATTAATCCAACCTGTACCTTGCAAGTGATGTGAGAGGGAACTGCAGTTTTCTGCAAACCTGCTGCCGCACAACCACAGAAAAAAGCGCGGTGAAAAGTTACAAATAATAACAGTCAGTACAGATGACAACAGTTCATACAGCAATGCTCCTCAAGGTCCATTCGCAGACTAAAATGCCCCAATCAAAGGTGTAGGGATTTACAGAGTCTCGGGTACACGCCCACACGTCCCATAACACCCCTTTGTGTAAGACAGCAGCACCACTGCAGCCTGAGATAAATTACTCCTCATGAGTTTCTGTCAGTGCATGTACATGATTCTTATCTTGTGGTTAAAAACGTAAAAAAGAAACATTACTTCCGCTTGACATAATGGATTCGTGGGTCATTGATTGATCATCCATGCTGTACTATTTCATCACAAAACCCCAAAACTCGCACACTCTGTGATGACTGCCTCCCCCAAAACAGCACAGGTGCCCTCTTGCATTATTTTGAGTTTGTGTATGGGTATATTTTTAGCAATTTTAAGTATTTTTATTTTGACTTATTTTTAAGGGAAGCACGGAAGCCTATAATTTTCATTTTACACAGCATCAGTCACTGAGAAGAAAAATAACTACAAATATAAAATGTTAAACCTGTTACATATACCAATTTAGTTGGACAATGCTGTGACTGCAAATAGGGAACTGTGTGTGCCACAGCTCTGGGGGGGAAAAAATCTCATTACACTTAATATAAGTTACAATGACCTGATGGGCCCAAATGTATGAATCCTTTTATAAAGATACCAAGACAAGTTTTCTTCATAATAAATTGTTTGCTTCATTTGCAGCCATCTGTACTCATTGAAAACAATTAAGTCCTTATGTTTCACCACACAGGATTGGTGCAGAGTCAGAATCACTCCACGCATCAATACTGTTGGTTACACTTTACAAAATTAGGGGTCATATCTCATATCTCTTATTGTTTGATTTCTACTCAAGTGAATGTGTAATTAAAGTAACAACACTTTTACTTGAGCACTCTGGCTCTCAGCCCTGGTAGTGGCTCAGTCTACAACAAAGATTGTGGCGAGCCCTGGGGTACCCTTTAAATTAAGAAAAATTTGAGGCAGAACTCTATTTGTTGCCCTGCAGCCAGACATTAGTTAACCTCTCGGTGCCTCTGAGTAGTTTAATGAGAAACAATAGATAATGGTCCCTGTATGTCCATTTTCTAGAGGGGTAGTACTCTTAGAGACACATCAAAAATACAGTTTTAGAACCAATTTACTACAGCATCATAGTAAGCATCATGAGTCATGAGTCTGCAGTCCTGCCGCTTTACACACTCACACTCACAAAAGGAAATCTACAATCCATGAGTATGCAAAGGTAATCTTACCTCCACATGTAAACTGCTTTATGTTACATAACAGCCAGGGTGGAGATTACTTTAGCTTACCCAAAAGCACAACATGCCTAGGCAATGAAACTTTAAAGGAGATGCCTCAGTCCACGCTACTTTAACCTAGAAGGAAATGCTTTGATGCCTGTTTCAGGAACGTTCATATGTTCTTCAAGCTTGAAGCCTAAGTTCGCATACTTTTAAGGATCAACTCTTGTAATAGTTTTCCAGCCCAGAAAAACAAATCCATCATTATTCTTTGGGTGTAGGGCGGCTGTTTTAAGTTTGTAATCCCACTTATCTGGACCAACACACCTTTGGGCCATCCACATACAGTGCTGCTTACTCCAGTCAGCACTGCTTTCATAAAAAAGAATCAATTACTTGCATGCAATGGTTGTATTTGGCTTATGGCTCTGTTCTGAGAGCTCCCTGCCCTCCACGTGCTTACATGGAACACTAAAGCCTACAGCTGGGACAGCACAACCCCCCTCTACCTAATGTGCATACATGAAAAGCCAAAGGCAGGGAGAGAAGCAGCAAAGATCCTGGGGCAGAGCAGTCGCCAGTGACAATACATGTGGAAAAAAAAAACAGCAGAATAGGAAGGCGCTGGAGTGGAGGTGGGTTTTAAATCAGTTGTGGAGAAAGCAGCAAGAGACAGCAGGTTGAAGAAGGAGAAATAGATCACCTGTTTTGACATTTTATATTTAGATGTGTGGAATCAGCTGAGCTGTCAGCTGATACAGGCTGGCATTGCAGCTGATGTGAATGATGTGGTTCGCGCTTGAACCAGTGTTCTTATTGACAAATGCTACACTCATTTCTACTGACAAATCATTAAAGGGTAGTGTGCAGTATAGTGAGCAGGTGGTGATGTGATTTTGAGTCCTGACAGGATTAGAAAGACCCCAACACAAAATGAGACAAAACCCCTCTGCTCCTGGTTGGTGTCTTTCTCACTTTTTTGACTCACATTGCAAGCCAAAGAAAGAAGAAAAAGGGGGAAAAAAGATTTAAACAAGATGACCCAAAATATGGTGGATTTTCTTAATTTAAAAATCAATTTTAAAAAAAATAATGATAGAAAAAAAAACACAACTTTCAAGGCTGTAGTGATTATCACAACTACTTAGGTTTAGGTAACTTTGTACAGATCAACAACTTAAGAATGAATCACAAACTTTGGTGCTCTTGCCTATTGCAGAACAGGACTCATGTTATTTTTCCCAATGACTTATAATAGTAACAGATACTAACGTCTTTGCCACAGTGTCAACAGGCAGAGGTAAAATGTTGCAGTCTCATCTCTCTTTATTGACTCTATATGAGGAGTGTGATCAGGCATTGCTTTTTCTGTTGAGAATAATGTTGGGCTTTTGACCAATCAGAATCAAGTACTTTAAACAGGTGAGCAACAACTATTAAACTTTAAAATCAAGACTTGGACAAAATTATAAATGGACTCCTGATAGGGATATGTAGATGTTCAGATATAAACACCCTTCTTTAACTAATTCTGACAGTTACATGCTTAATATGAAGAGGGGATTTTAATCTTAATGGGCAAATACCAGCACAACAAGTACATCCCAACAAAGGGCATTCACAAACTCCCCAGGGATAGAGGTGAAAACACCAAATCCTGAATAAAAACACAGAAACACAGCACACAATGCCTTTACTTTTTGAAAACATCAAATTAAATCTTCTATTTCATCCTGCCTGCAAGTGGTGTAGCCAATAAACTGTTCTTTGGAAGAAGATCCTACTCTAGTTACTTCTTTGAAAATCCTCTCTTTCTCAATGAGATGCTGTGGGTCACTGATCATGGCTTCTGATTATGAAGTTGATTTTTGAAAACAACAGGCCAACTACACAGTGTTACATGGGATTTTGCAATTCACCTTGATGTTGACACCAAACCTCATCTGAACAACTATTTAAAAATCAAGATATAGAGGTGCACTGTTCAATCACGACCTGGTGAAGTTCTATTAGTGATCCTGGCCATTAACAGAGAGTCGATCAGACAGTTTAACTGTACACATAAAGTACTTTGAACCTCATCTAACACAGGAACCCAAAGTATAAATGTCAGATCTACTACTCAGCTGCATGAATAGGTGCAGGTGTATTGTTCTTCATCTGCCACAAAAAAAAATGAAACCAGATTCTTGGTTCTACATTCTTGGTGTGTTGCCTTTGACTCAGTTGTTTACTGTCAATATAGGACTACAGAGATTTCAATGTAATCGTTATAGACAGATGAGATAGGACTACAACCTGCTCTTGCATGATGCTCAATCCAAAAGACATACCAAACACATCTGCCAGCAACAGAGAAGTAAGAGGCGACGCAGACAGATGGTTAAACCAGAAGAACAAAGGTGTTCCTCTTCAAAGATCCAAACTAAGGAATGTTGTTGACTCTGGTAAAATTTACTGCGTGTTTCTGGAGGTAGAATTATTGCGAAACAGGTGAAAAATTTATCATGGCTGCAATTCAGGCCTGGCAGAGCAGCACAAGAAGTCTGAGGTGATGTATGAGAGATGAAGACATCAAGCAGACAGTGACTGATTTGCAACCGCATATAAAAAGCCAATCACATTTCAATGAAAAGCATGCCCAGCCTTGCTCCCGACACACTCCATGTTAAACGTTTCAGGGGATATTTTAAAAGCTAGAATACACAAGCTAAAATTAATGAAATGTGTCTAGATCCCTTCTTGAAAATAATAAAGTCTGACTTAGACTATTTTATCTTTTCTGTTAATTAAACCACCATGTGTTATGAGCCTAGTTCAAGTTCACAAAGGCTGCCTAATGAAATCATGTGGCTGCTCTTTTGGGATCTGAAGAAAATGTGCATATATGAACTGTGGACGAGTTTACAGGAGGTTTTAGCAGAGTGCACCTACAGCTCAGTCCAGATCACTGGTATGAAAACAAACATACCTCACAGAGCCTCTAACCCCAATTTCCTCTCACTTTTCATTGCCTCTTGGGGCGATTATTACTATCAAACAGATGACTGTAGTAAATGCCTTTACAAAGGAAAGCTGTTAATCTCGTCTTATTTCTGTCATGTTCTCATGTGACTGTAATATTGTTCATCTCTTATGGAAATAATTCTCCTAAGATGAACAAACAGATGTAGGATAAAAATCTGTTTCAATATGAATATTTGTATGAAAAGATCAAGTCTCTCCTGCTGAGCTCAAGGTACACAAGCACCAGGAGAAATCCATACATCCATGGGAAGATTTTGATTCAGATACCTTGGCATGCTCATCAAAAGTCCCACACTGTTTATACTGTAGGGTTTACTGTCTTAGTTTTGTACTGTATCTGTTCTGGATTTGCACTTTTGCTCCTGAGGCATCCAGCACTTCAAATCTAGATCCCTCTGACTCACCACTGCCCTCTGGTTTCTCCCCAAATTCCCTCAGGATAAGGTTTTGTGCCATACCCCAATTCTCTGGCACAGTTCCCAGCTGAGCAACAGAGAAATTCCACATAAATGAAAACCGTATTCTGTTTTCCTATCCCTGACCTAAGATGTTTTGTCAGGAAAGTCGATTGCATGTGGTTTCCTCAGTCATGTGATTCACTTATGCTCTCAATGTGTCATTTTGGACGTGTCTGAAAGAACCTGGCCTTATGATCGGTGTGAGTTAGAGTGTTTGGCAGAGACCAGCATGTCAATAAAATAGAATGAGGTGTAAAAGTTAAAAGTAAGCTTTATTTAATAACACCTCTCACACTTTAATCTCACTGCATTATGCAACCTGTTTTATGGCTTCAATGGTTTCCCATGTGTTCATTAGTGGAACCATTATCTACACTAAGATGCCAAGTTTTCCTAACAGAAAATATGTGGTATTTCCACCCCCCACCCCCACCCCTTCTGTAGTTTCTTTTGCTTTAACAACTAGTCGAACATATGGTTTCACAGCACAACATACAATATTGGGCTGTATGTTCACTGTCTGCACACCAACATCTGCTTGTGCACTGATTGCAACCACCCTTAATCCACTCAGCAGAGGGTAGCGCAATGCAACAGGTCTACTCTGAGCTTAACTGGGAGACAACTGGGAATGTAATTCATTTTAGAGGGACTTCAGCTGCCACTTGGTGCATGTTTTTCTTGGCCTCCTCTCGTGTTTTATTAGAAAACATTTTGGGTGTGCAAGCCTGGTGTGGGATTTGAGGACTCATTACCCTGTTGTGCTGTGGAGCTACCCAGGTATGAAGCACAGAAACAATAAACAGGTGGCATTAAAATCCCAGTTGGTGGAGATATGTTGGCATGCTTAAATAAATGTGAATAACTGTTACATAAAATCCCTTTTAGGGTTAAAAGGCTGCACTTGAATAAATATACTGCCCTTATAAACAGAAAAAAACCCTGCACAATCTTTAGACTATTCCAGATCAATCAATAAAACACTCAATGTGTTTTTGGTTAAGTCACATCTCTCCAAACTGTACTAACTGTACCTTTTTAAAGGTATTTACAGAGAAATATTGCCTGCTTACAGAATGGACAGTAAGCCTAAATTCTGATGAACCGTGACACGTGATGATCAAATATTGCTTCAGTAGACATTGACACCCCATCTCATCCGCAAACCAAAACACACATGTAACTTAATAATAAACTATCTAAGTTCCCTCAGGTCAGTACAGTCACGGCAATGCAGATTCTCACATTGTTTTGAAGTGGATCATTTCAGAGAAATAATGATTTTGTCAGTATTTAACTTTTCTAGTTTGACCCATGTTCCTTCTGTTACAACGGAAGAGGCAGGCAAGGCCCTAACTGCAACCTGTCACTATAAGGAACTTTTAAAGTGATCATACAGGGAAACAGGTGTTCCATCCATTGTACAGTCAACATTAATTCATCAATAGACCAAACACCACAGTGGCAAAAAAAACAACAACATTTTAACAGGCAAAAACCTCAAGTAAAATCAGACTCTTGATGCAGACCTCTCCCTGCCACAACTGGATTGGCCTTGAAAGACAAAATGACAGAAAAAAACAAAAAAACAAAAACAAAAAAAAAAACAGATGTTTATGAGAAGACACTGAAACACGGACGTGTTTGATAGGATGTTTCGTGCATTGGAAAGTTGTTTGACCAGAACGACTTGTGGTTGAGATGAACTTTTCACCACTCCAGAGCATCACTCTGAGGTGAGGATTATCACACTAGAACTAGATTGATGCCTAATAAGTAACAGCTCATATCCTGGATCTCACACTTTTCTTGCTCTATGTCCATTGTCAAAGAACATTTTGTGCGCATCGACTTATAGCAATCAGCCGCTGGTAAACATATGAGTAAGGGGTTTGTGATTCAAATGTGCTCTTGAGATTAATGCAGACCAAGATTGTAGTAAAAACTGCATCCAAACAACTGAACCAATAATAGACAGATTTACAAGAAAAAATGGATTTTTGGATTTATAAATGACAATATGATTGGAAAAAACAATGCTGGGACTGAGGAACTGTTAAAGATAATCTCAAAACAATATTCATTCCAAGAAACTGGTTGCCATGGAGTTTTTAGTGTTGCAAAGGACAAAAATATATAATGTATAACATGTGGTAAGCCAAAATTATAAGCATGGAAGGCACAGCTGCTGCCAGAGACTGATAAAAAATCTTCTGCAGGAATAACTGCCAAACCAAGAGCTGAAGCCAATACAGGAAATCTGCCGCAAAATAAAGGCTCACTGAAGAGTTGACCCCTGATTGGCACCTTCAGCTGAACCCATTAAGATTTAAAATTCTGTGGAGGCTAAGCTATGAAAGATATGCAGTAAATAAATTTTTTTAGGACTAAAGCGTAGTCTCTCATGACATGCAAAGCAATAAAATTGAAAATAGAACAAGTAATTTTGTGGTGATGATGCCGGTGGAAACCCAGGGCAAATAAATCATGTTCATTTTTGAGGACATTGTAATTATATAGTTTTAATGCAAAACATCCCTATAGACCGTTTAGAAAATAAAAACAATAAATTTGTTGTTTAAGAGAGGTCTGTGAATGGCTTTAACTGTCTTTGTAGGTTTGTTACTTCTTGAAAACTGTCAATATGTTTTGTTTGCTTTTATGCCATCATTGTATATTTAAGCCAATCATCATTTGATGTGGCATGTGCAGCAGATCAGAAAACTGATGCTCTCTGATCAAAACTGACATCCATAACTCCTACAGCATGTCAGGACTTGTTAGAAAACCAGTATTTTCATAGTATTTTAGGCTTTATGACAGCTATAATTTCCATGAAATGATTCATTGCCTTATTTGTATGTTAGTGGGCTTCAGTGTAAGGTATAGGCTCAGCTGGTGAAGAACTCCTATTACACACTATTGAGATGCCTTGTCTTTGTTCGTGTGGACAGTTTGGTGTCTGGCCAAACCATACATCCAAATTCATTTCAAGCCCTCTTAATCTCAGCCTGTTGTGATTATTTATGTCTAAGTCTAAAGTATGGTCGATTGTTTGATTAGTGGTGGGTGGCTAAAGGGAGAAAAAGGGCCCAGCCGTCATCGTGTGGGATGGGTATCTCGCCAACCTATTTATTTAACTTTGCAGAGGAATCCAAAGTGTAAGCTTCTCTCACAGTATTGACAAAAAGGTGTTTAAAACAATAAATGTGTATGTTTTTATAAACTGGTTATGGACCAGAAAGAATGATCTCATTGTATGCATTGCCTTTATCCTAAACCTGCCAGTTTTTAAAAAAAAAAATAGCAACCACCAAAGGATTGATGGGTGCCAGTTAATTTCACAGAAGAAAATTTTACGAGCTTCTTTCATCAAGATTCATGAACAGATTAGTTATAATCCATTGACTACTAGCCAATATGAGCCAGAGGCTGTACAGGTCAACGTGTTGTCTCTGTCTCAAATTGTTTTTCTTAAACCTCACAGTAAGAGGTCAAAAGTCAAGTATCACTCAGCTCCCTCAACTCAGGACTGTTTTCTCTCATTCTCTTAAGGTAAATCATTTGTTTTCCCTGAGGAAACAGTCCCTTGGACATGTCTTGTCATCTTAGATCATTCAGAAGTATGCTGAATGTTTTGAACATCAATCCATAAATACTAATGTTGTTTTTTCTGCTCAGTGTGATTGAAGGGTATTCCCTGTGGGGCGGGGGTGACATACAACACTAATATTTGCAGGGCAGTAGGACATAGGCCTACTGTCTCTAGGGCTTATTTACGAATTCAAGGGGCCCTTACAAAATGTTGACAGTGGATCAGCTTACCTTGTTAGGCTTTTAGGACTGAGCTAGTTTAACTGATAACACAAAGAAGTTGTTAGCTGATGCCTGTTCAATTCACACACATTTCAAAGATAAAAGTTAATGAAGATATCAACCAAAAAAAGTTAATTAAGAAAGAGTAAAAGTCATAAATGTTAATGAGATATGAGAAATCTAAAGGCATAGTAAAAGACCTTGAAGAAAAGAAAATAGTAGGCTATAAATCTACAACGTTTCACAGACCATTATTAATCAGTAATGCAAGGTTGTAGCACCTCCATGTGGTGATTTAGTGGTAAAGCTGAGGGTCCATGGGACAATCATAGACATCTTTAATATAGTGTAGATTAAGATTTACGGGCCTAACACTGGCCTATCAGAAAATAATAGAACAAACATTGTTAAATATTTGAATGACACATTGACAACATTCACAAATGTTGTCCAACAGGTGAGGGACAAAGCACCCAAAAAGTTTGCCTCTGGGAGTTTTTTTCCCCTTCTTCGTACATCGTCTTGTGTTGGCTGTAATGAGGAAAACATGGGCTGCATTCAACTTTTGCATAACGAGGCAAAATACGCTGCACACAACAACAGGACACCGGTACTTCGGTGATGTCGTTGCTATGACAACAATTGCCAAACACTGCTGGGGGTTGCTAACTACGGATTTCCTTATACTTTGTATTTGGCGTGGGCTGCCTCACGTGGAAAATTTGCTTCAACGCAGCTATATGTCAAAGTGCAAGGTAAATAAAAACTCTCGGAGACATTTTTGGTTTTATTTTTAGGCTCTAAAGAGTAGGAGAGAATCTGCGTTTAGCATTATTAGCACTCTAATTTAATCTGACTAGGTTTGCGGATATCCTCTTTCCTACATCTGAACTTCATGATACTCCAGCACCTGACCAAGTTAGAAACGGGTAACGCAGTGGACAGCCTTTAAAATGACATGTTACAGTACAACATGTAGCCTCATAACAAATGCTAGTTCCTTTGACTCAGGGAGGCACCTGTGTACCCTGAACGTAATGTGTGCGACTTGTAGCTGACATTAAACATCATTTGGCTTCAAAATAACTATATATCCATACTTGATAAACAAAATAAGAGATAATGAGGTTAGGGTATTGTTAAGAAGCTGATAATGCCACAGCACACCAGAGAAATTGGCAAAAAAAATGTTTTCCTTCTATATTTTTGCAGACACCTGGATAAAAAAATGGCATCCCCGGAAATGATGAGAGGTAAGTGTTCCTTAAATCTGTTGTAAACTCATAGGTATTCACAAAAGTGACATTAATGTCATTTTAGGGAGGAGAAGTTGTGTGCGTTACAAATGTGGCCAACTCAACACCATACAGGATGTCCTGCGCCAGAGACCAGGCTGGGTTGAGGTCAAAGAGTGAGAGGCTAGTCTTTTGTTGTCCCATTTCCTTCTCTGCCATATTTGTGGCTTGCATCTAATTTCTGCTGTTTTTTGTTGTTGTTGTTTTGTTTGTTTGTTTTTAAGTGACGGAGAGTGGGATTTTAACTGGTGTGATGTGGGCTGGCTCAGTGAGAATTTTGATAACTCTTATCTGGAGGAGCATGTCAGGGTAAACCACTTCCGTAACCATTATGAGGTGAGATGCCATCAGATAAGAGCTTTTAACAGCAGCACCAATTTTGAATCAAAAACTGACTGGACCCTTTTTCCTTGTCTCGGTATTTTATTTTACAGCTGACTCGCAAAAACCTCATGGTGAAAAACCTCAAGAGACACTGGAAGAATCTTGAAAGGGATGATGGCCATAGCGAGGCATCCAAATGTGATTTTTTCCCCTGCACTTTTGCACTGCCCAGCGAATACGATCTCTTTGTAGAAGAGTTCAAAAGAAGCACTGGCAGTACCTGGATCATGAAGCCGGTTAGCTAAAGCAGCCCACAGATATTAGATCCAGTCTTAAATCCAGCTTGGATGACCCCTGGAGTAAAGTTAAGTCAGTGTCAAATTCCATTCGAGGCATGAAAATTAACCAGTATGTTTTTATCAGGTGGCAAAATCTCAAGGAAAAGGCATTTTCCTGTTCAGGAAACTGAAAGACATAATAGATTGGAAGAAGGTAAGGTGTACTTATTGAAAACAGACAGTCTGCGAACAGGAACAAATCTTTTAGTCTGATATTTGGGTGTTGATGCAGGATGGTACCCGTTCAGAGGAACAGAAGGATGCAGTTCAAGTGGAAAATTATGTGGCACAACGCTACATAGAGAACCCCTATCTAATCAATGGTAAGATGCTCATGAAAAACATACACATTTTAATGTTTATCATTTAAACAAAATTATATGACCAAATAACTTAATACATCTCATATTTGAGAAATTGTGAACGGATAGAAAGGTGAGCAAAGAAAACTTCTTATCTGTACTTAAATTCTGTTTCTGTTTTGTTCTGTTTTTCTCTCCTCAGGCAGAAAATTTGATCTAAGAGTCTATGTACTGGTCACATCAGTATGTACTAAACTTTATCTCGAAGTCTTGAACAATATATAAAATGTCCTCTACACATGAATGAGTGTTTGTTGTTTTTTCAGTATGCTCCTTTGAAGGCCTGGCTCTATCGAGATGGTTTCGCCCGCTTCTCAAACACCCGCTTCTCCCTCAACACCATTGATGACAAGTGTATCCTTTTGTTGGTGTCAACATTCAGTTTTTTTTTGTTTGATGTTTTTGTTGGAGTTATTTTCTCACTATAAGAATATGTCATTAAAGCCCCCACATTGCACTTAAAACCCTCTTTCAGATATGCACCTCACCAATGTGGCTGTTCAGAAAACAGCGCCAGATTATGACCCGGAGAAGGTATAACTTTTGAGTGTCTTAAATAATACATAAAGATCCATGCTTCTGCAGATTAGTGTCAGTTTCCTGAAAATGCCCTTCCTTTTACAGATTCTACCTCTTTGTTTGTTTTTTTCTAATTCATTCAGGGATGCAAGTGGCAGATACAGCAACTACGGAGATATCTGACTGCAAAACATGGCAGAGAGACAGTGGAAACCCTGTTTAAAGAGATGGATAATATATTTGTCTGCAGTTTACAGAGTGTACAAAAGGTCATCATAAACGACAAACACTGCTTTGAGCTCTATGGTTACGACATCCTACTGGATGAGAACCTTAAACCGTAAGTGTTTGTATGGTCTAAACACACATAGGTGTGCTTATTTACAAGCAAGCAGAGAAAAATACATGCAGAGACAAGCAAACATGACACAAGCTTGACTTGCCCTTCCTAAAAAACAAAGCAGTAAATCTGCTTGTGTTTGACTCCAAAAATTACCATGTACAAATAGTCATAAATCTGCACAGCATATTTGTACATCTGACAAGAATGCAGTAATCCTGCTGTCAAAAAAAGTAACACACCCACACCACACTTCAGACAGCACCTCTCCAAAATTCAGTTTGTGAACTTATTGAGCTTGCTTTTCCTCTTAGATTGGCTTAATGTCGACCCAAATGCTAAGTAAATGTTTGGTGAATGTCTTCACCCACCATCTCTTTGCAGGTGGTTAATTGAGGTGAATGCCTCTCCATCACACACACCGAGTAGTCAAGAGGATTACGAGATGAAGTGTCGGCTGCTGGAGGACACTTTGAATGTTGTTGATATGGAGGCAAGGTAAAGAAATCTTTCTCATCATGTTTTCCCTTCAGAGAAAAAAGTGTGACACATTGTTTTATTCAATAATCATTACTCTCTTATAATTTTAAACTGCAAGTTTTTGGGCAAAAGTTATGGTGAATCTGAAAGTAAAGAACAAAGGTGGATAGAAAAACTTTTGACAGAAACTTACAGATTGTATCATTACAACTCTCACCTTTTTCTGAAGAGTACAAGGTGCTGTTCAAGAAATGATTTTTCATTTTTTTCAATTATCTTTTTCTACTTTAGCCACATTGATGCTGTGTCCTGATTTCCTCTGTTTTTCTTCTTTTTTTCCTCTGTTGTTTTCTTTTTTAGGCTGACTGGCAGAGAGAAAAGGGTGGGTGGTTATGATCTCATGTGGAATGATGGGCCTGTCTACAGAGAGGATGTCAACATGGAAACATTTGGCATTTCATGTTTTACAGCCAACACCCACTTAGGTAACAATACCGTGCTGCCAATTAAAAATTCCCTTTTTAAGAAAAAAAAAATGCTATGGTATTGTTATGAACATACCAAAAAGGGAAATAACTGATCATGTCTGCAAATATATGCCTGTTTCTTGCAGGGTGTGCGAATGACAGAGATCAACAACTTCGCAGGCTCCTTAAACCATTCCCTGGCCAGAGGAGGATGTAAAAACTAGATTTATGAAGAGCACATACTTAGTTAAGTGATGTATGTAGTGTTCAATAACTGATTCTAACGAGTGATCATTAACCCTGTGTAATTTTTAATTATCTAATCAAAGCTGAAAAGTAAAGATTCAAATCAGTGAAAACTAAACCTTCTTAGACCAATGGCAGATCTTCTGTTTTGAATCGCAGAGTCAAAAGATGCCTATACTACCATAATTGATGTTTTCGCTTATGTGTGAGCTTTTAACAGCAATGAGCATGCTATGGGATGACAGATGTATGTGGATTTACATGTACTAGTGTATTAAAACTATATTGAGCTGTGTGTCATTTTTCTATGTTCCAAAGAAAAGCCATTATGTCAGTACCCCTTGAGTGCAAAACATTTATTTCTATGCCTTACAAATACTTGCATTCAACATTGTGAAAATACATACCACAATCTTTCTGCGTGCTTGTCAACATAATGTACACATTTATAATACCACGGCCTCCTGGTCTCTTGACTATGGCTTTGATACTTTCCATAAATATTAAGAGGAGGGGTGCAGTATGAATACATATCACATTATTTACAATGTAGTGTTTCCATGAATCGAGTGTGCGTGAGAGGTCAGGACAAACAGAAAACACACTAATGTAAACATATTTTTTTGTAGACTTCAAGTATGCAGCTGAAGATGGAGGTGAAATGTAGAAGCATAAGCTGTCACAGCATACCTGCTATGATGTATTTCAATTCCACTTTATCATAGGAATGACCCAGTAGTACAGCATTATTTTACATTCAGCTCTTCTTTTAGCTCTTCTACATGTAAAATGTCAAACAAACAATGATAACAATAGTGAATACAGGCCAACCACAACACTTTTCAGAAATATAACTATGGTATACAAAATTTGGAAAAATATGCATTTACATTCATAGCAAACATTACACCGCCCTCAAAGATAGAAAGAGCTTGGCTCTATTCAAAATACAGTTCATCATCATAGACTACATTTCAAGCTGCTCAAACATAAAAAGCCCTTGAAACCAAAGGTATAAATCCATTGCACAAATATATCAGAAACAACCTGCAGTGCAGCGCTGCAGTACATTACTCACTGTACCTCATTCATTTCAGCCAAAGACGCTCAAACTGAACATGTGACTTAAATATGAGGCACGAAGAAAAAAAAACAAAGTAAGAGCACTGAAAACAATGACTTTTCAACATCAAAATTTCTACTAACAACTGTTTTATTAGATAACCAAAATGCAATTAACTACATTAAACTTCACTATGATTTACATATGCTGAGAGCTGTTTAAGTGGTACAGTAGATGCTTGTTTAACTCCTTTTTTAATATTTTTAGCACAAGGAAATTAGACTGTGCTGTGCAACAGAATGGGAATACATAGAAGCATTTTATATAGAGTCCCGTAGTGCTGAGGGTCATCATAAGCCTTCTCTCACCACACAGTGCAACATTATGACTGTATATCTACTGTTCATTTTGAATGAATGCAATATGTGTATATTTCTGTTCTACTGTAGTGTTTTTCCATATAAGTCATTGCTGTTTTATCTCTAGTCTAGCTGAAAAACCACTTGTTAGTTTCAACCTTTTGAAGGCTGTACACCACTGATTTAGACTGCTGTACAACAGTAACATGTTAGTATTACACAGATTACACAGAAAGCAGGCATAGCTTCAAGCTCCTGTACCAGGTAAACACTAAGTAAAGCGCTATACTGTGGGTGTATACAGGTTATTTTGCGACAAAGTGCACATTTTTTGTTTTGCCATTCTGCTTACTACTAAGGGGTGCTTTGGATAGAGACTGTGGCTCTTTAGCAGATCTCTTCATGGCAGTTTTAGAGGCCTGACCTCCAGCCTCAGTCATCTGCCAGTCTTTCTCTGCCTTCTTGAAGGTGATGGTCTCCCTTTTACTTGCAGCAAAGACACGTTTCTCTGCACCAGCAGCTTTGCTGCCACCAGGCTCCTTCTTAACATCTGTCTCAGAGTTAGCTCTGACGCGGCTTTTCCTCGCTGGACCTTTGCTGTTTGTGTTGCTTCCAGATTCCTGGGGTTGCTTGCGGGCATTGCCTGCAGCCTGCATGTGTCTGAGATGACTCCGTCCAGCGGAGGGGCTAACAGGGGTCTGGGCTCCTCCTCCCCCTCCACCACCTTGTCCTCCTGGGCTTCTACCCTCTGTGGAAGTGGCTCGGGTCTCACTACTGCTACGCTTTGCTGGTGCCCCAGGTCTGGCTCTGCGCTCTAGCAGTGGACTGAGCCGTGAGTGCCGCTGGTAGGCATAAGAAGAGCAGCTTCCATTACACAGTGGGTAGCGAATGTGGCAATGAGGGCAAACTGGGAAGCGGGAGTGCTGGTGCTGGACTGAAGCAGGTGATGGAGGGTTGTTAACAGGTGCGAATGGGAAGGCTCGCTGGCTTTGCCGCAGCCCCTTAGGGGAGTTTAAGCGAGATGATGGAGCAGTGTGAGGCCTGGGTGGATGTGCGACGGTGGCAGAGGGGAAACTCTGTGGTCTTGGACGGGTTCCGGGTGGGCGGCTGTTCTCTGCCTGCACTGTTTGGATCTGGAGCCACTCCAGTTGCAGCAGCCTTTCCAGGTACTTTTCTAGAGGCCCTACAGGTTTTGGCCTGGGGGCTCCACGGCCCTCTGTGTGAAGAAACACAGCCAGCTGTCTCAGGCTCCAGCTGTTAAAAGGAGGAGGCAGAAAGTCTGAGTAACTGTAGCTGGGTTTTTCCCTCTCACTCTCGTCACCCACACATCCAGGGGGACCTGGGATATCAGGTGGAAAGTCGTTGGTGTTGATGACCTCGGCTCGGAGGTTGAGGTGAGGAGGGGTACAGGGGGTACAGGGAGAGGGCAGCACGGGCAGCCTCTCAGAGTCTGACAGATCACTGGCACTGTCAGTATCAACATCTTTCTGATTGTACTGCTGTAGGGACTCCGGGGTGGGGACTGGAGAGTGTGTTAGAGAGTGTGATGGCAAGTGTCGCAGACCTGATATTGGAGAGAGCGGCAGGGAGAGGGCTCGCCGGTTTTTCCCCATCCCACCGCGATTAGGGTGAAGCTCATTGCTGCATTGTGACAACCGTTGATTTTCACGTTTCTCCTCTTTCCTGTGCATGGATAAGTGTTTGCGGAGGGGAGGTCTCAAATCTTCTTCTTCGGGGCTGGAAAAAAAGACAAGTTTGAAGAAAAGCTGTTTAGGATTTGGGGATTTATGGGAACTGTGGCAAAGCTTTCGGTAAGACTGCACACTTACCTGGAGAGTTTGCTTGTATTTCTTGAAGTGGCAGACTTGAGCCTTCCTCCTTTTGACTGTGCACCCTGTAAAACACATATCATATTTTTTTTCTAACTATTTTCTCTGTAGTTGAATGAACTGTATTGACCTCAACACATGCTGCATCCCTGACTTCCCATATACTCTTTCTGTTCTTGAGACAATATTTAGACCATCATCCTTCTTGTTCATCAGAATGGCATTTTCTCACCTTCTGAACTGTGGAAAGTGTGTCCTTATCATGTCCTGGTCCCGGGAGGCCATTTTTTTGACCCGTTCCTTTCTTTATCTTGTTCCCTTTCTTTGAACTGTGGAGACATGAAAGCGGCTTTTAAGGCCCGCCCCTAACCTATGTTTCAAACATAACATGGCATGTTTAATATTGTCTTGGATGGGTGACTATAAAACGGGTCTTACCTGGCTACTGGCACGCTGTTTTCAGTATTTTTTGCCCGGATCTTCTCTTTGGAGACGGCGCGTTTCAGGGTCGTGGATGCTGTGCGTTCCTGCATGATGGGCCCCATGTTGCAGGTCGCACAGATGGTATGTTGTTTAGGATCCAGGTCAGTTAAAAAATACGTTAGCTAAAGAACCCAGCCGACATCTCGGATCATGTACCCTATTCTTAGAATGAGGCTTAAAACACCCATTTTCTCAAAAGTGCTGCAATGCATCATGCGCAGATGTCGACGCTCGTTTCTCCACTGCAGGTTTAACGGGTCCTGTTAACCGTCGACACGCCTGTACGAAAAAAAAAATGATTCTGCGTCTGTTTTAACGAAACTGTGACAGCTGAAGTATCTCTATATAGAGTATCATCTTCCTCGCCATTAAAAATGCAATACGTTCAGACAGCGCATACGCTTTGTTTGGCTCGCCTTCCTCGGGAGCAGATAGGTTTGTTTACCTGCTGCTAACCGCTTGGATCGTATTGGGCATTGGAGGTGCATTATGGGAGTTGAAGTCAAAGTGCAACGATCGCGCTTTCAAATAAAACACACAGACTATCTCTGATAAATATATTTACAGTAATAATCTATGAAGAATTGGAGTGGTGGATCAGCTGACCCAAATATCAGGGAGGACGATAAAGAAGCGAACACAAATTCCCGTGTAAACCTTAAATAACTCAATCTCCCATGCGACACCAACAGCACACGGCTCCTCTTCTAGCTTCCTGTTAACTGCGCGCATGATTGCTGATCTCCATCGACCTACGACTTTGATACGTATGCCATAATAATACTTGAGATGGTCTGTTGGACTTTTAAATCAGGTCATGCAAATACTGCCCGCAGAAAGGACTCCCAGGCGCACGGAAACGCGCAGCTTCAATACACACTTCATTAAATGGAGGATCAACACCCTGCATCTGAAGAGTAACAAACGATTCATATCTTTATATTTTTAAATGATATCCGTTTCTTCTTTCATGAAAATATAAACAATGTAATAAAAGGCACTTTTCAGTGATCCATGAATGTTGTGAGTAAGCAGGGAGCTGAATGCACTGAGGCACGTACGTGCAGCGCACACGCCCACTCTTTTTCCTGCCGAGAGTGTTCTGTCCTGGTCCTGGCTGTTTTATGACCCCAGCACAACACTTTTGAGTGCATTTGCAGCACAACAGCAAGCATTTTTAGGTAAAACACTGTTATTATCTTAAATGCTTCTTGCCAGCGCACTTTACATTTGTGTCTGTCTTATTATACTGACACATTATGCTTCAAAACTTTGTTCACAGGTGAACAGGACACCAGCTTTCACAGACCATGGATAAAGGTTGGTTTATTGGACATGAGAGGATTCGTCCTTCAAAATCTGATGAGCAGTTATCCAGCTTTTGCAACAGGGTCACTAGACCCTGCTTGACTATCAACCTGACTGACATGCTTCGAGCTGACCGACCAAGTGCAGTAAAAAAGCCAATTCCAATTCGACCGCCAAGCCCCAGAGTCTCTCAGCCCAAGAGACAAGAGTTTCATCACAGTCCCTCCTGTGAACCACCACCTAAACCCATCATCAGACAGCGGTCCCGCTCTCTGCCTTCCACCACCAATAAGAAGAAATGCAGAAATGTTGGTGTTCGGTTTGTTGATTCTTTGGGGCTTGATCTGGAAGATATCAGGTTTTTTAAATCAGGAGAGGATCCATTTGTACCATATCATGTCACATTTAGACTGTTGATGGCTGCTGAATTAGCAAATGGCAAGCATATGGAGATATCCTTGCCATACTTGAGGCCAGTTTTTGACCAGCAACCTGGTGATAAGCCTGGTTTCCTGCATTGTCTGAAGCAGCAGAAAGTTTGTCTGGAAAGAGTCTTGTGTTCTGAACTGGGTGTGATGGGAATCACAGAAGTCCTCAATATGCACTTTGAGAAGGAAGTTACAGCACGCTTTACATTTACAGATTGGAAAAGCTACACAGAAACTAAAGCATCTTGGGTCTCCACCACCACCAAGACCTTGGAAGGAGGGGAGCAACTCTGTTGTGACACATTTCGATTTCACCTGCCTGCTCCACCGTTTTTGCAGCCAGGTGCGGCGTTGCAGTTTGCCATCAAGTACAAAGTGTGTGGAGCTGAATACTGGGACAACAATGGTGGAGAAAATTATAAGCTAGTTTGCCATAACTACAAGCTTTCTGTGCCAAAAGAATGTGAGGATAGCATGGTGCACTTCATTTGAGATGCTGACAGATAGAAGAAATCTATTAAGAGCACTTTATGACTGTTTGGACAAGACCTATAAAAGTGTACAACTGCACTGTAACATAAGATATTACTTTTTTAGGCTGTACTCATTTTTTTTTTACAAGTTTGGCTTAAGATAGACTATCTGTACAAACAGCCAGAGTAGAGCTGACTATAATAGAGCACTTATATCTGAAGCCAACTATTGTTGTTTTTTTAATCAAGAAAATGCACTAGATTGTTTGATTTCCCTGTCCATTTCAACAAGTGCACTTTATTTTGAGAAAAAAAAAAGAAGATTAATGGGACAGCCAAAGGCTAAGCCAACATAGATTTTGTGGGGAACTGAAACCTTTGCACTTCAGCCCAGTTTTCTTCAAGCTAAAATTGTTATAAAAGAATAGTTGACTACAGTTAAGATCTGAGGTCTTTTTCTGGGGGTGGGGAGTGAAAAGTGAATATATATGTATATATATATATATATATAAACTATGCCATAAATGTGAGGTTAACAGATCTCCCAGCACAATTATAATGAATGCTCATTTTGTTTGGCAATAAAGCACACTTACTTACACACAAATTTCAGCTGAGTAGATGTCTGCTTCGTATAATAAATGCATTCTGAAAATCTGAGGCAATTTCCAAGACATAATTTCGAAAACAGTGTACATGAAATCCCATCGACATTATTTTATGACTGTAATGAAATCCCCTTCGCGTGTGAGTAGGACGCGCATGCGCAGGCGTACAGTCCTGCGTAACGGCAAGATTTCGCGCGTCTTGCAGGATCACTTGCTAACCGAACACTGGCTAACTACTGGAGTAATATGTGTTAGTGTAGGATATCACAGTAAGTACGATTACTAGAAAAATGTAATTATCTAAAAAAAATCTCAAACAATTCCGGTACCTCTTGGTCTGCTTTGAAAGTAAGTGTTATTTAGGAGGTAACGTTTACCGTTGGTGGTAATATAAATAGGTAATGTATGCTAACTTCAGATGTGCAAATAATGGATGGTGGGGAGGCTTAAAAATTCAGCATTGGCTCGATGTATTACCCACAGGTAATAAGCTTATTGTGTACTGTAACGACATGAGTCGACATATTCGACAGTGTAATGTTGTCAGCAGTTAGCTGGTGAAGTGAATTCTAACATAGCTGGTAGTGGGCGTTGTAAGGAGTTTGACAGGCTGGAAAACACACGACACAGCATTGGACCTTAAGGCGCTACTCACGAAGTTAATTTCTGTCCAAGAAGCATTTAGTTTGACAGGTTGTTATCTGCACTTTCAGTTTCAGCCACTTTGAAGACAGCAGAGGTTAAGTGACAGTCAAGCTGTTGTGGAGAAAGTATGGCACCGGGTGGTCTCACACAGGTGTGTATGATAACAGCTAAGGTTGTGACACCACGCAATCAAGTCGCTGAAATATGTGACAAGAATGACAGTAATGAGTAAAGAGGAATCCTGTCTTTGTACAGCTGGAGAAAGTCATTGAGGAGGTGTTGAAGAGTGGGGATGTCCGATCACTAGATGCCTTCTTGCGAAGGGACATAACTGAATGGACCCCTATTAAGTGTGCCCAACGCTTACTCACCAGTTTTGATAAACTTTTCAGCATGGTAAGATAGAGGTAATCACACTTGTGCTATGATGTCATGTTTTTAGTAGACCTGTGGTTTTTCCTTAAATTTATTGTTGATGCAGATTTTGGATCAGAAAGACCTCAAAGCAGCTGGTTCATGTTTTAACATCCTCTATAAATGCGGCAAAAACCTGAAACTACCAAATGGTGGTGAGGGGCTATCAGGACTAATTGCCCAAGGCCTGGTCAAAAAGATAAGTATATATCTTACACATTCAGCTTGTGGTTTCTGTATATACAAATGTTCACCAGTGTTTTTATTGAACCTGATTCTGTGCACATGTTGCAGTGGTTTGAAAAATGCAGACAACTGTTGATCCAGTGTGGCCCCCGATGGAATGAGACCTTGTTCAACCTCTTAGAAGACTTCTTTGATGTCTTGATGGTGCGCTGACTTTTTTTTTTTTTTTGCAGTAAAACAAACTGTGCGAAATAACGATAGTGAACCAAGTATGTGCGAGCATATAATGCAAAACCGCTCTGTTTCCTCTCTTACAGGTGGTTCATGAAGCGTGCAAAGAGGGTATGCTTGTATATTAAGTTGTGTCAATATGGATTTTATTCTCATTTAAAACATATCAGAACTTAAGTCAGGGTTAAAACCATCATGTATATATTTTGAGTCCTTAGAGTCTCCGTTTGCTGTGCAGGAAATGTGTTAGTTTGCCAAAAATCTTTGCCTTTATAGTCTTAATGTTTCTCAAACATACATGTTTGTCTGGTGCCCTTGATGTAGCTCTGAGATTCTTCTGTTGAGTTGTCCACATTAATTTTCCAAGAATTGCGCCAAAGCTTCAACTGCATCATTATCATAATAAATTACACTATTGATGAAAAAACTAGGCTACAGACTACAGTAATGAATCAACACAATGTTTTATCTTTCAGGGACATACAAAATCACAGAGTTCTTCCTGTATCCTGTTGGTCAGTTGGCTGTAGACCCCAGAATCTACATCCTGTTTCAAAAAGAGGTTTGAAGCAGTTTTGATACAAGTCTTTATCAGGAGTAATATTAAAATATGATTAGTCAGAAGTTGGTTATATGATTTTGCTATGAAATGCTTACAGGCAATTCGCAAATTCAACTTGATTTTGGACAAAGTCCCAGCGGAGCTTAAAAAAAAGAAGAAAATACTTCCATCTCAGGAGGCCTCAGATCTCATGTAAGTCATGATAGTTACCCCACAATAAGGATCATTATTATCAATGTATTAATCATCCACGTTACTAACTTCTTGTTTATCATATTTTTGCAGGATCAAGTTTTCTGGTCAGATATTGGAGGGTGGTGGTATGTATTCAGTTCAGACTCTACCATCTTTTTGCACAGTGTGCTACATGTAGACAGATAAAAAGTGGACTCCAATCTCTTTTGTGTCAGATTACGATTTGCAGACAGCCCTGATGGAGGCTTTGTGCCGAATGGCCTCTCCTAACCAGAGGAAGGAGCTGGCAGAGCGATGGTTCAGCATGGGACATGTGGCCAGTGCTTTTGTCAAGATCAGTGACACTGAGTTTGAGACGGTAAAACATATGAAATTCACAAAAACGCATCTCCTGTTGTTAGTATTGTTAGGATTTTACTGCTCAAACTCATCCAAAATGATGTAATGTAATGTGATTTCAGGATTGTCGCAAGTTCCTGAACTTGGTGAATGGGATGCAAGGAGACAAAAGAAGGTAGATGGATAAATGTCTGTCTCAGACAACATGGTCTGTAAAAACCGAGACTTTAAGGTTTTCAGTACAGAGATAGTCACACATTTGAATAACAATGTCCTCTGTGCCATAGAGTGTATTCCTATCCTTGTCTGGAGGCTTATCTGGACAAATATGAGGTCAGTGTCAGCAGGATTTCTATGACAAAAACTTTTGTCTTTCCAAACAGCAGAACATGAAAATCATCTATATCACCTATACTGTATTCTATGGTCATGCCTATATGTGTTGAAAGTATCATTGTTATACTGCTAGCTGCTGATTCCCTCTGATGACAAACTGGAGGAATTTTGGATTGACTTTAACCTTGGCAGCCACAGCATCTCCTTTTATTTCTCTCTGGCTGATGAAGAAGCACAGGTAACTAGAGATAATGTATAAAATCGAAACAAAGTAGTGGGACATTTGGATAATCAATAAGAGATGTATGGCACCTGCCATTGTTCAAGATTGATTGATTTCCCCTTTCCTTCATGTAGGAGGGCCAGTGGGAAACAATAAGCATCACTGAGAATGAAGTCCTAAGCTACACTGTTACAGGTGATAAACACACAAAAGCCACCACTTTTTCCCACACACTCTTCATATTCTGACAGGCAACACAATGACATGGAGTATTTAATGGTGCTTCGTGCAATTATAACCCAGAGTGTTGTTTGGATTTAGAGGAAGGCAAGAGAAAAGTTTTGCAGTTGAAGTTGTCAGAAGTGGTGGTTGTGGGTTCAGTGGAAGGTTCAAGTCTCACCATCCACTTCAGCTCCTCCTTGGACATCCTGCAGGCTGCTCAGCGTGTCTATGGACACAGCAAAAGCAATGTAAGCCATGACTTTCAAAGCACTTCCTTGTTTGTTTGCTGAAATCTGATGAGTAAATGACTCTATTTACCCATGACCATGAAGGACAGTCTTAAAAAGGAGAGACAGTAATGATTTTAGGGGAAACTTGTCCACAGTAAAAATTTATATCTTTAATACGCATAATTTCTTCTTTGGTTCTCAAATATTAAAAGTTATTCCCCATAATTTGGCATCTGCTTTAACAAGCATCCTCTCCTGCCAGGGCTTTGTGAAGAAGACAGGCGCATCTGTAGCAGAGACTACCATTAACATCTTAATGGAGGAAAACAGCTCCCAGGTAAACAGCTGTCTGGTGTCCTAATGCTCGAAAATAGTTATGATATGATTGATTTGGTGTGAGGTGGTTTCCCAATTATATATGCAAAATTTGAGGAAACTACAGATAGTAGGGGTATGTGACTTTTCATAGATCGCTTTAGATCAGTGCTGTAGATTGGTGTTGACCACACTGTTAGAGTAGACTTGGCATATTGGTGTTTCCTGTTGATTGGATGCAGTATTGCTACAAATATTTAAAAAAACTTAAACTTCAAATCCTCAACATTAGACATGGCTGTGTGCTCTTACCATGAGGGTGCTAAACTATCCACATACACAGTGAGCTGGATGGAGAGGAAAAGTACTACTGTGGAATTGATTCAAGATGTGACACAAGTTTCACACTTGAATCAAGTATTTTATTTTTTTGCAGTGCAGCTTGTTTGCATAGAAGTAATTACATAATAGACACAAAGCATGTGCTTTGTATCCATTATCTTTTGACATCTTTTTGACATGTTTGCACAGGTTTAGCAGGCGCCACAGCTACACAATGTCTTTGTACTAAAATGTAAAATTTTCAACTTCACGGACAGACAATTTGATATAAAGACCTGCCTTTAACACAGGTACCTTCTGTGATAAAAGTCAAAAAGTTCTGTGTCTGTGCAAGATAATTTGCAGTAATCGTTTATCTGATATTGTATCAGAGGGACTTTATTTCTAAAAACTTTATTACTGCAAACCATTTATACTGTTCTGCCATTCTCCGTGCAGGTGGTTCCAGAGAGCCAGGTGTCCCTTCGTGAAAACACTGCTCCATGCCCTTTACCTACCTCATCTGCACCTGTGCAGGTAAAACAAGATTGTACAGAGAATATGATCAAATCTATTCTGTATTCTTTATTCCTGATTGTGTGTGTGTTTCAGGAACATAGAAATTCAACTGTTTAACTGTTATGGTTTGATGGCATTCACCATCCTGAGTAGTAGTAGAGGATGGAACAATCTATCTCACTCAAAAAGTTTCAAAACAAATCTAATGGGGTATCATGCCAAGACCCCTCCTCAGTGTATTTATTTGATGGCTGAACGTGACAGTCAGGTAAAAACACCTTAAGTGGTGAGAAAGACTAGAAAAATGCCACACTCTGCCAGAAACAGTCAATTTGAAACACACATTTACTGCATTAACATTATTATGAATGGCCAGTAGAGGGCAGACTGAGCAAAGGAGTTGACCATATGAAGTTTAGGTCATATGCAGCTCAGTCAGTGTTTCCTGCGAAACATTAATTTTTCACACATATATTTCATCGATATTCCTTACTATTCCTATCACACAAAAGGAATTGCGCAAGAAAATTAAAGAATCTTTTGAGCACCATGGTTGAATATCTTATTTGGCTTTTAGATGGTGATCCCAGCAAAGATGAAGATCTCAGAGTCTTCCACCATTTTTAGTTGCGGCTCAGGAGTAAGTGCAGGTGGTGCCAGATCCCACAGTGCTGTTACACCAACAAGTAGGTGAAAGACAGAAATTTGTTGAGAACTTTCATATCAATGTCCTACTGTTCTGTTTGTATTTGTGCTTTTCTAAAATGGTTTGACTTTGTGTTTGAAGAGAGAGTAAGCCAAGGTTTTGGTATTAAAGACACATAAGCAGTATGCTGTGCTCCAACAGTTAAGACACCTTTTTAAATCTGAAACTGGGTCTACTTCACACATTAGTGATCTTAACTTTGACATCCTTAATGTAACCAGAATGGTTTGGTTAAGAAATGTTCCCACATAGTTTTTCTAGTGTGTCCCGAAGAAGATGCGCCACACAGACTATTTAAAAAACAAAAAAGTTTTAAAACTTTTATTTTGCTTTTTAAGGTAATTGAAAAGGGTTGAAAACGATAGGACTAATTCTGGGACCATGACTATAATGTGTAGTTATTAGTGAGGATTTCACCCTTCAAAAGATGTCTGTCCAATGTTTTCCTCTTTATTTAGATGCTTCAGCTAAAGGCAAAGGGAAACCATCTCTGGAGATGGTTCGCTCAAGTGAAAGGCAAGGTGAATTGTACCTGGAAGGGCTCAGGACGACTGCTAGGGCTGGCAGTTGTAGCACAATTCCCAACCCCACATTAGCAGAGAACATAAAAGAGCAGGTATGACACATAATGAATGCACTGTGATAGAATACTACACAGACTCAGCCAAATACAAATCACTCACACTAAAGTCCTGAATTGTACCTCAAGAGCAAATCCCAAGTTTGACATTAAATGTGAGTGATTGATGATCTAGAGTTGAGAATGTTGAACTGTGTTTAATGGTGTCTGTGTGGTTTAATGTGATACATCTTTACAGGGCACAGCCACCAAACAGGCCAAGAAGAATAACAACAAAAACACAAAGACGGCAGATTCGGCTCTGGCAGGACGAGGGGAAGAAAAGTCTTTTGGTATTGTACTGTTATGGTGACAAAACTCAAAAGAATGAACACACTTTTTTTCTTTAGAAACTTTTAATCCCATCACTGATCTTTTTAGTTGCAGAGCCAACTTTTGTGCCTGATACCCAACCAAGAGCTGGTGGAAACATGTAAGCCATGTGAAAAATGTACACATTATTTGTAAATCTACTCCTCTCAGAGTGGCCAGTGCTCTAACTGGTTGAGTCACTTGTATTTTCGATCATACTTGATGTTAATAGAGTGTTTATCTTAACATAGTTTACTTTTCCAAAAATTAGATCCTCTTACTGGACCAAACTGTCAGTTTCTGAAGTATTCATCCTGCCCACACAGAAAATGAGTTCTCTACCAAGAACTGGTGAGCAAAAACACAATGGTACTCTCAGTAAAAAAAAAATGTGTCATTGAACTTGATTTTGTCGTAATTTAACATTTCTTCCTCTTTAGAGCCTTTAAGTTCTGACCAGCAGCTCCCGTCCTCAGTTCAGAGAGTGTCAGTTGCGGCTCACAAGCCAATCAACCAAAAGAAATTCCATGCAGAACTCACCCAGAGCTTGCAGCAGATCCTCAATAAGAAGAGCAAAGACCAGGTACCTGAGGAGCCAGCGGCACCCCAGCAGATATTGTCTGATACCAGAGAGGAAGTCAAAGGAAGGAGCTTTGCAGAACAAAGAGTTACTAAAGAGCAGAGGGTCCAGAAAATTGAGAAGAGCAAGGGCCAAAAGTCTCCAGAGAAAGATAACAGTGTTATCAAAGCTCCAACCAAGGCCTCAACAAGCAAAGCTATTCACAAAGAAATACCACCCAAGGAAAAGGCTGAATCTAAAAGGGCTCTTACAAAGAAAGAGAAGGTAAGATTCATGTAAGCTTGAAGAGCTTCATGTCTTTTGTAATGTCATCGATACACATTGCAATAGTTCCACTGTCTCCTGTTTTTACTCAGAGAGATGCAGCACTCGCAGGCAGCATGGTGAAACTCATCTCGAGTCATTATGAGAATTACACAAAGTCAGAAGCAAAAGCCTCGACAGAAAAGATCCTTCAGAGCTCAATTCCTCCTCAAACCTTCAACAGGTATACTCACTGATGTTACAAGCTGCTCATGGTGTGCTGTATTCAGTTAACTAACTCTGTCACTCATTGGCTGTTTTAACAGGCAGGTCTTCAGTATGAGCTGGTTATCAGCTGCTACAGTAAGTGATCATTGCATTATTAATAATACAAAGTTGCTTTGAAGTACTTTTCTACTGTTTGAGTTAATGAAAGTGATCATTTTTGCAACAGAAAAAAGAATCTGGAGTTTTGTCAAAATGTCAGAGCAAAACTTCAACAAGCTTTATAAAGCAAAGGTAATTTATTTCAGCCAACATTTTAGAGCTTTATTTGGATATAAATGGCTTTAACAGAATTGTGTCTACTGCTTATTTTTTTCTCCAAACAGAGAAGATGTTTATGCACTCAGCACTGATGAAGCAAAGCGTGTTGTGGTAAATATAAAAGCTGTGGTTTGTTTCCACTGTACCAGAGTGATTGATATGCCAGTGTTGTTTTAAAGCTCTTATTTTTCCTGATTTTTTTTAGGGAAAAGAAAAAACGTTCAACAACACCTCTGTGATATCCAGCAGGTAGGCCTGTTGTCACACATTTTCCCGGAATATCGTCATTGGGACATGATTTATTGACATTTACTATGAGACATGATTTATTGACATGTACTCTACTGTGTGGTAAAAACGGTCTTTGTAAAAATTCCATGTCTTGTTTTACAGCAGCATCAATGACTCCTCAGCACTCATCAGGACAACAAAGCAAGAACAGCTGGTGGCAAAAGTATGCTTTGAGTGCTCTGTCATAGTTCTTAGAAGTTGGAGCTGGTCAGCACCACTGTAATTTTTACATTCTTGAGTGCTCTTTCCATTGTCATGAATTTTATCCTTTATCCTTCCAGCAGAAGTGGCATGGGAGGAAGCATCTATTCAGTGACACAGACACAGACTATGCTACAACAGAAGTCAGCTGGCTGAGGGAGTCGGGCAGGAAACCCAAACCCAAAGTGACCAAATACTCGAGGCCGGCAAATGTCAGGCCTAAAGCTGTGTCACCCCATACCTCATGTAAGTCTCTGAAGCTGCACATTCATGTTCCTCTTCATCATCACCTCTTAATCATCGTCATCACATTTCACAAAACACATGGGACTTTTTTAAACAGCAGATGACTCCCCAGAATTACCTCCACCATTCCAGACACCCATAAAAGCCAAAACAAAACCCACTAAGGTAAGGTACAACTGCCTTTCTTCTATAGTAGTATTCTTAAAGTCTGAGATGCACTGCTCCAGTCAGCCACAGTGTGTCATTGTTAAATCAGAAGACGCCATCCACAAAGGAGAGAGTGGAGCAGCCGAAGAAGACGGTGAAGCCAGCAGCAGCACCCAGCAGACCACATGCAGCGGGCAGGAGGCCCCAGAGAGCTGCAGTCACATCTGTGAAGACCTACAGGGAGCCAGACACTGATGACAGCCAGTCTGAATCAGAGAAGCCTGCTGCTCCAAAGACAAAGGACATCTCTGTACGTTATGGCATTTTGGAAGTTATTCATTCTAAAGAATACTCAGTAAACAATGGGCTTAGGTTCCTATGTATGCACATGTTCATCAATCTCTAACATCTTTTTAACTGACTAACTGTGGCACATCTTCTCATAGTACTCAGGATTTTATAGATTTGAATGGGAAAACTAGAAGGTTGTCCAGTAAGAAGTGATGCAAAACAGATCATGAAAAGTGAAAGACAACATGCACACAATACATAACAACAATGGAGACAAAACAGAACAGAGACAAGTAAAGCAGGAACTCATAACATTTACATGCTCTGAGTTGTTGAAAGGCTGTGTTTTAATTCATGTGGGTGGGTGTAGTTGTTTATGTAGAGGTGTGTATGTGTGTGTGAATGTTTTTCATTTAATCTATTTATTTATTTTATTATAATTTTTGATTGTTACCATTCTCCTTTTCTCTCTTTCTTTTTTCCTCCATCCTCCTTTTCCCTTTTTTCTTCTGGGATACATCATGGAAAAGTGAGGATATGAGCTGACAATTTACCTTGGAATTCAAATGTAAAATATATGAGATATGGGAGGGGGGGACACTGAAAGATGCAGGTATAATGTTAAATATTCATGTTCAGAAAAGTCAGGATGTCGTTCAGTTGATTGAGAAAAAGACTTCCTCAAAAGAACCAATGAAAATCTTTATGAAGCAAGAAAGTTACTGTCATACCAGCCTGTCAGAGTATGTGTCCATGACGGAGCAGGTACACCCTCCTAAAGAATTTGTATTGCCTAATATTTTACTGCCATAATTCCAAAATTTCGACAAGAATATAAATGTATTTGAATAAAGTTTAGCACTTGCCTCAGTCTTAAATCTGAAGAATCTTGTTGTGGTTAAATCTTTGTTTTCATGCCTGCTGTTACATATACTGTAAGTGAAACCCTTTTTCATGTTTTTCAGCTGCAGAAGCCTGAAAAGAGTCTTTCAGAGACTTCCAAGTTAAATAAGAAAAGTGTTGCCCCTGTTGAAGAACAGATAAACTCATTGAAGGATTCCTGGGCGGCCCGCCAGACCTCTTTCCATCTGCCCCCTCCTTTCATCGAGAGAATGAGATGTAAGACTTACCAACATCAGCGTTAGATAACAGTCATTTGACCCCTTCACACCACTTAAGGTTGATTCTGTGTTTAATGGTGGATTAAATGGTTTATTAATTCTGCTTTGGCCATTTCCATGACATTCATAACTCTATTCATACTTTGGCTCTTAAGCCTGATTCCCATTTGTGACAGTCATCCTTTTTTTATTTTTTTCCCAGGATACTCAAGATTCTCTTGATTAAGAGTTACTTAATTCTTATCTAACTTTCTATAGACTTCAATAATGCCTTTTGAGGTTGATCAAGGTTCAGCCTTAATGTCTGAGGTCCTCCTGACCTTTAAATTGGAACCCTGTTTTTTTTCTTTTTAGTGCAAGAGTTTAGATGTTTTTTAATTAATCTAAAAAAACATCTAAACTCCTCTTCACCTAAAACTGAAATCCAACGTTAAGAATTTAGTTTTCACTCATCAAATATTTCTTGATCTACTCAAACTAAAGTGTAGACTTGAGTGTAACATTACTGTGAGTTAGCTTTGACTGTAGTTCTTCTCTCACAAGCTTTTTGCAGCATATTTACAACTCTTACATAAATGACCCTGTTGCTCTCCAACCTCTTAACTGTAAATTGATATGTGGGAAGGCATGTATATATTGACCTTTTACTCTCTGTCCAACTTTCTGGCCAGCTGTGTGAACATCTGTGCTTATTTTGGACCCCTACAGCTGCTGAAAGGTCAGCCCCAACCTCAGTTTTGACCTGTTCCCCTCTCCTCACCCCGCGGGGATCCCCACTCCCTGCCTCCCCTGACCCTCCCTGCCAGGACACCCCCTCCCCAATCCTGCTGTTACCCAGACCTCGCGCTTCAGTCAGCAGTAGAGGGAACCTGAAGCTCTCCTCTTACTACAGTGCAGAGAAGAAGCTCTGCTCATCCAAGAGTCCATCTATTCAGTCTATTCACTCTCTCCCATCACTGACCCCCAGAGGGCGAACCCCTGCACCAAGTGACGATAAGGTAAAACTCTAGAGTACCTCTCATTGCCACAAATGTTTTCAGTGGTACAAGTTGGAGTTAACCCTGATTAAAAGGGTGTGTCTAAGAAAACGTTACCTTAGTTGATAGTCATTATTTAACTATCATCTCTGAGGAGTCCATGGCTCACGTCACTGGTGGGAAGTTCCTCGGTATTTAACATCCTTTTGTGATTCACACACCTTTGCACCACATGGAAGTCATTGACGTCATTCAGCAGTCATGTGAGAAGTACTCGAGTGACATGAAAGGAGTTTGAGTTATTAGTTAGTTGTAGACATTCATAAAGAATAACCTAGAATTTGAGGAAGTTGGACCGTGACCTAAGCACTGCTGGTTGAAATTCCCATGCTAGCTGAGAAATCATGGTTAACAAATAGTGACTCTTTTCAGGCATCTGGGCTCGACTGGATATTTAAGTTTTCGCCCCTCAGCTGGTAAAACTTAAAATGACTTTAAAAAAAACATAATACTCCAAACACCAGTCTTACAGAGTTGTTTAAAGTGTAAATCAAGGTAGCCTTGTTTGATAGATTTGAATAAAAATTGCCATCTTCCCAACAGAATATAATATCATAATAATAATAATAATATATATAAAAGAATAAGAATGGTTAACAGTTCATCTTCCTCTCATTTTTTGGTCCAATGGTGTTCACTCATGGTGGCTTTTGTGTGTGTTTTCAAGACTTTTTAGCATGTTACTGATCAGTAGAACAAATAAATTTCACTATTTAAAAAATACAGTCCTGAAAGACAAAGGAATAATTGACCATTTAAGCTCGAACACCCCCTCGAACAGATTTAATCTCTGTGTGCAATTTGGCCTACTTGTGCCTGGTACAGCTGACATTGAACAAGAATGTTAACAAGAATAAGACTCTACGTACACTCAGTCCCAGACATCTTTGGTTAGTTCAAAAATTCGTTTCACTTTACTTTTACTTTTACAGAACCATATGGTAAAGTACTCATACAGGCCTAATCTGCCATAGAAGTTTAACCACTTCTCCCTAAGATCACTTTGATCTGCTTGATCCGTGTCTAAGAAGAGAAAGAATACAAAAAGGCAATCTAAACCACTCTTAAAATTTTTTATGGTTATAGAGAATTTTAGTGAGGGTTTTTTTTTTCCTATTAATGAGACTCTGGGCTCTATTTTCGTGCCTGCCAGCGATGCGGCGGAGGGTGGCAGACCCCGTGCAGTGGTACTTTCGTCTGGCGGAGCCCAGCGCACAGCCAGTTTGGTATTTTTGTAGACTGAAGCAACCGAGGTCCGCCAAGTTGGGCGTGGTGGCGCGGTATCTAGTGCCCATACGTCACCGATGCCTCACTGGCAGGTTTCCACAGTGTCAGGCACATTTCAGTGCAATAAATAATCAACAACAACCAATATTCTGAGTCAGCAAATACATTTAGATCTATATTGATATATTCTGATCTATATCTGATCTGATGAGTGCGTTTGGCACGTGTTTGGACACACAACCTGACCGAATCAACACAGCTGAAACCGCATTAAATTAAATTAAATTAAATATCTAGTAAATAAACACACGATGAAGTTAACATGATATTTAATTCGCTCTTCCTCTTATTTCTTGCGCAGCTCGACCTGGACATGTCTCTGTGTCCTCTCTCCGTCCTGCTGCAGCTGCTGCTGCGACGGCTGAACAGATGATTTGTTTCAGTGATCAGATGAGTTATTTATTTTAAGCCTACATAAGAATATTATAATATTCAGTTTTGTGAGCCAAATTTATTTTATATGCCAACATCTATGAAAGAAAGAGCCAGGCCACGGAGCGCAATGTGTCATTGTGCACAGAGGGTTCCTATTTCAATGACATTATTGGAATTTATGTTGTGATCTGTGCGCTCAAACCACCTTTGTCATGTGAGGTTTAACTTTATGCAACTTTATGTGAGTGTCTTTATTTGTGGAAAAGGGTGTTTGTCTTACCAGTGGGTCCAACATTACGCACACCAAATCCATCTGTGCTCATATGAGACAGTGTGATGGACGCCCTCTGAAGCGCTTACAGTGACACTTGTTAAAGGGCTGCCTTCTGTCGTCATCGTGTAGCATTGCTGTCTTCAGACATCTCTTGATCTCTTTGACTACTTCACGAAAATTGTGATACGCCTCGCCGGTGGTGGATTCAAAGGTGAGGAGAGGAGCGGTTCTGATTGGCGAAAACAGGTCTCGGCTGTGTTAAACCCACTCCACGCCCTCTCTACGACTTACATCCTCGCCACATCGCCAGCGAGGAACGAAAATAGCGCCCAATGTCTTTGTGTTGACTATCTTTGTAGTACACTGTGTGTGTAATCTCTGTGTGATGTATTAGATGAAGAGCACTCTGAAATTAAAATCATAGGTGCTGCCAATCCTAAAAACACTGTCACAGAACACAGGCTCTTTATTTTTCTTTAAGATTTCAAAAATCTTTTCATTCTCAAAAATGTTTGGATCTCTTTTACAGTTAACGTCTTTAAATACACTCAGAACCACGCTCTTGAGATTCACGCATGGATTGATGGCTACTGTAATCTTAAATGATTTCAGAATTAATTAATCCTCCACAGACAATTGGCTAACTGCCGTTTAAGGTCGATTTGTGCAGTTTATCGCAAGTCAGGAAATATTTAATCACATCTAAGTTTGATGCTCACTAATACATTCAGATCACTGTCTCAACATTGTGCAGAAATTCTCTTATATGCTTCAGGCAATAAACTATTCATCAATGTTGCATTCTTGTTATGCTGACCTCAGCTTCAGCAGGAGCTGAGTTTTTGTTGCAGACGTGGGGTTGTTTTGATGTTTTGTAATTCTTTTAGTGTTGCCAGGTTTTTTCTTAATGCATGATACAGGGTTTCAGTTGTTTGGATATCTAGACACTAAAGGTTGAATATAAAGTTAAAGTGTCAGAGCAGCTCGAAAACCAGATGTTCACAGATATTTTTATAAAGCTTATTTTTCTGAACTTGAACCTGATACAAACGCAAATGTAAAAAGGCATTTGGGGCTCTCAGGTACACCATGTGACTATGGAAAATGTTGGGACTGCCCATTATGATTTGAATGATTGACATGCATCATTAAGTATGCCCCTGTCATTGTACCATCACGAATCCATGACAGGAATGCTCATTAGATAACAGCTGAATGAGCTGTCATATTTCTTTTTAACCATTATTTTTCATCCACTCTCTGATCCTTCCCCTTCTTTTGTCTTTTTCCAGATTAGTCTGATCCAGCAGCACCCACCCTCACCAAACCTATTTCATCTGCCTCTTTCTGCTCAGCCCTTGTTGACCTCCACACTCTTGGAGCAAGACAACCCAGCCATGCCGTCTCCTCCTCTGTCTCCATTCCCCGAGGAAACAGTCAGCCATGGCTATCATTTAAGTCTTAGTAAGGTGTCTTCGGTATCCCTGAGTCAGTCATCCTCCAAGTCATCAGTACACAGTAGAAGTGTTCAGAACAGCCTCACTGCTGCCTTTGCTGTGTCTCATGAGAAAGAGGTAGAGCTTCACCACCCTTCCTGTTTGGATATTGATTTAAAATTACAGCTCAGATCAAACTAATAACTATTGCATCACTTTACACTAACAGAAAACACCTTCAGACCAGGACCTGATGTCAGGACAGCGTCATACCTCAGGTAAGAACCTGTGGTTGTACACAGGTGTTCTGGGTTTCCCATTTGCTGCTGTCTAATCTGATCAATTCACTCTACAGGTGAACAGAGTTCAGCTCCGTTGACATTACACGGGTTGAAATAGTAATTCTAACTTCAAATTCCCTTTGTTTGAGCTCCCTGCTCAAACCTTGACCTATTTAGACAAGACAGAAGTGTTGGAAACAGTTGTTTCGTTTTTACTGTGTTGTAACTGCTGGTTTTTGTTGTAGGACCCAGTCGAAAGCGCCACATCTCTTCTTCCAGTGGTTCTGATGAAGACGAGAAGGAAGACCAGATTAAACACAAGAGGAGAGAGCAGCCTCCCCCCCGCATGAAACCAAGGAAGCTTTTCAAATCATGTAAGACATGCAACAGAGTCACTCAGCAGTAAAAGTTGATCCAGAGCAGTTGTTCCCAAACTTTTTCCCCCAAGACGCACCAAAGGACAAGTAAAAATCTCAAGGCACACCTATTGTGCAAAATAACCCTAATAACACGTGTTATCACTTATATCATATAAAATATGTATGAATGTGCATAATTATTTACTGATGCCAAATTAAATGTGACAAAGACAACTATATTACTCATGATATATTTATTAATGAAATATTAAAAGAATAATTTAAAACTTGATCAAATTATGCTCCATCAAAGCAACAGCAGACCGATTTAAACAAGACAGGTCACAAAATTAAAAATGAAGCAAAGGAAATTCTACAGAAAAAAGATGATTTCATTTCTGCTCTGAAATTTGGCCTTTAACTAGTAGAGATGTCCACATATGTCCGCAAGGTAAGCCAGCCTGCCGCACCACCTCTCATCCCTGAGCTTGTCCTTATGTGGGACAGCGAGTACATGGAACATTCTAAAAGCTCTCCCTGAAGTTCATAAAAATGGGATAGGACATTCCCCCGTGAAAGCCAACGTACCTCCACATATAGGATCGGTGGTGGGTTGTTGGCAGTCTCAGCTCTGGTGGTTGGTGTGTTGCTCTGCACAAGAAAGCAGTCCATTCTCCCTCTCGCATGTTTCTCTGTTTTAGTGTTGTGTTATAATACCCGCCGGTGTAACTGAGCAAATAGCGAAATATGTGGTTCTCACTAAGGATTTTTTTTTTTGAGAATTGTTTTTAGGTATAGAGGTATAGAGTTTGCCCCTTATTGTGAAACAAGTGCATACAAAGTACTGATATAGTAAATAAAAAAATATATATATATATTATTTTTGTGTAGTTGTATGTTGCAATAATAATGTATAGTTATCACAAAATGTTACGGCACACCTGGACTTGCCTCATGGCACACCGTTTGGGAACCAGTAATCTAGAGTGACATTTCCAAATGTTTGGCTGGAGTGATGTCTCTGGAGAAATTGGTATAGTGGACAAATGGGTTTTACAAAGTAGTATGAGTGTAAAACCTGAGTTATTTTACAACAATAAATGTGTGCCACCAACAAATATGTATTTATTCATTTTAGTTTCAATATGTAAAAGTCTTGTTGATGACCATACCAACTAGATTCAACGTATTAGATGATGTGCAGTTAAATAACTTGACAAAGTTTTACTGGTCAACCTGTGTTCTAACTCCTACCTGTTATCACGAGCTTATGACCGATAGGATAAGTGGTTAATGCGTTTATCCTCTAGGGAGTAGTCAGGCTTAAGGTCCTTACACACCGGCGAATTTGCGGAGCAAAGCGAGACGAAAATTGCGAATATTCGCCGGTCCGAAAAATCGCTTTCGCCTATACACACCGGGCTCGAAGCGAATATGCGTATATTTTTTGCAAAGCGAATTAATAAAGTCGCTTTGCGGCACGGAGGAGAGGAGATGCAGGGTGGTCCTGTACCGCAATGACCAGCCTCTCTCCCATCGTTGCTCTTGGTGCCAGTGATGGTGTGTGTCGTGTGAATGGCTGCTGATTGACATGTCTAGCATTATGAGTGAGGGAGAAAGAGGAGGAAAAGCTGTGAGAGACGCCGCAGCAGCCAGGAGAGGCGAGTGCTGAGCAGTGATCCTTCAAGTTGTCTGGTCTTTCTATTGGCCCTGTAGCTGCAGATCATCGGTATGTCAAACAGCTGAGAGGGAGAATCAGGCATGATGAGGCGGTCACCCTGTGAAGTGTGCATGACATCTGTCTCCTAAGGAAGACAAGAGAGTGTCATCTTGTGAGAAAACTACTTCATTGGTAATTCGAAAGAGTTTTGGATGCACCTCAGCTGTCTTTGTCTGCGTTTTCATAATCTCAAACTTCTCCTTTTCCTCCAGCCGTATGGGTCTGTGACATCATCAACAACATGACTTTTGATTGGCCAGAGGTCTAGCAGGTCCAGATATTCGCCTGCGAATATCCGAAAAATTCGACACAGGAGCGAAAAAATAAAAGCTGCTTTTCGCCCCGCGGAAAAATCGCCGCCGCTGTGGAAGCTTGCATTGACTTTATGCTGTTTTAAAAAAAGGAGAATAATTCGCCTGGCGAATTCTCGCCCGGTGTGTAAGGACCTTTAGTCTTCGATGGTGAATGGATTATGTTCATCTATTCTCTGGTCTCCTGTTAACTCAAAGTACTTTAATATTCTGTGTCATATTCACACGCTGAGGGCAGAGGCAGCTATGTAATCACCCATCAATATTAATTAACCCCATTTACACACCACTGGGCACGGCCAGCAGGGGCGAATGGGGTCAAGTGTCTTGGCCAATGACATCTTGGCGTGTGAACAGCAGGACCTGGGTTTCAAAGCCCTGACCTTCTGAATGAGAGGCGACCAACTCTACCACTGAACAACAGCCAGCCATGTGTGCTCACAGCACCTGGTATTTCCACTGGCAGTCTCCTACTAAGAACAAACCAGACCCAACCCCGCTTAGTTTCCAGGCTTGGGCGTGTTCAGGGTGGTAAGGCCATAAGCAAGCTTTAGAGATAGAGTGCAATGTTCAGGGGGGGCTTGGTGTGAAGTCAGCACTTCTTTGCATCAAAAGGAGACTGTGCTGGTATGAGCACCTAATAAGGATTCCCCCTAGACACCTCTTTCTGGGGTTTCCTAGGTACAGCCATCTGGGAGGGTAGACCCAGAACACACCAGAGGGATTGTATATCCAGTCTGGCATTAGAATGTCCTGGGATACCCCAGGATGAGCTGGAAAGAGTTTCTGGGGCATGAGATGTTTTGGGCAACTTGCTTAGCCAGCTGGCACCACACCCTTGCTCTAGAGAAGCGGGAGAGAATGGAGAAATCAAGCCTCTGTTGACAGATTCATTTTATGTTTTGTATTCTGACAAACCTGAATTTGACTTCCCGATGTCACCCCCAACATCCTGAACCGGAACATTTTTCTGTTATCCTCAGATACCGAGATCTCAGTTGAAAGTGAGATGAGTCAAGTGATGTCCCCTCCCCAAATGATGAGTTCCAGTCATGGGGAGGCTGACACAGGAGACGGAGACCTGGACATGGCGGAGGATTTCGAAATGCCAAAAATGGCCATAAGCCCAAAGAACCTGTGCCAGCAGTTCAGCTCGGAGCTAAAGAAGAAATTTGAGGTTTTAGACACTCTGAAACACATGTCTTTTTCCGTCACAGTTTCCAGAAATAGTCCCAAAAAATAATGTGTGCATTGTATGTGTTATTTTTTCTATCTGATATCTTCTCACCTCTCTTGAACACTGTGTACTGCTTGTCAGCTGAGATTTTATTTCCAGAGCCTCAGGATTTTTATCTGTTTGTACATAGAATCGACAGGACATGGTGGAGGTGTACAACAAACAGTGTTTGAAGACCCTCCAGCAACATGTCTCCTCCCTCAACATGCGAGTGACCAAACAAAGGTAAGAACATGCTGCTAACAGATCCCACGAAGACTTGTGCATTTGTTTTTCAGAGTGGGAGAAAGAAAACCAATGTCAATGTCAAACATCCAAATTCAGCTAAGTTCACATGCAATTTTCGACTTGTTTAATTTGAGTCCACAGTGTTTTAGTTTAGACATTTATTTTAGTTTGTTAGAATTCCTCTTCAGTTTTGATTTTCTCTTTATGTGCAGGACGGAGAGGCTTGAACAGGTCCAGGCTGTCCTTTTGGAAGAGATCCATAAGTTGGAGCAGGATGAAACTGTGCTAAGAAACATGGAGAAAGACCTGACTGTATGCCTCTCTGTATCTTTTACTCCATATCTCTCCCACTTCACACACACACCTACGCACACATACTCTGCTGTGCATCATTTTTTGGAGAGAAAAAATAGGACAAGAAAATATGTGAAAAACATGCCAAAAATAATCAGTTCTTGATTCCAGTTCGATCAGTGCATGATCTGTGTTTGGTTTCTGTTTCTCACAGATGTACTGGAAAAAGCAGATCACCACGTTCTGTTCTTACCATGCCCAGGACACCAGGAGGTAAATATGTGTGTGTGTGTGTGTGTGTGTGTGTGTGTTGGTGGATCTGTGTCAGAGCGCATTGAAAGAGCTGTGTTGTTAGATTGTAGCAGTCCTGCCATACTGTGATCAATGCCACCCCTTCAGTATTAACACATACTTAGTAAGAGCTGAATAACAGCCTTGTTTATTTGGTGGACATGGATTAAAAAAGCTTACATGGAAAATGTGGTTTCCTCAGGCTTATCATCAGAAGTTAAATATGAACCCTGCAGCTCAAGCTATTTTAGGGAGGGAAGTGGCCAGGGCTTCTTCATATGACTTCAGCGAGGTTCACTGATGTTTATTTATTTCCCTGACAAAATCAGTTGTTACAGATACCCCCTCTGCCTGGAGTCGCTCCAGATATGCAGTTTTTCATTGACCTGGTTCAGTCTTCCCTCTGTCTTAATACAATCTTGACTCTGCTGAAAGCTCCATGTGAGCTGGAGCTTCTCTTTAGCATCTGTTTCATATTGCAGAGATCTTTTTAGATAATGTGCACCATACTTGAATGTCACCAAATGTTTTCAGAAGATAGTTGGAACCCATACAACTGCACTTGGAAATAATATGAGCATTTTCCCTTTCACCTTAAGCCAGTGTGGTTGTTTCCTGTTCGACCTCATTTGGTTGTGTGACTGTCTGTGCATCTTCTCCCCCCAGGAATGAGACCCTGGCAAAAGCCTTGCAGAGTAACGTGTGTCCTGAGTTGGAGTATGAGGAGAGACTATTCACATCCCAGGTCTGATCCTCTGGCCCTCATTTCACAGTTGACATCTAATATGTGCTTCATGTTGTTGCTCAAGTGTTAGTCTTCTAATTAGCTGTGTAAATCCAGAGCTCAGAGAGCTTTGAATGAAGAGTTTCTCTGTGCTTCAGTGTTTTCTAATTGAACCTCGTTTCACCTCAGCCTGTTCTTCCAGTCTTTTTTGCTGAGTGGCCTTTACATTTCGCTCCTCTCATTGTCTCATGTGTCAAACTTGCCCCCTGCTTGTCCTGACTGTCATATTCTGTGTTGATGCTCATCTAAAACCCTGCTGCTCTGCCTGCTGGTTTCAGATGTGCCTGATTAGAAAAGACATGAAGTCAGTTCAGGACAGACTCCTCAGTCAGATGGTAAGTTGACACGACACAGGTGACTCTGAGGCTCTGAGTTGTTGTCTTCTGCTTTGTCAGCAGAGCACTGTTGCTTTAACAGCCTGTTTATTACATACAGTATTTAGAGGATTCATCGCTCAGGTTTCTTTTTCCTTTTACAGCAAGAGGTTGAGATCCAGAGTGTGAAGAGAGGCCTGCAGGCTTTGTTTTTCCCCTGATGGAGCCAGGTTTGAGATGAACTAAATCCCGCCATCTACTGTAAACTAGGCCATGTATTTTACAAGTGTTTCCCTCTCTGGTACGACTTGACTGTGTTGATTTCATTTGAAAGTGTTTCCTGAAAGCGTTCTTTTTTCCAGGCTGTTTTTGTAGTTCGGATTGGTTTTGTATAATCTGACCAGAAAATGTTATTGCTGTATGTTTTTAAATACGTTTTCATCTGTTATTTATTGGACAAACTCTGTAAATTCAGTAAGTTGTTGTGTTCTAAGAGTAAACATGTCTTTTTCACATCTGTAATTTGCTAAGCTCAGTAATATTTCCTTCAAAAAGTCTGATGAATGTAGGTTAGTGTAGGTGTTAATGTAAGTTAGCTAAGTGTTTCAACACATTTTTAACATGATTGTTGATTGAAATAAAAATGGAGACATGGTTCTTAAAAAAAGACCTTGTATTTTGAAGACAAGTAGTGCTTACAAAGGTATTTCTCTTTTCAGTGAAGACATTGACGGTCTCATTCAGATTGACATACTGTATGTACAGTTTATATCAAATTCATCCCCGATGCCCTCTCCCCCAGACTGGACAGTCTTTACACAGTCCAAGTGACACATTAGTCATCAGTTAAGAAAAGGTGAAGCTGGTCACATGCACAACTTCCTCCCACTACACAGATTCACACGGTCTTGTCAAAGGAGTCCATGAAATAGTACAAAAAAACAACACTGACTGAATGACAAGATTGTTTTTTCCCTCCCCTCTCATCCTGAGAGTCAGAGGCTCCTCCAAAGTTCCTCTTCCACCAGCCAGCTTCCATAAGGCGAAATTCAGTAGTCTCCAGGACACACTGCTGCTAATCATCCTTTCTCCCTCACACCCATCCTCTCATATAATATGATAGTCGAGGGTGCTGGGAGAATGTTAAGGACACGCTGAAGACCAGGAGGCTTCAGGCCCGGCTGAGCAGCTTCGAGCAGCTTCAGAAAATTTCCCAAGCTCAGCATTTCTTCACAGAAGAAAGTCCCTGCTTTCATGGCCGGTGGAACCTGAAGAGACAAAAACGCAGAGAAACTGTGTAAACAAGGAGAGCAGAGGGTGCCTTTGTCTTCATACTCAGCTTTTATTGCAGACATGCAGCTATTTTGAGCTGTCATTAAATTTACTGATGTACTTTCAATGCCACCATCCCTCTGGGTCACTGTTACGGCATATGAGGGCCCCTGTTATTCCAAAGCCCAGCCAAGGACACCCTGGCATTTTATCACTTTTCCCTGCGTGATAGCACGAGACCTCCAGAGGACACCCTCCCCCTCAGTTTAGAAGCGCTCCCATCTATCTTTAGCTCCTCGGCGCTCTCTGCACGAGCAAGGAGAGCTAAATATAGAACACTGCTGCCCAGAATAGAGCAAAACATGCTTTCCCCATCACACACAGACATGCTCTTCTCCACAACACTGACCTCGTTAGGTGTTTGCTGGAGGCATGCACTTCCATCTCCGTGCTTTTAAACTCGTTCAGCTCTTTTCGGATAGCAGCCTGTGGGGAAAGAGGAAAATGGGCATTAGTGTGTCCAAAAATGCATGCTGGGCAATCGGGGTGCTGCAGCCTTTGAACAGCAATGTGAAGAGAGGAGATGGAAATAGATTCAGCCTGAAAAAACTACAGTCCAGGGGATTTGAGAGATATAGACAACCTAGAATAAAACAGACTAAATGGGCACTGGGTCTTGATATTTGGGGAATTTGTTAAGAGACTGGTGTAAATAGTTAACATGGTTCAGTAAGTGTATTAGTGAGATCATATCAGGTATCTTGTCACTGTCAAAATGGTATTTTTTCACACACACACCTTGTCTGCTGCTGAGAGTCGGGTCCAGGGCTTGTCTGCTCTCCTGTCATAGTCCTGAGCTTTGGCCACTTCCACATAGTCACTGAAACGGATCAGAATCTTTCGGTCTCGAAGTTCATCTACTGTGGGCCGCTGGTTGAGCTGAAACACAACAGGTTGGACAGGCATTTAGATCTGGCTGATATCTATTTGAGTTCACTTTACACCTTAAAAGTTAACAAAACACTTGTAGAAGAGAAAAAAGAAAGCAGTCTATTTTCTTACCTTTCTGTTTAGCCTTTGTTTGATCTCCCTCCTCTCCTCCTGCTCTGTCTGGTCGTTTCTCTCTGTGGGAGGAAGAAAACATCCAGATGAGAAATTCAGTCTTCATCAATTATTCAATATTCTTGGAGAAACAGGGAAAACGCTATAGTTTCTTTTACTGCTGAAAGGCTCATTCTCAGTATTTTTACCAATGTTACCAAAGTGTTAGAAATATGTCAGCTGTAGTGAAGTCTGTGCATCTCTGTTCACAGTGGAAATAAACACTGTGCACCCAGAACACTTGACAATACTGTATTACTGTTTCAGAACAGCTTTTATAAATCTACAGTGTATCTGTTTCTGAATATGAATGGTGAGACAAATATGGTAAAGAGACAGCAGTTTGGAAACAAATACCTCAGTGTGTGAACTTACGCTTCAGGATGTTCCGACTCTCCAGCTCCTCCACATTCGGTCTCTGGCTCAGCCTCCTACGGAGAAAGACCAAAACCACGTTTTGTACCATTTTCACTTCAACTGTCCCCCAATCCTTTATGAACCGGCTGAAGTTTCTTCACTGTCCGCGTTCTCGAGAGAAATCCCCTATGTCTCCATCTCGCATCCAAACCACGGCTGTGCTGCTTCGGCAGAGGCGCTCCCCACATCTGGAATAGTCAAAGAGGCGCTTTTTTTCTCTTTTGGAGAATCCTCTACCAGCTTTTTATTCGGTTTTGAGATGCTGCATTTCAGGTGCAGTCGCCGGTTCGCGTGTGATGTGCTCCGCTATAGAAGCTTCTTTACTCTACTACGGGGCTCAGACTACGAGTGCTTTTCAACTGGGTCGTGATCGTGATGGGCTGCCTCCGCCTCGGCGAGACTCCCCTAGTTTCCCTGGTAACTGCATGCATAATGTGAAGAGGGCGGGGCCTAATCCGCTCCTACTCGCGGCATCCCCAGCCTCCTCCTGCTCTACACTGGGCTACTGGAACACACATGTTACCCCCATTATTGCATCATTAGGGCCCGAGCGTAGCTGCTAAGCAGCTGCGAGAGCCCTATTATTCCCCAAGGGGTTTTTCTTTGTTTCTTTAGGGCCCGAGCGTAGCTGCTAAGCAGCTGCGAGAGCCCTCTTGTTCCTGTAGTTTCCTTCTTTTGTTATTAGGGCCCGAGCGTAGCTGCTAAGCAGCTGCGAGAGCCCTATTATTCCCCAAGTGGTTTTTCTTTGTTTCTTTTTTCTTTTTCCTCCCCTTTGAACTGGAAAATGGCCCACTTCCCACTGGCGAAAACTCATGAAATTTGGCAGGACGACCGGGCCTGGTGAAAAATTTGATATTCCGAAGTCGCCCAAACAATAAAATGCAAAATGGCTCCATAGCGCCCCCTAAGGTGAAAATTCACATGACGGCTGTACGCTTTGTCAAAATGACACAAAAATTGACACACACATGTATCTCAATAAGATCTACAAAAAAGTCAGTGCGGGCGTATCTGTCAAATGTACGGTGAAAGGGTTATTTCGCATTTTTTGCCGATCCGCACACATTGGAATTTCGCTAACTCCTCCGAAGGCTTTCGTTCCACCGGCACCACATTTGCTCAGGCCAATCTACACCCCATGGCCATTAAAAGTTATTCAAATCATGACGCTGCACCCCACGGTTTAGGTTCTAGGGGGCGCCAAAGATAACCCTAAAATCCACATATTTAAAAGTCTTATAACTTTTTATTTTTGCCCTCACTGGCCTTCAGGTTTTCTAGGATGATGCAATGTCCAGCCATCAACACATCTGTGAAGGAATTTTTACTCCCCAAAAGAGCGCCCCCCCATGGCAGGAGAAAAAAGTCCATTTTTTCTTGTCCCCTAAGGTGAAAATACACATTGTTGAGTGTCACGCCTGTACGCTTTGTCAAAATGACACAAAAATTGACACACACATGTATCTCAATAAGATCTACAAAAAAGTCCATGCGCGCGTATCTGTCAAATGTACGGTTAAAGGGTTATTCCGCATTTTTTGCCGATTCGCACACATTGGAATTTCGCTAACTCCTCCGAAGGCTTTCGTTCCACCGGCACCACATTTGCTCAGGCCAAATTACACCCCATGGCCATTAAAAGTTATTCAAATCATGACGCTGCACCCCACGGTTTACGTTCTAGGGGGCGCCAAAGATAACCCAAAAATCCACATTTTTAAAAGTCTTATAACTTTTTATTTTTGTCCTCACTGGCCTCCAAGTTTTCTAGGATGATGCAATGTCCAGCCATCAACACATTTGTGAAGGAATTTTTACTCCCTAATAGAGCGCCCCCCCATGGCAGGAGAAAAAAGTCCATTTTTTCTTGTCCCCTAAGGTGAAAATACACATTGTTGACTGTCACGCCTGTACGCTTTGGCAAAATGACACAAAAATTGACAATCATGTGTATCTCAATTAGATCTACGAAAAAGTCAAAGAGCGCGTATCTGTATAATGTACGGTAAAAGGGCTATTTTGCATTTTTTGCCGATTCGCACACATTGGAATTTCGCTAACTCCTCCTAAGGCTTTCGTCCCACTGACACCAAATTTGCTCAGGCCAATCTACACTCCATGGCCATTCAAAGTTGTAAAAATCATGACGCTGCACCCCACGGTTTACGTTTTAGGGGGCGCCAAAGATGACCCAAATATACATTACAGTAGACAAAGTAGTTTTGCCCACTGAGTGGCGCCAAAGGGACTTGTCTGTGGAGTCTGTGAGTCACTATTGGCCGTATTTGACTACTTTAGATTTTACCTTTATATTTCCTCTTACAAAATTTTTACCTTGCCTTGCCTGGTATCATTTTTTTCAGCACAACCTCACCTGTGTCAATTTACAGTTATTTTATCATTTTGACATACTATATTTACACATTGGACCCAAATTCACACACAAAACATAAAATCCGAGTGGAAAAAAGTAACGTTTTTACTGTGAAAACCACAAATATGTGTGATGAACTGTTTTTAAAACTTAAACTTCAAATAAAAATTGTAAACTTCAAAACATATGCAAATTTTTAACAAAGAACATAGTAATTTACCTCTATTTACATCAAAATGCAGGCAATGGCCCAGGCGTTCTTTGTAAAATTATTTACAAAACACTGTATAGTCTCACAAATGTCACTTTTTATTTATGCCACTACAAAAAAACATGATGTAAATGATGCATGATGTAAAACATGATGTAAAAAACTTGTGTAGATCCTCCTCTATGTTAGTCCATGTGTAATTTTTCCATAATTCTTTGTTTTTTGCAGCATTTTTGTTAGTGTAACTGCAGATTGTGCTGACAGTGTCTATGGCAAAAAAAAAAAAAAAAACTAAAAATGCCTCAACATGAACCCCTGGTGGTCTCTGAGGGTGAAACCTGCTAACTGCTGCAGCTCTGTCAGCTTCAGTCTCCCATGCAGAGCTCTGAGCGCATGTGTGGCTCTGCACCCTTAGCAGCGTTGCTAACTCCTCAGTAAGGAAAGCCTGCTTCATGTCAGAGTCTCTAAACTCCAGAAGAAGTAGATAAAAGTCCCTTTCTTTCTAAAAAAAAGTCGTTAGGGGGTCTGAAAAGTCATTGAATCTAACAACAAAGTCGCTAGGTTTGCAACTACGTGTCCCAGACTGCATCCCTGCTGAGAGTCCCTCCCTCCCTTCTCATGTTGCAGGAAGAACGTAAGCGCCCGCCCCTTGTCAATCAGTCACCATATAATTTTGGATTGGTTGTTGTGGTGAAGTTTTCCACCAATAGGAGAGATGTTGTGGTGTGTTTTTTTTTTCTTTTGGCAAGCCTTTTCCGCCTGTAAGACCTGTCGCTAATGTCTGCATGCTATGTTTTCCTGTCTCATACAGCGCGATCGAGCGCCGAACGTGATCAAAATAAGCAGAAAAAAAGTATCGCGGACATAATTTATCATAACTCTGGTTTTATTTGGCCTATCAACACAATTTAAAAACTGGTATATAGGTTGAGGTCCTCACTTTTGAAATAAGTTGAAACGGAGAGTCAATGAGGCTCCGTCTTGCAGCTACATCCGGTTAAATATGTCATGTGACTTGAACGCACACACAGACACACACACACACACACACACTCAGAGTCTGGTTTTTAGCACCTGCAAAAACATGCTATTTACATATTTGACAAGAATGCAGAGGCTCCTTTTGCCCCTGAAAAAAAATCAAATTTCAAACACAACTTGACTGGTCATTTCTCCAAAAGACAACCATGAAGCTCCATCCAAACCTGAAGCAGGCAGTTGGTGCATGTGTACAGTAACCTGAGGGGAGTGAGGTGAGTGCTTCTGGGGAGAACATGAGCAGTGAAGATTCACCTTGGAGCTAGAACAGAGACGTGCACATGATTATACAGGGGCAGGGGCTCAAGTTTTTTCCAGTCGTTTATACAATATGGAAATTAATGTGAAATTAAAACACAAAGTATTAATAGAAAGGTAATGACTGTCCTGTGTAGGTGACAGTGATATCCAATAGGCTAGGCACTCACGAGGCTGGCTGTGGCAAGTGTAAGTGAAAGCAACACGCACTGGCAGGAAGAACAGCAAACGCCGATGAAGGAAAAGGGTCTTTGCAGTGATGGGCGTTACCAGAGAGGGCGATGGCCAGAGGACACAAATGGGACGGGGAGGCAGCGCGTTGGGGGGGGGACGCGACACAGCTCGGGCCCGCCAGTGCCCCAACGGGGTCCTAGTTATTATTATTATTATTATTTTTCCTCCCCTTTGAACTGGAAAATGGCCCACTTCCCACTGGCGAAAACTCATGAAATTTGGCAGGACGACCGGGCCTGGTGAAAAATTTGATATTCCGAAGTCGCCCAAACAAGAAAATGCAAAATGGCTCCATAGCGCCCCCTAAGGTGAAAATTCACACTATTCACTGTCACGCCTGTACGCTTTGTCAAAATGACACAAAAATTGACACACACATGTATCTCAATAAGATCTACAAAAAAGTCAGTGCGGGCGTATCTGTCAAATGTACGGTTAAAGGGTTATTTCGCATTTTTTGCCAATCCGCACACATTGGAATTTCGCTAACTCCTCCGAAGGCTTTCGTTCCACCGGCACCACATTTGCTCAGGCCAATCTACACCCCATGGCCATTAAAAGTTATTCAAATCATGACGCTGCACCCCACGGTTTAGGTTCTAGGGGGCGCCAAAGATAACCCTAAAATCCACATATTTAAAAGTCTTATAACTTTTTATTTTTGCCCTCACTGGCCTCCAAGTTTTCTAGGATGATGCAATGTCCAGCCATCAACACATTTGTGAAGGAATTTTTACTCCCCAAAAGAGCGCCCCCCATGGCAGGAGAAAAAAGTCCATTTTTTCTTGTCCCCTAAGGTGAAAATTCACACTATTGACTGTCACGCCTGTACGCTTTGTCAAAATGACACAAAAATTGACACACACATGTATCTCAATAAGATCTACAAAAAAGTCCATGCGCGCGTATCTGTCTAATGTACGGTTAAAGGGTTATTTCGCATTTTTTGCCGATCCGCACACATTGGAATTTCGCTAACTCCTCCGAAGGCTTTCGTTCCACCGGCACCAAATTTGCTCAGGCCAATCTACACCCCATGGCCATTAAAAGTTATTCAAATCATGACGCTGCACCCCACGGTTTACGTTCTAGGGGGCGCCAAAGATAACCCAAAAATCCACATTTTTAAAAGTCTTATAACTTTTTATTTTTGTCCTCACTGGCCTCCAAGTTTTCTAGGATGATGCAATGTCCAGCCATCAACACATTTGTGAAGGAATTTTTACTCCCCAAAAGAGCGCCCCCCCATGGCAGGAGAAAAAAGTCAATTTTTTCTTGTCCCGTAAGGTGAAAATTCACATTGTTGAGTGTGACACCTGTACGCTTTGTCATATTGACACAAAATTTGACAATCACGTGTATCTCAATAAGATCTACGAAAAAGTCAATGGGTGCGTATCTGTCAAATGTACGGTTAGAGGGCTATTTTGCATTTTTTGCCGATTCGCACACATTGGAATGTGGCTAACTCCTCCTAAGGCTTTCGTCCCACTGAAACCAAATTTGCTCAGGCCAATCTACACCCCATGGCCATTAAAAGTTGTACAAATCATGACGCTGCACCCCACGGTTTACGTTCTAGGGGTCGCCAAAGATAACCCAAAAATCCACATTCTTAAAAGAATCCACATTCTCCCCCCCCATGGCAGGAGAAAAAGTCAAGTTTTTCCTGCCCATCGCTCAATGGCTCAATCGCATCGCTCTCCAGGCAACACCGTAACGAGTAGCAACCTGCCATTTGGATATATCCCAGCTGTGTTTGTGCCCTCACTCATGGTCCAGACTTTTTTCAAATAGGACATGAAGTTTGTCTGCAGCGAGTGTTTTGGTAGAAACTGCGCCTCCCATTCATTATAATGGGAAATGACCACAGACAAGTGCGCACACCATCTTTGGACCTTGAGTGTGACGCGATCGGGAGGGGGAGGCGGTCACGCTGGGGGCGGCACGACGCGGCTCGGGCCCGACAGTGCCCCACCGGGGCCCTAGTTGTTTCTTTCTTTCTTCTTTTTCCTCCCCTTTGAACTGGAAAATGGCCCACTTCCCACTGGCGAAAACTCATGAAATTTGGCAGGATGACCGGGCCTGGTGAAAAATTTGATATTCCGAAGTCGCCCAAACAAGAAAATGCAAAATGGCTCCATAGCGCCCCCTAAGGTGAAAATTCACACTATTGACTGTCACGCCTTTACGCTTTGTCAAAATGACACAAAAATTGACACACATATGTATCTCAATAAGATCTACAAAAAAGTCAGTGCGGGCGTATCTGTCAAATGTACGGTTAAAGGGTTATTTCGCATTTTTTGCAGATCCGCACACATTGGAATTTCGCTAACTCCTCCGAAGGCTTTCTTTCCACCGGCACCACATTTGCTCAGGCCAATCTACACCCCATGGCCATTAAAAGTTATTCAAATCATGACGCTGCACCCCACGGTTTAGGTTCTAGGGGGCGCCAAAGATAACCCTAAAATCCACATATTTAAAAGTCTTATAACTTTTTATTTTTGCCCTCACTGGCCTCCAAGTTTTCTAGGATGATGCAATGTCCAGCCATCAACACATTTGTGAAGGAATTTTTACTCCCCAAAAGAGCGCCCCCCCATGGCCAGAGAAAAAAGTCCATTTTTTCTTGTCCCCTAAGGTGAAAATACACATTGTTGAGTGTCACGCCTGTACGCTTTGTCATATTGACACAAAATTTGACACACACATGTATCTCAATAAGATCTACGAAAAAGTCAATGCGCGCGTATCTGTCAAATGTACGGTTAAAGGGTTATTCTGCATTTTTTGCTGATCCGCACACATTGGAATGTCGCTAACTCCTCCTAAGGCTGGCGTTCCACCGGCACCACATTTGCTCAGGCCAATCTACACCCCATGGCCATTAAAAGTTATTCAAATCATGACGCTGCACCCCACGGTTTAGGTTCTAGGGGGCGCCAAAGATAACCCTAAAATCCACATATTTCAAAGTCTTATAACTTTTTCTTTTTGTCCTCACTGGCCTCCAAGTTTTCTAGGATGATGCAATGTCCAGCCATCAACACATTTGTGAAGGAATTTTTACTCCCTAAAAGAGCGCCCCCCCATGGCAGGAGAAAAAAGTCCATTTTTTCTTGTCCCGTAAGGTGAAAATTCACATTGTTGAGTGTGACACCTGTACGCTTTGTCATATTGACACAAAATTTGACAATCACGTGTATCTCAATAAGATCTACGAAAAAGTCAATGGGTGCGTATCTGTCAAATGTACGGTTAGAGGGCTATTTTGCATTTTTTGCCGATTCGCACACATTGGAATGTGGCTAACTCCTCCTAAGGCTTTCGTCCCACTGAAACTAAATTTGCTCAGGCCAATCTACACCCCATGGCCATTCAAAGTTGTAAAAATCATGACGCTGCACCCCACGGTTTACGTTCTAGGGGGCGCCAAAGATGACCAAAAAATCCACATTCTTAAAAGAATCCACATTCTCCCCCCCCCATGGCAGGAGAAAAAGTCAAGTTTTTCCTGCCCATCGCTCAATGGCTCAATCGCATCGCTCTCCAGGCAACACCGTATCCAGGAGCAACCTGCCATTTGGATATATCCCAGCTGTGTTTGTGCCCTCACTCATGGTCCAGACTTTTTTCAAATAGGACATGAAGTTTGTCTGCAGCGAGTGTTTTGGTAGAAACTGCGCCTCCCATTCATTATAATGGGAAATGACCACAGACAAGTGCGCACACCATCTTTGGACCTTGAGTGTGACGCGATCGGGAGGGGGAGGCGGTCACGCTGGGGGCGGCACAACGCGGCTCGGGCCCGACAGTGCCCCACCGGGGCCCTAGTTAGGGCCCGAGCGTAGCTGCTAAGCAGCTGCGAGAGCCCTATTATTCCCCAAGTGGTTTTTCTTTGTTTCTTTTTTCTTTTTCCTCCCCTTTGAACTGGAAAATGGCCCACTTCCCACTGGCGAAAACTCATGAAATTTGGCAGGACGACCGGGCCTGGTGAAAAATTTGATATTCCGAAGTCGCCCAAACAATAAAATGCAAAATGGCTCCATAGCGCCCCCTAAGGTGAAAATTCACATGACGGCTGTACGCTTTGTCATATTGACACAAAAATTGACACACACATGTATCTCAATAAGATCTACAAAAAAGTCAGTGCGGGCGTATCTGTCAAATGTACGGTTAATGGGTTATTTTGCATTTTTTGCAGATCTGCACACATTGGAATTTCGCTAACTCCTCCGAAGGCTTTCGTTCCACCGGCACCACATTTGCTCAGGCCAATCTACACCCCATGGCCATTAAAAGTTATTCAAATCATGACGCTGCACCCCACGGTTTAGGTTCTAGGGGGCGCCAAAAATAACCCTAAAATCCACATATTTAAAAGTCTTATAACTTTTTATTTTTGTCCTCCCTGGCCTCCAAGTTTTCTAGGATGATGCAATGTCCAGCCATCAACACATCTGTGAAGGAATTTTTACTCCCCAAAAGAGCGCCCCCCCATGGCAGGAGAAAAAAGTCCATTTTTTCTTGACCCCTAAGGTGAAAATACACATTGTTGAGTGTCACGCCTTTACGCTTTGGCAAAATGACACAAAAATTGACACACACATGTATCTCAATAAGATCTACAAAAAAGTCTATGAGCGCGTATCTGTCAAATGTACGGTTAAAGGGTTATTCCGCATTTTTTGCCGATACGCACACATTGGAATTTCGCTAACTCCTCCGAAGGCTTTCGTTCCACCGGCACCACATTTGCTCAGGCCAATCTACACCCCATGGCCATTAAAAGTTATTCAAATCATGACGCTGCACCCCACGATTTAGGTTCTAGGGGGCGCCAAAAATAACCCTAAAATCCACATATTTCAAAGTCTTTTAACTTTTTATTTTTGTCCTCACTGGCCTCCAAGTTTTCTAGGATGATGCAATGTCCAGCCATCAACACATTTGTTAAGGAATTTTTACTCCCCAAAAGAGCGCCCCCCCATGGCAGGAGAAAAAAGTCCTTTTTTTCTTGTCCCCTAAGGTGAAAATACACATTGTTGAGTGTCACGCCTATACGCTTTGTCATATTGACACAAAATTTGACAATCACGTGCCTTGCCTGGTATCATTTTTTTTCAGCACAACCTCACCTGTGCGAATTTACAGTTATTTTATCATGTTGACATACTGAATTTACACAATGGACCCAAATTCACACACAAAACATAAAATCCGAGTGGAAAAAAGTAACGTTTTTACTGTGAAAACCACAAATATGTGTGATGAACTGTTTTTAAAACTTAAACTTCAAATAAAAATTGTAAACTTCAAAACATATGCAAATTTTTAACAAAGAACATAGTAATTTACCTCTATTTACATCAAAATGCAGGCAATGGCCCAGGTGTTCTTTGTAAAATTATTTACAAAACACTGTATAGTCTCACAAATGTCACTTTTTATTTATGCCACTACAAAAAAACATGATGTAAATGATGCATGATGTAAAACATGATGTAAAAAACTTGTGTAGATCCTCCTCTATGTTAGTCCATGTGTAATTTTTCCATAATTCTTTGTTTTTTGCAGCATTTTTGTTAGTGTAACTGCAGATTGTGCTGACAGTGTCGATGGCAAAAAAAAAAAAAAAACTGAAAATGCCTCAACATGAACCCCTGGTGGTCTCTGAGGGTGAAACCTGCTAACTGCTGCAGCTCTGTCAGCTTCAGTCTCCCATGCAAAGCTCGGAGCGCATGTGTGGCTCTGCACCCTTAGCAGCGTTGTTAACTCCTCAGTAAGGAAAGCCTGCTTCATGTCAGAGTCTCTAAACTCCAGAAGAAGTCGATAAAAGTCACTTTCTTTCTAAAAAAAAGTCGTTAGGGGGTCTGAAAAGTCATTGAATCTAACAACAAAGTCGCTAGGTTTGCAACTACGTGTCCCAGACTGCATCCCTGCTGAGAGTCCCTCCCTCCCTTCTCATATTGCAGGAAGAACGTAAGCGCCCGCCCCTTGTCAATCAGTCACCATATAATTTTGGATTGGTTGTTGTGGTGAAGTTTTCCACCAATAGGAGAGATGTTGTGGTGTGTTTTTTTTTTCCTTTGGCAAGCCTTTTCCGCCTGTAAGACCTGTCGCTAATGTCTGCATGCTATGTTTTCCTGTCTCATACAGCGCGATCGAGCGCCGAACGTGATCAAAATAAGCAGAAAACAAGTATCGCGGACATAATTTATCATAACTCTGGTTTTATTTGGCCTATCAACACAATTTAAAAACTGGTATATAGGTTGAGGTCCTCACTTTTGAGATAAGTTGAAACGGAGTCAACGAGGCTCCGTCTTGCAGCTACATCCGGTTAAATATGTCATGTGACTTGAACGCACACACACACACACACAGACACACACACACACGCACACACACACACTCAGAGTCTGGTTTTTAGCACCTGCAAAAACATGCTATTTACATATTTGACAAGAATGCAGAGGCTCCTTTTGCTCCTGAAAAAAATCAAATTTCAAACACAACTTGACTGGTCATTTCTCCAAAAGACAACCATGAAGCTCCATCCAAACCTGAAGCAGGCAGTTGGTGCATGTGTACAGTAACCTGAGGGGAGTGAGGTGACTGCTTCTGAGGAGAACATGAGCAGTGAAGATTCACCTTAGAGCTAGAACAGAGACGTGCACATGATTATACAGGGGCAGGGGCTCAAGTTTTTTCCAGTTGTTTATACAATATGGAAATTAATGTGAAATTAAAAAACAAAGTATTAATAGAAAGGTAATGACTGTCCTGAGTAGGTGACAGTGATATCCAATAGGCTAGGCACTCAAGAGGCTGGCTGTGGCAAGTGTAAGTGAAAGCAACACGCACTGGCAGGAAGAACAGCAAACGCCGATGAAGGAAAAGGGTCTTTGCAGTGATGGGCGTTACCAGAGAGGACGATGGCCAGAGGACACAAATGGGACGGGGAGGCAGCGCGTTGGGGGGGGGACGCGACACAGCTCGGGCCCGCCAGTGCCCCAACGGGGTCCTAGTTAGGGCCCGAGCCAGCTGCAGAGCAGTCGGGCGTAGGCCCTATTATTCCCCAAGTGGTTTTTCTTTGTTTCTTTCTTTAGGGCCCGAGCGTAGCTGCTAAGCAGCTGCGAGAGCCCTCTTGTTCCTGCATGTTTCCTTCTTTAGGGCCCGAGCGTAGCTGCTAAGCAGCTGCGAGAGCCCTCTTGTTCCTGCATGTTTCCTTCTTTTGTTATTAGGGCCTGAGCGTAGCTGCTAAGCAGCTGCGAGAGCCCTATTATTCCCCAAGTGGTTTTTCTTTGTTTCTTTCTTTCTTTCTTTCTTTCTTTCTTAGGGCCCGAGCGTAGCTGCTAAGCAGCTGCGAGAGCCCTATTATTCCCCAAGTGGTTTTTCTTTGTTTCTTTTTTCTTTTTCCTCCCCTTTGAACTGGAAAATGGCCCACTTCCCACTGGCGAAAACTCATGAAATTTGGCAGGACGACCGGGCCTGGTGAAAAATTTGATATTCCGAAGTCGCCCAAACAATAAAATGCAAAATGGCTCCATAGCGCCCCCTAAGGTGAAAATTCACATGACGGCTGTACGCTTTGTCAAAATGACACAAAAATTGACACACACATGTATCTCAATAAGATCTACAAAAAAGTCAGTGCGGGCGTATCTGTCAAATGTACGGTGAAAGGGTTATTTCGCATTTTTTGCCGATCCGCACACATTGGAATTTCGCTAACTCCTCCGAAGGCTTTCGTTCCACCGGCACCACATTTGCTCAGGCCAATCTACACCCCATGGCCATTAAAAGTTATTCAAATCATGACGCTGCACCCCACGGTTTAGGTTCTAGGGGGCGCCAAAGATAACCCTAAAATCCACATATTTAAAAGTCTTATAACTTTTTATTTTTGCCCTCACTGGCCTTCAGGTTTTCTAGGATGATGCAATGTCCAGCCATCAACACATCTGTGAAGGAATTTTTACTCCCCAAAAGAGCGCCCCCCATGGCAGGAGAAAAAAGTCCATTTTTTCTTGTCCCCTAAGGTGAAAATACACATTGTTGAGTGTCACGCCTGTACGCTTTGTCAAAATGACACAAAAATTGACACACACATGTATCTCAATAAGATCTACAAAAAAGTCCATGCGCGCGTATCTGTCAAATGTACGGTTAAAGGGTTATTCCGCATTTTTTGCCGATTCGCACACATTGGAATTTCGCTAACTCCTCCGAAGGCTTTCGTTCCACCGGCACCACATTTGCTCAGGCCAAATTACACCCCATGGCCATTAAAAGTTATTCAAATCATGACGCTGCACCCCACGGTTTACGTTCTAGGGGGCGCCAAAGATAACCCAAAAATCCACATTTTTAAAAGTCTTATAACTTTTTATTTTTGTCCTCACTGGCCTCCAAGTTTTCTAGGATGATGCAATGTCCAGCCATCAACACATTTGTGAAGGAATTTTTACTCCCTAATAGAGCGCCCCCCATGGCAGGAGAAAAAAGTCCATTTTTTCTTGTCCCCTAAGGTGAAAATACACATTGTTGACTGTCACGCCTGTACGCTTTGGCAAAATGACACAAAAATTGACAATCATGTGTATCTCAATTAGATCTACGAAAAAGTCAAAGAGCGCGTATCTGTATAATGTACGGTAAAAGGGCTATTTTGCATTTTTTGCCGATTCGCACACATTGGAATTTCGCTAACTCCTCCTAAGGCTTTCGTCCCACTGACACCAAATTTGCTCAGGCCAATCTACACTCCATGGCCATTCAAAGTTGTAAAAATCATGACGCTGCACCCCACGGTTTACGTTTTAGGGGGCGCCAAAGATGACCCAAATATACATTACAGTAGACAAAGTAGTTTTGCCCACTGAGTGGCGCCAAAGGGACTTGTCTGTGGAGTCTGTGAGTCACTATTGGCCGTATTTGACTACTTTAGATTTTACCTTTATATTTCCTCTTACAAAATTTTTACCTTGCCTTGCCTGGTATCATTTTTTTCAGCACAACCTCACCTGTGTCAATTTACAGTTATTTTATCATTTTGACATACTATATTTACACATTGGACCCAAATTCACACACAAAACATAAAATCCGAGTGGAAAAAAGTAACGTTTTTACTGTGAAAACCACAAATATGTGTGATGAACTGTTTTTAAAACTTAAACTTCAAATAAAAATTGTAAACTTCAAAACATATGCAAATTTTTAACAAAGAACATAGTAATTTACCTCTATTTACATCAAAATGCAGGCAATGGCCCAGGCGTTCTTTGTAAAATTATTTACAAAACACTGTATAGTCTCACAAATGTCACTTTTTATTTATGCCACTACAAAAAAACATGATGTAAATGATGCATGATGTAAAACATGATGTAAAAAACTTGTGTAGATCCTCCTCTATGTTAGTCCATGTGTAATTTTTCCATAATTCTTTGTTTTTTGCAGCATTTTTGTTAGTGTAACTGCAGATTGTGCTGACAGTGTCTATGGCAAAAAAAAAAAAAAAAACTAAAAATGCCTCAACATGAACCCCTGGTGGTCTCTGAGGGTGAAACCTGCTAACTGCTGCAGCTCTGTCAGCTTCAGTCTCCCATGCAGAGCTCTGAGCGCATGTGTGGCTCTGCACCCTTAGCAGCGTTGCTAACTCCTCAGTAAGGAAAGCCTGCTTCATGTCAGAGTCTCTAAACTCCAGAAGAAGTAGATAAAAGTCCCTTTCTTTCTAAAAAAAAGTCGTTAGGGGGTCTGAAAAGTCATTGAATCTAACAACAAAGTCGCTAGGTTTGCAACTACGTGTCCCAGACTGCATCCCTGCTGAGAGTCCCTCCCTCCCTTCTCATGTTGCAGGAAGAACGTAAGCGCCCGCCCCTTGTCAATCAGTCACCATATAATTTTGGATTGGTTGTTGTGGTGAAGTTTTCCACCAATAGGAGAGATGTTGTGGTGTGTTTTTTTTTTCTTTTGGCAAGCCTTTTCCGCCTGTAAGACCTGTCGCTAATGTCTGCATGCTATGTTTTCCTGTCTCATACAGCGCGATCGAGCGCCGAACGTGATCAAAATAAGCAGAAAAAAAGTATCGCGGACATAATTTATCATAACTCTGGTTTTATTTGGCCTATCAACACAATTTAAAAACTGGTATATAGGTTGAGGTCCTCACTTTTGAAATAAGTTGAAACGGAGAGTCAATGAGGCTCCGTCTTGCAGCTACATCCGGTTAAATATGTCATGTGACTTGAACGCACACACAGACACACACACACACACACACACTCAGAGTCTGGTTTTTAGCACCTGCAAAAACATGCTATTTACATATTTGACAAGAATGCAGAGGCTCCTTTTGCCCCTGAAAAAAAATCAAATTTCAAACACAACTTGACTGGTCATTTCTCCAAAAGACAACCATGAAGCTCCATCCAAACCTGAAGCAGGCAGTTGGTGCATGTGTACAGTAACCTGAGGGGAGTGAGGTGAGTGCTTCTGGGGAGAACATGAGCAGTGAAGATTCACCTTGGAGCTAGAACAGAGACGTGCACATGATTATACAGGGGCAGGGGCTCAAGTTTTTTCCAGTCGTTTATACAATATGGAAATTAATGTGAAATTAAAACACAAAGTATTAATAGAAAGGTAATGACTGTCCTGTGTAGGTGACAGTGATATCCAATAGGCTAGGCACTCACGAGGCTGGCTGTGGCAAGTGTAAGTGAAAGCAACACGCACTGGCAGGAAGAACAGCAAACGCCGATGAAGGAAAAGGGTCTTTGCAGTGATGGGCGTTACCAGAGAGGGCGATGGCCAGAGGACACAAATGGGACGGGGAGGCAGCGCGTTGGGGGGGGGGACGCGACACAGCTCGGGCCCGCCAGTGCCCCAACGGGGTCCTAGTTTCTTCTTTTTCCTCCCCTTTGAACTGGAAAATGGCCCACTTCCCACTGGCGAAAACTCATGAAATTTGGCAGGACGACCGGGCCTGGTGAAAAATTCGATATTCTGAAGTCGCCCAAACAATAAAATGCAAAATGGCTCCATAGCGCCCCCTAAGGTGGAAATTCACACTATTGACTGTCACGCCTGTACGCTTTGTCATATTGACACAAAAATTGACACACATATGTATCTCAATAAGATCTACAAAAAAGTCAGTGCGGACGTATCTGTCAAATGTACGGTTAAAGGGTTATTTCGCATTTTTTTCCGATCCGCACAGATTGGAATTTCGCTAACTCCTCCGAAGGCTTTCATTCCACCGGCACCACATTTGCTCAGGCCAATCTACACCCCGTGGCCATTAAAAGTTATCAAAATCATGACGCTGCACCCCAAGGTTTAGGTTCTAGGGGGCGCCAAAGATAACACTAAAATCCACATATTTAAAAGTCTTATAACTTTTTATTTTTGTCCTCACTGGCCTCCAAGTTTTCTAGGATGATGCAATGTCCAGCCATCAACACATTTGTGAAGGAATTTTTACTCCCCAAAAGAGCGCCCCCCCATGGCAGGAGAAAAAAGTCCATTTTTTCTTGTCCCCTAAGGTGAAAATACACATTGTTGAGTGTCACGCCTATACGCTTTGTCAAAATGACACAAAAATTGACACACACATGTAACTCAATAAGATCTACGAAAAAGTCAATGCGCGCGTATCTGTCAAATGTACGGTTAAAGGGTTATTCCGCATTTTTTGCCGATCCGCACACATTGGAATGTGGCTAACTCCTCCTAAGGCTTTCGTTCCACTAGCACCACATTTGCTCAGGCCAATCTACACCCCATGGCCATTAAAAGTTATTCAAATCATGACGCTGCACCCCACGGTTTAGGTTCTAGGGGGCGCCAAAGATAACCCTAAAATCCACATATTTATAAAGTCTTATAACTTTTTATTTTTGTCCTCACTGGCCTCCAAGTTTTCTAGGATGATGCAATGTCCAGCCATCAACACATTTGTGAAGGAATTTTTACTCCCCAAAAGAGCGCCCCCCCATGGCAGGAGAAAAAAGTCCATTTTTTCTTGTCCCATAAGGTGAAAATACACATTGTTGACTGTCATATTTGTCAACAATACCGTAACGAGGAACAACTTGCCGTTTGGATATATCCTAGCTGTGTTTGTGCCCTCACTCATGGTCCAGACTTTTTTCAAATAGGACATGTAGTTTGTCTGCAGCAAGTGTTTTGGTAGAAACTGCGCCTCCCATTCATTTTAATGGGAAATGACCACAGACAAGTGCGCACACCATCTTTGGACCTTGAGTGTGACGCGATCGGGAGGGGGAGGCGGTCGCGCTGGGGGCGGCGCAACGCGGCTCGGGCCCGACAGTGCCCCACCGGGGCCCTAGTTTTTCTTTTTCCTCCCCTTTGAACTGGAAAATGGCCCACTTCCCACTGGCAAAAACTCATGAAATTTGGCAGGACGACCGGGCCTGGTGAAAAATTTGATATTCCGAAGTCGCCCAAACAAGAAAATGCAAAATGGCTCCATAGCGCCCCCTAAGGTGAAAATTCACACTATTGAGTGTCACGCCTGTACGCTTTGTCAAAATGACACAAAATTTGACACACACATGTATCTCAATAAGATCTACAAAAAAGTCAGTGCGGGCGTATCTGTCAAATGTACGGTTAAAGGGTTATTTCGCATTTTTTGCCGATCCGCACACATTGGAATTTCGCTAACTCCTCCGAAGGCTTTCGTTCCACCGGCACCACATTTGCTCAGGCCAATCTACACCCCATGGCCATTAAAAGTTATTCAAATCATGACGCTGCACCCCACGGTTTAGGTTCTAGGGGGCGCCAAAGATAACCCTAAAATCCACATATTTAAAAGTCTTATAACTTTTTATTTTTGCCCTCACTGGCCTCCAAGTTTTCTAGGATGATGCAATGTCCAGCCATCAACACATTTGTGAAGGAATTTTTACTCCCCAAAAGAGCGCCCCCCCATGGCAGGAGAAAAAAGTCCATTTTTTCTTGTCCCCTAAGGTGAAAATACACATTGTTGACTGTCACGCCTGTACGCTTTGTCAAAATGACACAAAAATTGACACACACATGTATCTCAATAAGATCTACAAAAAAGTCCATGCGCGCGTATCTGTCAAATGTACGGTTAAAGGGTTATTCCGCATTTTTTGCCGATTCGCACACATTGGAATTTCGCTAACTCCTCCGAAGGCTTTCGTTCCACCGGCACCACATTTGCTCAGGCCAATCTACACTCCATGGCCATTAAAAGTTATTCAAATCATGACGCTGCACCCCACGGTTTACGTTCTAGGGGGCGCCAAAGATAACCCAAAAATCCACATTTTTAAAAGTCTTTTAACTTTTTATTTTTGTCCTCACTGGCCTCCAAGTTTTCTAGGATGATGCAATGTCCAGCCATCAACACATTTGTGAAGGAATTTTTACTCCCTAAAAGAGCGCCCCCCCATGGCAGGAGAAAAAAGTCCATTTTTTCTTGTCCCCTAAGGTGAAAATACACATTGTTGACTGTCACGCCTGTACGCTTTGGCAAAATGACACAAAAATTGACAATCATGTGTATCTCAATTAGATCTACGAAAAAGTCAAAGAGCGCGTATCTGTATAATGTACGGTAAAAGGGCTATTTTGCATTTTTTGCCGATTCGCACACATTGGAATTTCGCTAACTCCTCCTAAGGCTTTCGTCCCACTGACACCAAATTTGCTCAGGCCAATCTACACTCCATGGCCATTCAAAGTTGTAAAAATCATGACGCTGCACCCCACGGTTTACGTTTTAGGGGGCGCCAAAGATGACCCAAATATACATTACAGTAGACAAAGTAGTTTTGCCCACTGAGTGGCGCCAAAGGCACTTGTCTGTGGAGTCTGTGAGTCACTATTGGCCGTTTTTGACTACTTTAGATTTTACCTTTATATTTCCTCTTACAAAATTTTTACCTTGCCTTGCCTGGTATCATTTTTTTCAGCACAACCTCACCTGTGTCAATTTACAGTTATTTTATCATTTTGACATACTATATTTACACATTGGACCCAAATTCACACACAAAACATAAAATCCGAGTGGAAAAAAGTAACGTTTTTACTGTGAAAACCACAAATATGTGTGATGAACTGTTTTTAAAACTTAAACTTCAAATAAAAATTGTAAACTTCAAAACATATGCAAATTTTTAACAAAGAACATAGTAATTTACCTCTATTTACATCAAAATGCAGGCAATGGCCCAGGTGTTCTTTGTAAAATTATTTACAAAACACTGTATAGTCTCACAAATGTCACTTTTTATTTATGCCACTACAAAAAAACTTGATGTAAATGATGCATGATGTAAAACATGATGTAAAAAACTTGTGTATATCCTCCTCTATGTTAGTCCATGTGTAATTTTTCCATAATTCTTTGTTTTTTGCAGCATTTTTGTTAGTGTAACTGCAGATTGTGCTGACAGTGTCTATGGCAAAAAAAAAAAAAAAAAACGAAAATGCCTCAACATGAACCCCTGGTGGTCTCTGAGGGTGAAACCTGCTAACTGCTGCAGCTCTGTCAGCTTCAGTCTCCCATGCAGAGCTCGGAGCGCATGTGTGGCTCTGCACCCTTAGCAGCGTTGCTAACTCCTCAGTAAGGAAAGCCTGCTTCATGTCAGAGTCTCTAAACTCCAGAAGAAGTCGATAAAAGTCACTTTCTTTCTAAAAAAAAAAGTCGTTAGGGGGTCTGAAAAGTCATTGAATCTAACAACAAAGTTGCTAGGTTTGCAACTACGTGTCCCAGACTGCATCCCTGCTGAGAGTCCCTCCCTCCCTTCTCATATTGCAGGAAGAACGTAAGCGCCCGCCCCTTGTCAATCAGTAACCATATAATTTTGGATTGGTTGTTGTGGTGAAGTTTTCCACCAATAGGAGAGATGTTGTGGTGTGTTTTTTTTTCCTTTGGCAAGCCTTTTCCGCCTGTAAGACCTGTCGCTAATGTCTGCATGCTATGTTTTCCTGTCTCATACAGCGCGATCGAGCGCCGAACGTGATCAAAATAAGCAGAAAACAAGTATCGCGGACATAATTTATCATAACTCTGGTTTTATTTGGCCTATCAACACAATTTAAAAACTGGTATATAGGTTGAGGTCCTCACTTTTGAGATAAGTTGAAACGGAGTCAACGAGGCTCCGTCTTGCAGCTACATCCGGTTAAATATGTCATGTGACTTGAACGCACACACACACACACACACACACACACAGACACACACACACACACGCACACACACACACTCAGAGTCTGGTTTTTAGCACCTGCAAAAACATGCTATTTACATATTTGACAAGAATGCAGAGGCTCCTTTTGCCCCTGAAAAAAATCAAATTTCAAACACAACTTGACTGGTCATTTCTCCAAAAGACAACCATGAAGCTCCATCCAAACCTGAAGCAGGCAGTTGGTGCATGTGTACAGTAACCTGAGGGGAGTGAGGTGACTGCTTCTGAGGAGAACATGAGCAGTGAAGATTCACCTTAGAGCTAGAACAGAGACGTGCACATGATTATACAGGGGCAGGGGCTCAAGTTTTTTCCAGTTGTTTATACAATATGGAAATTAATGTGAAATTAAAAAACAAAGTATTAATAGAAAGGTAATGACTGTCCTGAGTAGGTGACAGTGATATCCAATAGGCTAGGCACTCAAGAGGCTGGCTGTGGCAAGTGTAAGTGAAAGCAACACGCACTGGCAGGAAGAACAGCAAACGCCGATGAAGGAAAAGGGTCTTTGCAGTGATGGGCGTTACCAGAGAGGGCGATGGCCAGAGGACACAAATGGGACGAGGAGGCAGCGCGTTGGGGGGGGGACGCGACACAGCTCGGGCCCGCCAGTGCCCCAACGGGGTCCTAGTATTTTCTTTGCCCCTGTTTTTCTTTTTCTTTCCTTTTTTTGTCTTTCAGACGGAAAATCTCTTTGAACACAGAGTAATATTTCGACAGATGAAAATATTATTTTCTGCCTCATGATCTGCTGCTACAGCTTTAACCTCGTTTGCACTATTATCAATCAATTTTAAGCATACAAATCACACGTGGTACATTCATTTCAAGCTGTTACATTCCCTTACCATCAAAGCCTCCCAAAGGTCTCTAAAATCCAATGTTTTCCTGCACTCTTCTGAACTATTCATACATTGTATAAATAATAAATGTGAGCTGCACAACAGGACTCAGTTTGAGACAGCGAGTGGCACTCCCCACGGCACACCTACAGAGGTGGAAAGGACAGAGTGGGCAGAAAGCTGCTACACAGCAGGACTCTTTTTATCCCCTCACGCAGGGTAACGCTGGACACTTTATAGTTATGTCCTTTCATGGATCAAAGTTAGGTCACACCTTCTGAGACCTGAACATCCATAAAGCTGGCATGGACACCATGCTGTGTGTGGGCAGAGAAGGACTGGATAGCTAACTTTCAAGTCTCTAAATCTTGTTTTATTCTTCTTACATGTGTTAAACAAGACACCACCATCTAAATAGAAAGAAACCAGTAGTCATCTGTATAACACAAGAAGCAACAGACTTGTTGATGACTTCATTGAAGTAGCTATCAGTTAAATAGACAACACCACACTTCCAGACGCCTACAAAGTAATGCATACAGACACTCAATCCATGCTCCAAGGCACATGCATGGCTAGACTGAAGATTTATTCAATACATTGACTTCTGTAGTTGGATTAGAATTTGATCAATTTCCCCTACTGTGTTTTAATTTCCCTGTGTAAGGTTCCTTCTCTTATCTCAGTAGTTTACTTAGATAAGAAGAGAAATCACGTTAGGAGTGGAAAAGCTCATTTGAATCTCTATTGGCTCTTTGATAAACAAACAAAGTTACCTAACAGCTCTTACCGTTTCACATTTTGAACAGATGAAACGGAAAATCACTCCCAAAGCTCTAGTGAATACAACCATCCACTGTATTATTGACCGGGTCGCCAGGTTGCTTAGCAACAACACTTGGTATCTTTGAGACACTAGAGTCCTCACACAGACATTCTCACTTCTCCCTAGCAACACACTAATGGATATTTTACTATTACACACAGAGCTGTGCGTGCTGTGCTGAGAATCTAAGGCTATTTTTAGAAACCGCCTGCTTTTTTTGTCCATGAGCCGAAAAATCACAAGATCACAGTCAGTATCGAACAGGATTTTAATAGCACGACCACATTTTTGTTCTGGGAAACTAAATGAATCACAAACCCTTCAACTCTGTGCTACTCTCAAGTGGCAGGGGATTTTTTTTTTCGGGAAGAGCTGAAACATCTCTACATGAGACAAACACACTGACTCATTGCCCCGGTTTCCCGCCATTGCCTTTCTGCTTTACTTTCAAAAAGGCACCCCCAGAATACCATGATGACACATAGACACCTGTAGCATGAGGGTTTCCGTTTGCTGCTCAGGATGTTCTGTAATAAAATGAGTGAGCACAGAAAGTCCAACTATACCAGCCAAGAGAGGAATGACAGTTTCAAACAAAGAATACAACACCAATGGCTGAGTGGGTGGCAGAGGCGGACAGTTTTTTATCTCAGCTGCCAACTGTGCTAGAAGACAAAAATGGCCATTCCCAGCATTCTTCCCTTTTTACGTACAGTATCCAGCACCCACCTGCTCCATCCATCCATTATTTCTGCTGATCTCAGCCCCTGACAATACATTTGCAAAGAGAAGGGAGTGCATGGGGAATGCATTATTGAACAGAGTCAGAGTCTAAGATTAGAAGCAGCGGAGTGTGAGTGCAGCACGAGTGCCAGGCTGGGAGTCTCTATAGATAGAAAGGTCATCTATCACTGACACAACAGATAGACAAGGTGTCATTATCCACCATGAATGTTGATGGTGTTTTCTGCTCGATCGGCAGCAAATGTAACAGTCAGGTTTCACTGTGAGCTGCAGATAGAACAGAATAAAGAGCTGATTGAATCGACTGTGGGAAGCATCCAGTGAAATCCAGAGGAGTGTTTGATGGATTGTTTTGTCATTCAGTATGAATTCCCAGGGGAAATGAAGCTTTTTTTTTACCCTCCTCTTCACGATTCTGGGCTATTTTTAGACAGGAGTTCCTTCTAAAATGGTGCAGTGTGCCTTCAATTTATGCACAGACTGTGGGAGGATAGCACATTTTCCTGCCTCTGCTTAACACTCGTCAAAGCAGTATTTTTTTTTTACATTTTCAAAGCTTTGGGGTTTCCTCGATGTCCAGATTGATAATACCTCCTAACCAAAGCAGCACACATAGAAACTACCGTGTTTAAGGGTCTTAAACACTGAAAAGTTGACTCTTTGTTTTTATCATGGGACACATGAAAATGATTTGTCTTTGTTTATCCTCTCATGATCTTTAATCGAATTTGCACTCTTGATGGTTGTAAACAGCTGTAAATCAAAGAGTCTGAATCACTTGAACCCGCTGCTTTGTGGAGCCAGATCTTTACATAATGAGCAGCTTCTCACTGCTGTGGGACCTCTCTGCCTCGACAAACACAGACCCTGGCTCTTATGCAAGCAGCCGTCATGCCCTGTCCTCACGTTGATATAAACTATGTGTATGTGAACTTGTGACCAATGTTGCACCTTTTCTCTAACAGCTATAAGACTCTTCCAGTGAACCTAAGAATAGGCCCTAGAGGCAGTATTCTTGGTTGTCTCACAGACAGTCGATAAATCTTTTTCTGCTAGAAGTGTGGGTGGTACTCTCTTCTTGGCGCTGTTATTGCCGAGAATGTTACGTAACGCAGTAGCATGCCGCTGTTTGATATGATGGTGTTAAAGAACGCAGGTCTTGTGACACATTCACACACAAGCCTGTTGCTGTTAGTCCATGGACACGTTTTTGTTGCGTTAAAAGCAGTGTTTTAATTGATGTCCAAGCGGGGAAGCACAGATGTACAGAACAACAACAGAGCATCATGTACGGAGAAGCGGCGTGTCTGTGCTTATTGTAATCCAATAATTATTGTGCCGTTGAAAGCATACAGGAATAAACTTTTGTCCACTCTTTGGCTCCAAAGCACTTCAAAAACTCTCTTTTATTTGGTCTGAAAGATAAACTTTTTCCCCACATTGGGAATCTCTGTTTTTGCCAAAAATCTGAGGAGACTTGTTAATTCAGGGATTGGCTTTGCATTAAAAGAACCAAATGCAAAATTACATAAATTACATCAGTACAAATCCATCATACAATCCCTTTAGATACATTTTCTTTTTCTCATCCTCCTTCTGTTTTGTGTTGTTTAACTGACCATATTAAGCATTTAGGTTTACCAAAAATAAATAAATTAATAAATACATTTGCCATCTGTCTTGAGTTTTGCTTTATCTCAGTCTGACCTATAATTTTGAAGCTACTGTGTACGTGTTTGATGTCCTATTTAGGCAGACTGCTTTGTCAGTCAAGAATCTGTTAGTTTTTTAACACGCTTCTCAAACTTATGAGGACCTCATTGACCTTTGATTTATGGTATCCAAATCTGTTGTGTTAGGAATTGTTTGATTCATACTTAATAAAACATTCAAAAAAAGTGTGTTTTTCAACTTCCCTCAGTCCAAATTGATATAGTTAAATTACTTTCATCAAACAACAGCTCATATACCAAAGTCTTACTGCATTAAAACTGGGGCAATCACAATATTAGATTTTCACCTTACAAGTTTTGTGGCCATAAAATATCACAATAACAACATTATTGCATAAATTTTGGAAAGACAAGGGTGGAGCAACATAATATATCTGCCCATAAATATTAAAAGTTTGTCAATTTTATGAATAAACACAATTAACTAACACGTCCTCATCCATTTGGAATGATGTACAAATGCATGATTCATCCCAACTGTTCCCAACTGACACAATTTTCTTATTATTATTATTCTGATACTTTCTGTCTTGGGTGAAGATGGCTTTATTTCTTATATTTGCATTTTTAAGTATAAGCTACCTCCAGTCGCTCCTGATTGCTTGTTGGGGGACTGAATAACATGATTTAAAAAACAGTCTAAGTGTATATTTGTTCAATAAGTTAGTAACCCAAAGGGGCACAAGCTACGTTGTATTTAGATTTACAGAAATATTGTTGAATTTTTTAAAAAGTGCCAAATTGTCTCTTTGAAAGCTGTCTTAAAACAAGTATGCAACCAGCAAAGAGGACCTCAGTTTAACCTCACAGTATTACTGTTTATTTTGGTGGAGGAGAGACTGACCACTCCTTTTCTTGAGGGTCAGATTTTGTGGTCTAGTGCTGCTGCTGCAGCTGCTGCTGATGCCAACGCAGAATTCCTCTCTATCATTTTAAACCTGAGTCTTAAAATGTAGTCAAAGATTTTATTGATAACAATCACATCAAACAATATATTATGTTGCACAATGATTTATGGATGGTTCACACCAACGGTCTCAGAAAATACATCAGTTTTATACCTGAAAACAGATGTGCAGAGATGTTTTTACTTACTTGGCAAGTTTCATCTCAATCTGCTGGCGGATTTCCTGACGCTCCTGGTCGCTCCTTGCTGGGAATATGTTTCTGTCCTCCAGCTCCTGTTTGCTTGGTCTGTTTCGTAGTTTGACAGCCAGCAACTCCTTCCTTAGCCTGCGAGGAAGTGTGCCTGCAACCACAAATATACAGATTATCACACAGGAATTAACAAATTACAATCTTTTCAATGGCCAATGCCAATATTTAGAGAGCATTTCAGCTAATATGTAATGCTGCTATCATGATTATGTTTTTGTTCTGCAGATTTGATCGAATACAAGCTGCTGTGAGGAGCTTTTGGTTCGTGTTGACTCCCCCCAAGTAATAAACTTATCTTTTACTCTGTACATGTGAGGGTATTTTTTGGACAAAAACGTCCTTCTTCTGTCTCTTTACAGTGAACAGTTTCACTTAATGTGGGTAACATAAAAAAGTCTGTTTTTTAGCCTGATGTCAATCATTGGTCTGACACCCACCCTTCACAGGAGTTACAACAGAGATTATCATCCCTGTTGCTGATGGTCTTATTTGATTCTCAAGTTCATAGAGGCACCTGTATCAGTTTCAGTCTGTTAAAAACTTCTTATAGTGCCTTTAATAATTACATCCACTGGTCAATGCACATTACAGTCTAATATTCATGGGTACGTAATCCATGCCGTCGTCTAAAGGGACAAAAACCAAAACGGTGAACTGCAGGATGTTAAATGTCTCTCTGAAACTGTAAAAGCTGGCTAAGACGATGCTTCGACTGGAAAGTGGGGCTCAGTAGTATTCAGGACAGGTGTCAGACCTGGCTGTTCTCTGGGGCTCAAGGAAAACAGCTAAATTTCCAGCCATAGCAATGATGGTTTTCAGGCAGGTCAGTCTGATTACTACAGGGATTCATTTATTTATTCTATGTTTTTTTTTTTTTTTTACTTAAGTAAATAATAAAGAGGAAATCAGCACTCAAACTCATAAAACACTATTTAATTGTATGTAACACAGTGTGAAAACAAAAACAAACCCTGTATTCAAGTCAAAGTGCTTCCATACAGTAAATCTAAATAACACCTTTGAACTCTTTAACCCACCAGAGATGACAGATTCATTCCAGCCGTCCAAGTCAGTGGGGAGGCCTGAGGTGTTGGAGAAGCAATGGTCCAGCCGCACGTTCTCCTTGTTCTCCTCCGCTTCCTTTTTGGGCCAGTCAGACCCTCCACCTACCACACAGCTGCCCACAAAGGTTGATGTGTGTTGGTTCTCTGAGCTGCAGGAGCGGGAGAGCCGACCATCAGAGCACCACAGCCGGGGAGGTGAGCCCTGCTCACACCCTTCATGTACACTGAGGGGACACGGGGAGGAATGTACATGCAGGATTATGTCAACAGCACTAGGAGGAGATTTCAGGTATACCTACAGTTTGGTATTTTACAGTCTAAGAGAGAAGGCTGTTGTATGAGTTCAATTAGAGCACCAACCTCTCCTGTCTGTTCTTGGAAGCAAAGGCTCTCTGCAGTTCCTCCATGATGCAACTTGGGGGCATGGGAGGGTGCATCATGTTGCCGAGATGAGGGGACCCTGAAGGATTTGATAGGGGCCCTCGTAGTGGTAGGGTCATTGAAGCCATGCTCTCTGTGGCCCTGGATAGAGGCTCCTTGGGGAGGTAGGAGTTTGGCAGGTGAGTGGGGAGCGACACTGGGCCTGAATCTGAAAAAAAGGCAAGATAAGACACACAAAAGATGTAGCTATAGTGAGCCATGTGTTTTTACAATCAAAAGACAGAAAGATCAGGCTGTATGAATCAGTGACCTATACTTACGCTGAGGTAAACACTTCAGGGGTTTTATTGATTGTTTTTGGTTATAAATGCCTGGTACTCGCCATGAAACGTTTTGGTTGTGGAGCGTAAAATCATCTGGTCTGATATTGTCGGGAAAATGTTAAGCACAGACACAAAATTTAAGGTGAGGTAAACACCTGCAAGGTTTTTATTCAATGTTGACATGGTTTTCCCCACGCCTGAGACCATTAAATACTTTGGTTGTGGAGCGTAAAATCATCTGGTCCAATATTGTCGAAAGAATAGCGCAGCATGACAGCAAGATGATGTCACTGGGTGAGGTAAAGCTAATCAAGATCAGTAAAAAGATGAGTGGCTCAGCTTTATCCATATGGTCACCAAGACTAGCACATGACAGTGACTCACAGGCAATTTCAAAAATCTATCTATTTTTATAAACCTGTCCTTTGTAGGATGATGGGGGAATTTTTTAAAAAGCAATTCTTGATATTTAGACACTTCTGTGAACTTTACTCATAGGTGTGTCTGATATGACAGGAATATATGAAGCAAAAAGGATTGTAGAAAAACCAACCCTATGAGTTTCTTTCAAAGAAATCAATCTGAAGAATAAAATACTATGAAATGGTTTACATTTGGCATGGACAAGATTATGGTTTGCTGCCCTCCTCATTTATTCAGGTGAAAAATATTTACTAACCTTTATTTCTTGTATGAATTGTGGAGAAAAGTCAAATTATGACACATTGGAATGGGACTTTTCATGATACAGAGTGTCGTTTTTCATATATGCCGTAATACAGCAAACCCCAATTATATTATTTGATCTGAATCAAATTTTCTACAGCGTGCCAAGAGGAACTCATGAAGCTTTTTGGGAGACATACCACAGACTTTAGGAGAGGGGTCTCGGGTAATAAATGGACTCTGCTGTGATGCTATTTTATGCACTCTCTGGGGAAACTGGGATTTTTGCCATTAGCTATTATTGTTTCATTGTATTATTGTTGTTGTGTTATGGTAGTGTTATTATAAATATTTTTTACTGGTTATTTCTTTACTAAAAGACATTAAAAATGCACATTTTAAAAATCTAATCCATGCAGTATTGTACTACACTGTTGACCCACCATCACCTGTCACCATCTCCACTTCTCCTTCATCATACACCTCTGTCCTTTTCTCTTTCATCATCATTATATTCTGCTGTGGGTCTGTTTTCAGGGGTGCAGTAGGATCAGACACAAATTGCTTTGTAATTAAAAAAATGTGAATCTGCAACACGGATGACGAATAGAAATGTAGATTGTGTTAACTATCACCCTCCAATAAGTCAAAGTCATTGAGGCTCACTTTCTCTTACACCTCTGCGTCTCACCTCCTGCTATAAACTGTGTCAGGCGGTGTGTTAACTTGTGAGTGGTCGTATGACTGAGAGAGAGGGAGCGTTAAATGTGAGCAAAGTAGACCGCGGACAGCAGTATCAGTCTGGCGGTATGTCTATTTTAAAACCATACACAGAGCCGCATTTAAAGCATTCAGGGGTTGAGGCAGATTGTGACCCTTCCCTGGGTTTACAGGTGTGCATGTGTGTGAGCTGAAAATCAATTTTAGAATTTGAAGAGCTCTACCTTTACCCATAGAAAAGAAAAGACTGAAATAAAAAATCCTCTGTGTCTTGGTTGGGGTTCCTGCATTGCCTTGAAAAGTCTTAGTTCCAATTTAATACATCTAAGCCCCCAAAAGTCTTATTTCTACTTGGGATAGGTCTTAAATTTTAGATGGGACATTTCTGAACACTTTATTAAATCTACAATATCTAAACAAGGTTATTTTTTCTTGTGGATTTACCAGTGACCCACAACTACAGCTCTGGTTAACTTGAACCCTGCGTGATTATTTGTATAAGGTCCCTCTTCATATTATAACTAGCAACAAGTTAGGTAATACTTTTTTTTAAACTCTGCTTCTTGGTAGATTAAGAATAAGAAGAACTTTATTTATCTACGAAGGAAAATTCAACATTGGGGTTGGGGTAATTTTACGTATTGATCTTCTGCTTTGAAAAATCTGTGATCACTTACTCAGGGGTAGGTTTGATGAGTGGTTTGATTTCTGATTTAGACAAAAAAGCACCTAAGTGAGACTCCTTGACATATTTTAGATGTCTAAATTTAAAAAGAATAAATAAATTAATAAAATAAAATAATTTATATAGCACTGTCTAGAGGTAATATATACAATGTGCATTACCTGTAACTGTACTGAAATTGAATAAACTCTTCGGTTAGATGCTGCTAAGTATTCTTTAACAGTGTCGTTCTCATTTTAATTCTAGTAAAGAGGTTTGTTATTGACCTTATTTATTTACCTCTCCTAAATCTAAGAACCAACTGTAGTTCAAACAGAGCAGCAGCTTTAGTACATCTGCTGATGTAACTCACCGTCTCCTGTACTCAGCTGGGGCAAATGTTTAGGAGGTACTTGTGGTGGAGAAGTTCCTGTAGAGATATCCTCCTCTGATCTTTCCTCCATCTGCTCCCCCATGTCTTGCAGACCCTCAGGTAAATCCCCGGCAGGATGCACCTCTTCTCCCCCCTCCTCCTGTGGTATTGATACATTCTCCTCTGCCTGATCACAGTCCTGGGGAGGGGCAGCTATCGGCAGACAGGAATAGAGGGGGATCTATATTAGTTTTGCTGCACAGAATATAACTATATCATCACTGTTTAGAGGTTGGCAGCTAATTGATACTGCTTGTAGATGGATGGGCGTTTGAAATACCAGTGTGACAGAACTAGTGGAAAAATACATCTGACTTATACTAAGAGTCAACAGCGGTATGGATTCATGGAACTACAGTTATTGTTTGAGGTGGAAGAAGAAACACAGACTCAAAAAACTTTTTACTTACCTGCCACTTTAAATTTACTCTAAAATGTTGGTTTTGCATGTTGTCATGTACAGTATATTACAGACCTGTCATTGCAGATGAAATCTGAGACAATGATCTTCACTGAACCGTCTTTGCTGCCCTCTAGTGGTATATTTTTAGGGGCTAAATCCACATAGCTGTTTGATCCGCAGAAGCAACAGCTTTGTGGATCACATGAAGCAAAAATACTTCTGATGTTTGCATTCTTAAAACCATGACACGATATTGTTTTCACCCACTTTTGTAGTGAGAGACTCTATAATAATCATCTTTAACCACACTGGTTCTATGCACTTTATTAGAGACCACAATTGTACATTGTCGTATTGATCTACTGCTAATGTAAGAGAAAGATAACAGACCACTTTATAAATCCATTCTCTGACTCGTCTGTGTGTTTTGCAGCTCCATAACATTCATTGATTTGGTGACTGTAAGTAGAGTGAGGGATTGTCCTACCAGGCGGGGGCAGCTCCTCCTCAGGACCAAGGTACTCCACACTGCTGACTGTGAGGTTTGAGTTCAAAGGTCCCCCGAATCCTCCAAGCAGGACCGTACCATCTGAGCAGCAGCCCTGGGTGGGGGAGTGTGGGTCGTGGCATAGAAGACCGCTAGATAATGCTACATCTGTGGGGAGGAAGACAGGTGTGTAGCTGTCAGGACTTTTGCAGGTCATTCATGTGAAATAATTTAGTCTATAAACATCAATCTTTGGGACTGATGCTACACCTCTTTTGGTTTAATCTATTTTCTCCCATATTTAGAAAGCTAAAATATACTCTTATAAAAGAGTCCATTTCAAGACCATTTCATTTATTTGCCTGTTCAATTTTGATGCGAATGATTTGACTATTTTAACTCATGTTTTGACTTCTAACATTTACACTAGAATATAAAAAATAGCCATAAAAAAGCATGCGCAGCATAAACCCCCACCTCAAAGTGAATCACACAGGAGAGCACAGACTGACTGACCAGCCCCACACTAGACCTGTGATGTGACCATCACTGAAAATTTCCCTGAATGACATTTAGTCTTTGTGTCACCTTGAGTCAACGGCACTCTCCATTACAGCAAGAGCATCACATTCAGCCTTGTGTTCAGCAAATATAATGCATGACATTGTGCAGGTACCTGCTATGACTGCTTTTACAAATATGCACACAAGGTGACTGTGCAATAGTCCATACATATATAGTCTGAATTGTCGAACCCACGGTTGGTCTGTATGATGACATCGTCATTTTTCTGGATGAGGAATTTCAGATGGCCTCTGGGCTTGAACTACATCAGTGTCATGATACAAGGTCCTATTTTATTGAAAAGTAATGACCCTAACAGACAAGTTTTTAAAAGCTAAATCAAACAAAAATGCCCACTGTTGGTATATTTTAGAGAAGTCCACACTCCTCAGTTTAATTTTTTAAACATATAGCCCATGTGGTGGCTCTGATTTCTGTTTTTTTTTTTTTTTGAGCCATTTATGTAAGTGTTGTAACTGGCTATGATTAATATGTGAACTCCAGATGATGTCAATATAAGAGGAGCATGAAGGACTTGATTTTTAGGAACAGCTTAAGAAGACAGCTGCAATTTAAAATGAATTGTATGTTGTATTTTGGAATAATATGCTATAATGTGGTTATTATTAATACTGGCAAATCATGAGTATTGAGTAAAAATCTGGAGAAGTGTGCTTTGGGATCATAATGAATTAAAGAGCACTGACTCCATTCACACAGTAACAGCATGTAATCTCACATAAACTCTCTCACACTCTCTCATTACCTCTTCCGAACTCAATCCACTGCAGGAGATGCAGAGAAACGTGGGCATTTCAATGTGTGTGAATCTATTTTTAGACGTGGACCTGGAAATACTACAACCACCCACGACTCCACTTCACCCTACACCCACTCATCTTTCTCTGTACCTGTGGAACTCTGCTTGAGCTTCTCGTTTTTCTTTTTTCTCCATTTCCAGGGTTTGAAGATGCGTCCCAGGGTGGCCAGCTTGCTGTTACGTCGGATGGGTGGAGTGTGGACCCCGGTCACCAGGCAGCCGGTCCTCAGCACCCTCTGCTGGTCAACTAAATCTACTACAGGGACGATGGAGTCGGAAGAGAGGCCCAGAGGAGAGCCCAGAGGTGCAACAGGAGGATGAAAATGGTTAAGGAGAGAGTGTAAAAGACAGGGAAAAAGTTGAGGAAGTGTGTTATAGTGTAGAGGTGAAGATTTAAGACATGCAAGGATGGAGAAAATGTGCAAAAGTAAGTGAGAGGAAGCAGAAACAAGGAGAGAAAGAAACCAGAGCACAATTAGTATGCTCACCTTACTGAATAAACCATGATGGACTCCAAGTGCTGTGAACAGATTGAATTAGAGAGACTAATTTGATCACAGCACACTCCCTCACGGCTGTGAGCCCCTTCCCACTGAGCTATACGTCATGTTTCAAAATAAATAACAGACTCACAGGCCAATTTTTGAAGGGATCAGAACGGCACACAGACACCGACAGCTTCATAAGGCTACAAAAAGATCTGTTTCCCCTGAGACCAACAGGTGTGCCAGGAGCGCTGCTTTCCCAGCATTAGACTCTGCTACCTGGTAAAAAAACAGCGAGGGCTGATTGTTTTTCATTGTGTCAACCCCCTATCTCTGATGCACTGCTCCTTTTCTGAAACTAAATGTCCTCTGGTCCTAGCTCTCAAAGATGTCTTCCAAAGTGCAAAATGTTTGAAAAAGGTGAACAAAAAATCTCTGTACGATATACCACACAGTGACATGGAAAAGGCAGACAACATGGGCTGCATACAGTGTGTCTTCATTGTTCCATCTTATGAAACATGCTTTGGGTGCCTGTGCGTGTGTTTTGTTGCATATGACAACCTTACATGTGTTTGTTTTCTCCTCTGAAGACTAAAGATCACTATTCTGTTTTGAATTACAAAGAATACCATGTTCCTCCCTGATCGTTTTTGCTAATTGCTTGAGGATATGATTGGAAATAAACAGGGGAGTAGGCAGCAATCTATGATGAGTGCATTTGATAAAATTAATCTAACGTAATAAATAGGCTGTCCCCTTCTACCATGCTGCCATCTCTACACAGAGAGCATAAAATTAAACTTCTATTTCAATGCATGATGGTTGTGACTCATATCAGGAAAGTGTGGGTCTAAAGATCCGTACACGCACATTAATGCTTGTTTGCCTTCATGCAGTCTCTGAGAGTGCCAAGAAAGAGGAAATGTGCAATAAATGCATTAATTTAAGTGCTACATACGTCAGTGTGACAAAACTGTGGCGATATCTGCCTTCAGGAGGCTAATATCTTTGTTCAATATTCAGCTGAGGAGGAGGAAAGGATTTGTGATGGAGGAGGTTGGGGAAAGGGGGGGGGGGGGGGTGAGTCTTAGGGAGTACAGTGTTGGAGGGGGAGGATACAGCTGACTCTTTCATGCTTTTTTGCTGCCCCTTGCTTCCTCCCTGAAGCACATGTGGAGGGGGTAGAAAGAGTATGATGGTGGGGAAAAGGGAGGGGAGAAGGAAAGAGTGGAAAGGGAAGAAAGAACAAGGAAAGGGAGAAGAACCAAGAGTATAAAGGAGAAGAGAAAAGAAAAGAGGAAAAGAGGGGAGGGTAAACAAAGAATGAAGAGGAGAGGACAAGGAAATAAAAGGGGAAAAGTAATAAGAAAAATGAGAATATGAGATGAAAGGAGGTAATTTCCAGTTTGGCTTTGAGCATCAAAGTTCCAGGAAACATGTCAATTGACCATGCACATCCGTCTCACCATGTTATCATCACTACTGTCACACATGCAGCGTGGCAGACGTGGCGTGGCACGCAGAATCCAGGTCAAGCTTGAAGGAAAATGCACCCAGTTGCTCAAAAAAAAAAAAAAGCTTAAGAGAAGAAGAGGGGGGAGTGGGAGGGGCTGAGGCGTTGTGTTTGTGTGAGAGGCAGAGAGAGAGAGAGAGAGAGAGAGTGAGAAAGAGCGCATGTGTGTATGAAGTGTAAGGGAAGAGAGGGGCGAGAGGGGGTGGGGTCAGGCCTGCTGCTGTTGCCATGGCGACCACATCCAGATGCTGCCGCAGCAGTGGGAGCCAGCAGGAGGAGCGAGTCTGTGTGTAGGTCAGAGGAAGAGGAGGAGAGAGGAGAGCAGAGGAGCCCCCTACTCAGACAGTGCATGCCACATCTTAAGCCAGTGGCAGCACCCAGTGCATTGTGGGTATGGGGGTGAAGCCTCATGGAGGATGAGCTCTGTCTGCATTTAGAAACAGGGAAGGAGATGAAGGGAGGGAGGCAGGGAGGGAGGGAGGGGTTCAGTAGAGGAGGAGAGAAAGAAGAAGGGGGATTCCGGGGAGAAGAGATGAGAAGGAGAGATGGGAGGGGGCTGTTGCTATACGGAAGCGCTTGCAGGAGAATCTGGGTTCGTCCAATCACGACGCAGCTATTTATAATGCATATCAAGTAACTCTTCATTTTTCATAGAAGGGGCGGCTGTTCATAGAAAATGACAGGAGTCTGGGTAGAGTACAGGAATTAGGTGAAAACACATGGAGATTTTTTTTTTATCCGCTGAATGAGGATGTATTCAAATGTATGTCAGATAAGCATGGGCGGACTACATGCACCATGTGGCGATTACGTGCAATTCTAATTAATATGCTAATGCAAATAGGATTTATTAAATCCATGTGTCGTGCTGATGCGCTGGACCAATAGTCTGTTCGCTCCGTGCCCATGTCTCTCTCTAACACTAGTCTGCACACACTGTAATTCCAACTGGGTGGCGGCGTTTTAGCTCCTCACTGGATAAAAGATTAAACTCCTAATAGAAAACGTAATATCATTCATAAAAGGACCCCAAATATAAAACCTGCATAATACATTTTATACTGCATTAGTGCAGTACGAAGTCAAAATGATTTAAGAGTGGGATAAAGTGGGCAATATGATAATGTGACTTGGCAAGAAAACAGAGACTGTAAGTGTGCCACCAGGGACCACACCCCACTTAACCAGCTTGTCAGCACATTCAGGAGCAGAAGATCTCCCCTCTACATGTACACAGTGAGCACATCCCCCTCCAGCCCAAGGTGAGCTAACAAGACATCTTCAATGAAAGTATAGGAATATCACCTTAGAAATAACATCCACTCATGAGTGAAAAGTTTATTTTTCTGCTCTGCTGTATCACTGACAACCACAAAGAATGTGAGTGAGCAATAAATACTCCTCTGAATCTGTGTGTGTGTGTGTGACCTTTACAGTTTTTGTAATCACACTGAGGGGTAGGATCAAATGAGCAGCAGAGTTTCAGCAGTGAGGTTGTATGAGGCAAAGCCTTGGTTTGCTGAATCACCTGATCACTGATCTAATGAGTGGGTTTGTGTTTTTAAATCTTTCACTGTAGTAGAAAAAGGCACGTCAGAGTGAAACAGCTCTGCTATCAACATCGTATTATTCAGGGGCACAACAAACAGGCACTGTTGCCTTCAGTGCAAGGATATCGACTAGTCACTTAGTGGCTTCTTTGATGAAATGAAATAATGAGCTATACTACAAAAGTGTACGGATTTAAAAAAACTGACATTTATAGCATCTAGCATTTATTTACGTCATTAGGTTCTTTGGATACTAATGACTTTATCAATACTCTGTCTTTTGCCACACTGGGTTTGATCTCACCTTAAAGCTCCAGTGAGGAGTTTTTTTTTTTAACTTTATGAAATATACTCAGATTTGTACAGATGCCTTTTTATGACGCATAAATGCAAACAAGACCCTCAACAACAAGATAAATCATTTTTTTTTTTTTATTTCCAATGCTTGAATCCGGTGTGAGGGAGTAGATATCAGCGAAGCAGCTGAAGAAATAGTTTTTACATGTTTTCATGTTATGCTCTATAAATCTATAAATTACAGATTTTACAGTCAAAAGAAGATTGATGTGATTTTATTGTCTGAAGACACAACTTAAAGCTCCTATGAGGAGTTTTTTATGTTGAAGAAATTGAATGAACCTCATGGTGTTGCCTTCAAATGATATACAAAACCCGTGTCTATACCAGGTTATTTCAGTTTACGTAAGTTTGTACTCATATACCAAGCCTGTTTCTCATGACAAAAGAATATATCAATCCTTGTATAACCTTTCCTGCTAACTACATTTGTCCTTCAGTGTTCTTATCACAGCTATAAATAACACCAGACTGACCCTCAAAACCTATCATGTCTGTAAACCCAACAGAGTCTCTAGTCCTCGCTCCAGTCACCCTGCGCCTTCCACCCAAGCAACTGACAATGTGCCCTTGAATGGACCACCTCCTTACCCGCTGCCACGCCAACTAACCTCCTCACTTTACCCCCCTGGCTTTACAACTGCGCTGCCATCTGTCTGTAGCCCTTCTGCCTCAGGGGCCCGGCCACAGTCAGGGTGCACGGCTAACAACTTACAGGGAGAAAGCACAGAGCAGAAAGGCTGAGAAACATAAAGTGGAAAGAGTATGAATGAGAAACAGGCTGAAATCTAAAATAGTAGTCGCCAAGTTTAGACTGATTTATTAAGGAATGAGCTGAGATGTGATGAACACCTTCGCAAAATGACTATTCAGGCTCTAAATAGAGCAAAATCCACCTAACAAGGACATTAATAACATCTGAATTCCTGTCTCATAAAGCTTCCTTTCTTCTGTGAGATTTATTTTGTCGCTGCTCTGGCTCATTATAGATACAAGCAATACAACACTGCATATCTACTCACCTATTTCCATTCTGTCAAAGTGTGTTTCAACAATACATAGATATTGAAAATACTAATGAGCAAATGTTATTCCTCTCTTTGAATAGCTTTATTATGGAATGCAGCTTGAACAAGTCTGCGACCAAAATTCATCAGGCAGTGGACCAAGAACCCTAATTGAGAACAGCGAGGTCGTGTCCCTGTTTTCTCTCTTTCATGTTTATTCATTCCTGTTTTACATACCAAAATGTATTTCATTAGGAGGGTAAAGAATAGTTGCCCATCTAATGAAATACAACGCTGGCATTTTACATCCTATTCAAAATTCAAACACAAAAAGACTGTCCATGTTTACACAAACAAACAAGTCGAACTACATCAAGCCATATGTCCTTAGTATAGGGGCTAAGATTACTTATTCTAACATGTGTGTTGTGATATAGCTTTTTTGGGATTTAAACACATTTCTAGGAAACATAATGAGTGTGGTGTAAGGCTACATGAGTCAGCAAAGGTCAAGCCTCCAGATCATCAAAGTGATTACAGCCCAAGTGTGAAACTCCAGAGTGTGGGATTCTGGCATCAAGAGAGTGAAATTATGGCAGCAAAGCCAGCAACCAATAGGAAACGCCCGAGGCTCTTGCTTCTTACCATATGTTGGTGTTGAGAATGAGGACTAGTGGGTGGTTTGGTGTGTAAGCCTTTGCTGCAGCATCAACAAAGAGAACTGGGGATCTGGTTAATTCTGAGTCTGTTTAAAGGCTGCTATTGTTTACAACGGTTTTTGTTTCTTTCAAAACCAGGAGGATTTCATGGATAGATTTTGGGACAAGAGCAAAGTTTGAGGGTGACTGCGAAAATACTGGATAATCACAGAAAAAAAAATGGAATTAGTTTAAACAGCTATGTGTTATTTTATATATCACATTTACTTGTGATTGTAGTAACGCCTAACTGCCAAGTCTGTGTACCATGCCATGCTTTTGTGTATTTAGGAGCAACTTAATCTAGTCTGAGAAGTAACTCATACCCAAATAAAGTCAGCCATAACCAAATAAAGTAAGTCATACCAAAAGTGTAGCTCTTACTGATCTTGTTTCCTCTTGTCTAGATCTTGTCTTGTGTTGTTCTTGCTCTTGAATGTATGTCGCTTTGGATAAAAGCAACTGCAAAATGGCATTGTGACATTGTAACACACCCACAGAGATGCCAATGGGGTAACATGGGTGGAGCCTGGAAGTGAAAGCTTTTTTGACAACTTTAAAGACACTGTGAGGACGTTTAATTGATTTTAAAATGGTACCACTCTAATTCTAATGCTTCTTCATGACCTACATGGGAAATGATCAGTGACATGATTGAAGCTTGAGTCAATATTTGGCATCCACTCAGAAGTAGGGATAGTCAAGTTTGGCACTGTGAAGTAAGTTAGCAGGAGTTACTTGGGAGTAAGTTATTTTGACTGTCTTGTTAGAAAATGCTTTGTATTTATGGCTCAAACTACAGTGGGATTAGCAAAAATAGATCCAGTATGTTTTCTCTGTAAGTGTTGTTTTAGACTGAGCAGTTGTACATCAGACAACTATATGAGGACAAAAGAGTCAAACCTGTGCATATTTACGTTGTTTGGACCAGAGTGCATATCATGTCACTGGGGCTGTGAAGGATAACATCAGACAGGTACATTTGATTACATTTTGAAAGCTGGCATGAGGTAATTAATCATAGTTTACAAACTTTTACTGTCATTCTGTGTAACCATGAAATAATACCTCACCTTATTATCCTGCATCCTGTGAAAAATTATCTTCGGGGGTTTACCCCCACTCTCGTGCCGCTCAAGGAGCTACGCTGTTATGTTCATGTTACACTATGTTACGTGACCCACGCTACTCACTATAGCCCGTGTAAGCTTGTACGTTACCCTTCACATTATGAAACAGGGTCCGACAGGATTGATGCGCTCCTTTATGTATAAAAACAAGGCGAAAATAACGTTGTGGAAAATAACGTTGTGGAAAATAACGTTGGTTAACGTTGGAGTCATCAAAATCAGTTTAGGACCAAGTTCCTTACAGTGCCTTTAAGTTAAATAAAGTGCTATATAAAGGTCAGCTTTTGAAAAAAATAACCTGAAATATTACAAAAAGTTGAGTATTGACCAGTTCTTCATGCTAAGTGTCAGAGAGTTAGCTCATTTTGTTGTAATTTATGCCATCTGAGAAACTACAGATTTTTTATTGATTAAGCTGCTCAGAATGAAGAGTACAAAAAAAGCCCTGAATAAATCTAATGTCAAGTCAGTGAACAGGTAAGACTTATTTTCTATTATTGCTCATTTGCACCTATAAAATATCTTCAAATTTAAAAACGAAGCCTTAACTTTCTCATGGACATGCTGCCGTATTTCAACCAAAAATGGATGAGGCTATATTCAAGCAGCTGTGAAAACCTCACTGTAGTCATCACATCCACTCAGTTGGATGAAAATGTTCCTGCTAAATGTGCCTTTCCTGTCACCCACACAATAGGGTGAGCCTCTGGAACTGTCACTCAGTCTTTCCTTACCAACAACAACAACTACCTGAGGAAGAAGAAGTCCCTGACATTGTTTAGGAAGACTTACAGTCCATGGTTAAGTTTTGGGCTCTGTTCCCACTATAAGAAATTTCATCCTATTTCATCAAAAAGCTCTCTCCAATCAGGTAATGGAAGACTTGGTTCACCTTTCTCAGTCTTTCACTTTAATAGAACAACTTGCAAGATTCATTCCACTCATTCAGCTTGTTTTATATTTTAAACATAGACTCATCTCTAGCAAATGAAAATTACACTTTAAGACCCTGCTGAGTAAAGACAGAGTTTTGAATCCTATTTACTAAGACTTCCCCCAAACAAGGTCACAACTACAATACTGCAGCAGACAGAGCATCAATCAACAAGTTAAGCAAGTGTACTCCTGCAACCATATTTCAACTCATATTTAGTCTTTTCTTGAGATAAAAAATGTAAATGTAGGCATTCTTGGTTCCCTGGAAGCAGCTGGCACTCAAAGTTTATGCACAGCTGAGTTAGCTGTGGGTTTTCAATAGTGTGTGGGCGTTTTCAGTCAACAAGGATAGTAATAGACTCCAACATCAGTCAGGTGGGTGGGTAGTAGTAATACGTTCCTGTTGTCTCTTCTGTTTTAGGCCAGTGTCTGTAACATTTATATAAAGCATACTGTGCACGAGAGACAGAGAGAGTAAATATTCATAGCACAAGAAGGTGTATGACTAAATGAATGCTTGCTCGCTTGTTTTCATGCTGATGCTTGACTCAGAAGTTAATAGCTTCAATCCACTGGGCTTCTTTCACTCCATGAGGAGGAAAACACACCATAGTCTCCAGATAGGTACCAGACTGGTACCACTGTAAAACAGTTCCACTGCAACACACACATTTGGATTCCCTCAAGTGTGCAGCAATGCAAGTGTGGGATAGCTTGGGCCTATTAAAATCAATGATCCAGAGCAGCAGCTGAGCTAGAGTGGGGAGACATAGTATACAGTAGTGTGTACAATGCTGCTACTTATCAGAGGAAACACAGAAGAAAGTAAAAATAGTGCAACATTTACAGCCATGATATTGTCCACAAAAGGCTCTACTTATCTCATGTGTTAGAGTTCAAATAGATCAGGCAAGGTCTGCATGAACAGCTTGTTTTGCCGTGCTAGACAGTATGGACATGAGTCAGTGGGCTAACCAACTTCTAAGATCATTTGTCATATTTGTCAGTACACCATGTAATATCCATGACGGTTGCCATCTCATGCATATCATGGAGAACATAATGAGAAAATGGGGTCAACATATACACCTCCATCTGGTTTCATTAAGATCACCAACAGAACTTGTAATGGATTACACTGAATTAGTGTGCCAGACATGGTTCCAATTGGTTTAAGAGCTTCCTTTTTAACAGGAAACAATGTCAGCCAACTTTATGAAATAGACTCAAATTAGATGTAGGCTTGTGAGTGCTATTCAGTACTTTATTACCTGAAAAACTGCAAAAGAAACACATTTTTGCAGTCTCAGAACTTGTTTTGGTCTCAGAGGAGCAGAATGAGTCAGTCCTTCAGCTGATACTGTCATGTCTGGGACTGATGGCAGACAGAAAAGCTGCCCAGAAAAGTTTTGAAACACATTTGCTTGTGCGATCAAATAAACTGCCTGCAGCTGCTCTGTTCTAGTGGAAGGCCTCAGTTGTAAAAACACATTATCTGGAATAGCTGAACAGGTTAGGGACATCTAATAATTCAGTGTTGATAAAGAAGTTGCTGGAAGCCACTTACTCATCAATAATGACCACACACTCAGTAAAAAGCCTGGCCCCAGCTCTTAACAGCACTTTTAATGGGATTGGATTAAAGCATTTGGTTTACATGGATGAATGAGATGATTAAATTTAATGGAACATGCGCCTAGATCTGAGCATTTTATCCTTCCTCATTAATGTCAGTGGTGGAAAAAAAGGTACATGTATGTACAGTATATAAATACAGTCCTGGGTTGTTTTCTAGCAGATCAGGGGACAGGTTGAGTGATCCAGCAAAGACTTATCAGCAAGCAGAACACGGCTCTGCTCGGTTCAGCAGCCTACTGCAGAGCAAAGGCTGCGGCTGTCCATGGTGCTGAAGCTCGCTGTAAGACTCAAGTCCAAGTCACCCCTATTCACACTCAAACACATCAGCATTGTGCCAGAGTTCTTTCTGTGACAATAGCACAGTGCTGTGCACTTAAAACTGTACATAACATTGTGCAAACACAGAGAGCTGCCCTTTTATGTGCCCATCTGTAGCCAACGGAGAAACTGCTTCTCATAGCTGGGTGGTTTGTACTGATGAAGATTATTTTTATTACTTGCTAACACTTTCCTCTGTTAATCATAAAATCTTTTGGTCTTTAAATACTGTAAAACTAAAGAGTCAGGGGGCAACAATACTGAGGATTAAAACTCTATCCACAAACATAAAGAACAGAACAGAGCAGCAAATCTTCACATTCAGTGAATGTTAAATGGCTGTCCGGCTAAATGAAGTCTTAAATGAGTTGCTGATTTAATTCCTGTCAATTGACTATTTGATTTATTGTTTCAGCTTTAGATGATCCAATTCTAATTTGGAGTGATGTGATGATTCAATTGTTAAGATTGGAGCGAATGCATGAAGATTCATAAGCCATCGGTTATGATTTGCTCGTGTCTTTGTGTGAATGCAAACTGAATTCTTTGGATTTCAGACTGAAAAGTTGCAGAACGACTAGAGTTTAAGATCAACAATGAACTGAAAGAGAATTTGGTGTTTTCTGTATATCTTTCTTTCGTTGTTACTTTTAGTAAATTTAAAGAAGAAAAAGAGAGATATTTATCCAGCTATAGCACTGATACATTAGGAAACACAGAATGAGGGAACATCATTTTAACACAGGCAAAGACGATAAGCTTTCATTCACTTCCCTCTTTTATCCTCTCTTTACTCTCAAACAAGTTAGTCAAACAACACATCGAAAAGCTTCAACTCACTCCTGTATTACTTTAATCACAGCTATCTGATCTGGCTGTGTATTTAATTTACCATCTCCTCAGAGGCCTCGGCAAAGATGTTCAATCACACTGTAGTGTAAGTGCCCATCAAACCCTCTGTGGAGGCCTCCCATCACTTCCTCTTGTTCTTGTGGTTCTTTAAATCCTGTCAGTCTTGAGCCTTGTGTTGGCTCACATACATTAGACTATCCCTGTACTTCATTCCTCTCTTTTCTCTCACTCTTAAGCCCTCATCTACACCTCCTTTCTGCCCGCACGATACGTATGAGCCCAATGTTTCTTCATCCTCGACAGGAGTGTTTATCAGTGTTGGGGCCTGGGACTCCCCTCTGCCCCCTTCATCTATCTCTGTCTGAATCTGACAGGTTCGTTAGGAGAGAGACACGTGGAGGCTACAAACAGGTGTGAGGATACAAAATATCGATTTATAAGTGTCTGTGTGTGTGAGAGAGAGAAAGAGAGAGAGGAGAGAGTGTGTGAGTGTGGCACAAGGAAAGCTGCCGCGAATGTTGTGAATATTCTCTCAGATAGGAGTAGGGGCAAAAAGATTTTTTTTTCCTTGTTACACATCTTTGCTGCATTCCCTTTATCACATGGAGAACTGTAAAAAAGAAATGCATGTGGCAATGAAACCACAGGGGATTGTAACTAAGCCTTGTAATCCACCTTTTATAGTTCCCTTTGGGTCATTGTTTTGGTTTGCGGCATGCGATCTTGCTGTCCTGGCTCAGTGTCAACGCCTTCATTGTATATTTTTAAAAGCAACAAACAACTTTTTTAAGTTTGAAAAACCTTGATCCAGTTTTGCTGGACCAAAATAGCAGATACAATTTTGACAACTAGCAGTGAGACTGGAATCTTTCATCAGGTGGTGGTGAGGAAAGAAAACTGAGCTATGAAAAACTGAATTGAATATTGATTTATCAGCAAGATTAAAAGACAACTAAGTCACTGTCCATTATGCAGAGTGGTCAGTATAAATCACATGAATTGTGAATACATGTTGAGCATGTTGAGTAAGACTGTTAACCTTCCAAGCCGGAGGACTACCCTATACAAGCCAAGAACCCAGAAAAAAACCCTGAAAAATGTGGGTTTTATCTTGATGAAGCATCTGAAAATACATCATTGAACCTTGTCTATATATATCTGCCTAATACTTCATTGTTAAAGCCACATATCAGGCTGAAAATTTGACTCCTCTCCTCCTGATTGTCTCCAGGCTGGTTATTCACCAATCCATACAACTGTCCAAAACTTGGAAGACCAAATGTCAATGAGTGAAAATCCATAAAGAAAAAATAAATCTATCATGGTACAAAGGTGAATTCAGAATTCTCGGTTTAATTTGATCACTTTAAGGTAGCCAGCTCGGTTTCTGTACTCATGCAAGCGCTTCCAAAATCAGACCCACGCAGCTCCTGCCTCCCTATTAGTGGTCTCCTATGGACCATCCATCATCTCACTATAGACAATTAGAAACAGGACAACTTCTTGGCTTTCTTTCAATAAAAGCTGCTGCCTCTTCTCCTCCTTGTTCTCTTTCTCTTCTCTCGATCCCTTCTCTTCCTCTTCTCTAATTCAGTCTCCTGTCCTGTCCTTCCCAGAACCTTTTCCTCCCTTTTACCTTCAAAAATGTCGACACAAACTCGATGCCCAGAGGACTCAACTCTACCCTCCACAGCACAGAGCATGCAACTTTGCACACTCCATTTAACCTGGAACTTTACAGGCTAAACAGCTCCATTACATCCTTATGCTGGGCTCTCTGACAGGTGGTCAGGGCTGCTCAGGTCTTTATTTTCTGTCCTTCGAGGTCTGTCTCTCTGTTGCCCTGCCTGACCGACTCTTTCCAACACTGGAATATTATTTTGTGATTTTTTTTTCTTGCTTGAGACCTTACAGGCCCAGCATTCTAATACACATCCATGCATACTAAAGTCACGCTGTCACACAGGTGTGCACGTGTACATGATGTCTCAGCATCACATGGTTCAGAGTATTATACACCCGATATTCTGAAACATCCATAATAATTTTGCTGTAATTGTGTCCAATCTTTGCCATCACACAGAAGACAATCTTGGGATTTTTATTGATAGTGATAGGCAATTTGAGCCGATCAGTTCACCACATCGTCTGTCAGCCGTCACCGAGCACCATATGCGCAGAATGTAAGCGTACGAGTTAATTAGTGTAACAGAGCATTCTGAGTTTGTCTACCTGTACTTGAAAAGAAATTAATTAACAGATGAAATTGCAAGAACACAAATGCACAGCCATCCAGATTAACAACAACAGCTTTATGTCCCCAAAGCTCCCTAAAGTCTTGGTAAGTCCTCAGGGCCAAATGGTTCAGGGGAGAAAGGAAAAACACAGGACAGTCAGCTAGATTAGCATTAGCAATCCTGTGGCACAAAATCTTAGCAGGTTGGAATCCTTAAACTAGATAGCAGAAACAACTCAACAGTTAGTCACAGTCAATGTAATACAATCATTTCCTGAGGTGGTAGCAGTGGGGCTGTGTTTAATACTACTAATTTGACAACTAGAAACTAAAAAATGCAACAGAATATAACAGGTTCACTAAAGCATCATAGGAACCAGGACAAAGCAAACACTGGACATCTAAAGAAAGGATGAAACCAAAAAGATTACAAAGAAGGTGGCTGAAGTCATGGCTTCAGATCCTGCCATCAGCCCATCTGTATGTTGAGAAACAGGTAAGGAGAACACAGGAATCCAATGTTGGAGAGGCCCACAAAAAAAAAATAATTAATGGCTATCAATACAGGTAGGGACCCTCAGACAATGCCTCTGGAGGGGATATATTTCAGAGCAACAGCCCTGGTAGAAAATGACTCATTCTTTGTATGTCCTGCTGCTATGACAATACATTTCAGACACTGTCAAGCAGTACAGTGAAGCTTGTGACAACATACAATGTGACTTAAATCATGATGTGACTGCTGTCAGTTTTACAACAGACATGTGGAGCTCCGATGCTTGTCCCATGTCACTGCTGAGCCTTACTGCCTACTGGATTGACTCCTCCACACAGATTACAATATTGGCTAATTTGGATCAAGGTGATCCGAGGTGTTTTTTGACCTTTTTGAGGTACTTTTTAATTTTACTTTTAATTTTTAATTTTGAAATGCCTCCCCATTCAGGTGACCCTCTGGCCATACGTGAATGGTCTCAACACGGGAAACTAAATGTTAGGGTATAAAACAATTTAAAGAGCTTAAAATCTTCTTGATATCAAATATAAATGTCTCCCAATTTGGACCATGATGTAGTGACTGGAAATAAAATAAGCAGGGATATGTTTTATTTACTTTGCCTATCCTTACTCACTGCACAGGAGGCAGTAAAATGACTGAATAAATTAGTATTTGTAGTCATGGACCAACAGACATGTTTCACTATCTCAGAGCTTTAGCATACACTGCTAGTTTTACTCAACAATTCACTTTCACCACTTCCTCCACATTAGCTAATAATACCCAAAGTAAATATGTCATAATGGTTGGTGTGGATATTTTGTTAGCATATAGGAAGCTACTCTTCGCTGGCTGAGAGCTTCTTATTGGCCTCTGTGGGGACCTCTGTTCACCATGGAGGAGAGTAATGAATAGCTCTCCAGTGGCTGTGGCTAACAGGTGGCCTTGACTGACTCATTGTCCCTTAAGGCTAACCATGACGAGTCAGTTGTGACTCTGGTGTGACTTACAGCTCTTCTACTGAAAACAGGAAGTATGAACTTATTTAGGCTGGGCTTTAATGCAGTGACAGGTGGTTCTTCAAAAGAACAGTTACAGTATTCATTAAACTGGTAGCTTGTTCATGCAGTTTGACAACATGAACACAATTAAAGGTGGCAGCTATGTACTTCTACATGCAATCAAGGTAGTCCAACATGAGTACTGTATATAGAAAGAAACCAAGAAACTAACTCCTGAGAGTCGTGCTGTAACTTACTGACCTGCTCTTTCTTCTCAATTTTTCTTCCTTCCAGTTCGGCCACTTATTGAAATCAATTCATTAACAAGCTCTGATTTGGGGCAGGTTCAAGTTGCATTAACATTAGACACTTTTGTAAATAACTAAGATGGCTGCTGCTGCTGCTGCTGCTGAGTCAGCTATCTTACAGTATAAAAATTAGAAGGTAATGTAATATAAATCATAAATGTTGCTCCTTACTCATGCTGGAGCAAATCTCTGCACTGGGAGCCATTTGGATGTTGGGACTTACCTCCATGGCCAACTACGCAGCCACTGAGATATTGACAGACATGAACTGTTATGGGGGTCCTTTCATACCGTTCTAGACAAGAACTTTACACTCGTCAGTCTCACTTCAATTTTATGAGCTACTTAACACATACAGTCTTCAGCTGAAAGCAACAAATTCACGCCCTGTCTTTCAACTTCAGAAGGTGTTAAACCTCATTCACAAATAATGATAGAAAGATAGATGTTGTAAGTAAAAGCTGATAACCCCTTATGTCTGAAAGCTCAGCGCAGCTTGAAACACAAGTGGCTAGCTTAGTTAGACAAAAGACCAGATTCATGGGTAGACAATCTAACTTGGGACCAATTGCTGTGCAAGTGATAGAGACAACAGAAATGTTCTGGTACTGACCAGGAAACAGCCTGAGACATAAACCCTCTAAAAATGCATTTTGTCAATTCTTAATCATCTTAAAGAGATGATACAGCCTGCATTAGTGTTCTTTGGAGGTCCGGTAAAGTGGCATTAAGACAGTTGTGAGTCTGTATGCCTTCTTTACAAGGTCTCTGCCTCTTATCATGGTGGTAGCTTCCCTATAGTAGAGTTGTATTAGCATGCTAAGTGCTGTCTGAAATATCTTTAAATAAAAGACAAAAAATCACAAGAAAGACATATGGGTTACAGAGTGTCTTAGATACATTATTATGAATATGCAATGACTTTTTAGCCACATGAAGTCATTTAGATCTTAAAGTGGTTTGCCTTATACTACTGATGAAGGAATTCCAGTGGTGGCAATACCATTTTGTGTCTATTATTACTTCTTCATTTAAAACAAAGCTTTGTTAAATGGAGAACACATTATATAAGACCCGCTGACTAAGATTTTCCCATATTTACTCATGAAGGACTAAGCATAAGGGACATATTATCTTCGAGGCATTGCTCTGGTTTTGGGTGAGTCATCATTACGGCTCTACACAGCTTTCACATGGTTTGATATCTCTCCCTGTTCATTAGGGACTTCACTGATACCTGTAATTCTCTGAGGTCTCTCTGATAACAGATCTGAATGGATTACTGACTTATCAGTAAGACAAATAAGGGAGGAAGAAACCCCAAAAAACATGTGATCTCTGGTAGAGAAAATGTTCCATAATCTAAAGAAATAAATTTTAAAAAGACTGACCTTTCATGGGTTTAAGCCACTGTATGAGCATGTAGTAGTTGCCCTGAGCAAGGAAAGCTCCAATGACACTTTTTTTTTCTCATTGACCCTCTTTTTCCCACAGACAAAATGGATATGACCAGTAATTTCAATGATGTCCTAGCAGAGCTTTTTTCCTTTTTGTTAGAAAAAACTTGCATCATTGCATTGAACTTTTGCTGGTTCTTGCAACTCACGTATAAGGTTATGCTGACTTTTCTCAATGATATTATCAGGATTTGGATGTTGGTTAGACAAAATACTTAAAGATTACCTCAAGTGATTTGTGATATCGATTTTGACTGTTTTATCAACCAAAGTATTAACGGCTACATCAAAATGACCAACAGGTTATGTTCTGCTGTAAATATAGGGTGTTTGCAGCCACATTTCTGGCATGTACATGCGTACTGTTAAAGTACTGTACGTACGCACTCACAATCCTGATGGTGTTTGATGTAGCTGTTGACACATTGCTAAAAGACAGGGGAATAACTTTATGGGGCAAAGCCACAGGAACAGCCCTGTTTGGACACATTCCCTGCCTACAGAGCTTCAAGGTGTCCTATACACACCATTACCTTGGTCGTCATTCAGCAATGACTAAGTGGAAGTTTGAGTGAAAGTGACATTTTATTAGAAGGACAATCAAAAGGGTCCTTGTCTGAACAAACTGCTGAAACATGTTTGCTGAAGCCCCAGTTACTTCACTTATGGGCTTTCTAACTAAAATATAGAGCTGTAAAACTTCAATTTAAAGAGGCAGTTTTCAACAGGTCTAAAACTGTGCATAAGAACTGGAACATGAAGCACTCAGACTTTTCCTTCTTCATAAGCTCCTGCTGTAAGCTAACTGCACCACCAGTCAAGAGAAAACATTGGTCTGATTCTCTGTGATGGTCAAATGAAGCTGCTGTCTCTATTGACTCTTCTCCTCAGTGTTGAGTAAGTGGATGAATACGGTGTCAGCCTCTGCAGCTGCAAGGGCCACTGTGCTGGGGGAAAAGGCAGTCTCGGCCAAAGTAATCCTTTGGCAAAGACTGGTGTTCCAGACGTTAGCGCAGTGATGATCCACACAGAGAGGGGGTGGGTGATGTTGTGTACTTTAGGTCACCAGACACTGACATTGTCCTTGCAGACACAACTGTATTTACTGTGTCTATGAATTCTACAGTTCATTCAAATCTTAAACAGTGGTCCAGTTGTGTATGTACTGGGATAAAAGGATGATTTTCATGTACCCTATTAGCATTAGCTGTCATCACTAGCATGGCTGATCTGCTAAGCTGCTGTTTTGTTTACTCAGGTGTGTCAAAGACCCAGTGTGGCATTATCACATCCGCCTATGTGTGAATTAAATTGTCCATAGGAGGTTTGATTCCAGCAACAGTCTATTAAAAATGTGCTATGAGCAGCCTATGAGTATAGACAGGTGTGATTTCAGGGAAGTAAAAAGCTCCGTGCCTATTAGTGAACAGTTGAAAGGTGAGTGACACCAGGATTTTTTCTGAATCATTCAGTCAAGCCTTCTTCATGTGCGTAAAACTCACCATGTGTGGGAGTGAGCAATGACTCTTTCCAAGCCCACACAATACGAACATAAATAGCCTCACTTACATAAAAATCATCCCATAAAATTGCACTGGAAGAACATTGGTAATTCAATAGCAATAATCATTTAGACCAAACACAACAAACACCACATGAAGTCTATTTGCAGGGGTTCATCAGAGATGTGCAGAGCATGACTGCTCCCTGGTGTTCTCCTTTTATTAATGAAAGATCAATTCATTATTCCATATGCAGAGGGGATGACTAACAGACCACAGAGAGATGCATAAGGGCCCCATGTTGGGAAGCACACCTGCATGATCCACGAATTGCTGAATCGATCTTTTGTGAGTGCATGGCTGTGCTGGATTGGGGTTATTTCCACCTATAGGCTGCATCACGTGGACCGCCGGTCATTGATCACAATAGTGATCAGTTCAGTATGGGCATGGAGAAGGGGGTGGAAATGACAGGAATGTCATTGGGGCAGGGTAGGAGAAGCTATAGCTACAAAACGATGTGCATGTGCCTTTTAAGTGCAACACATCAAAACCCATGTGGCTCAGAGGGAGCAATAATGGTGGCTTAGATATGACAACAACTACGCTCATCCTCGCATCATGGACCTCACATCCATGCAGCTCTGGTGATGATAAATAGTCGCACTGAACAGGGAGGTTGGCATCGTGTAGGAGAAAATTGGAACTGTTAATGTTGCAAGCGCCTTTATTATATTAAACGGCCTACACGCTGTTTCCTAAATACAACTTGCAGCCAGAACAGCTCAACGGGCTACAGGCGTCTTCATAACGCGCAAATCTGAAGGGGCACACAGCCATTCATTGACGCTGATATGGCACATTAATTTTCAATTTGCAGCTCCACGATTCAGTGTTACAGTCCATATTTACGAGCAAGGTTGGCATACATGCGCTAATTATCCCTCCGTGTTCTGTCATCCCACCGGGAAGCAGGGATGCATCGCCGCATCTCCAAGGGGCCAAATAAAATCACACGCAAAAAAAGCCAATAAATATCCCAAATAATGATGTGTCTTTCTTACCTGTGTCGTGAGCCAAATCGATGCCCGGTTCGGTGAGTATGTTCGGGTCACTTTGAGATCTGCCTCGTTGCAGACAGCCGTCTAGTCCATCTGATGTAGCCATGGGGAGACAGCAGAGGAATCCTGAATAAAATATTGAAAACCCAACCAGAGGCAGGCAAGGTCAGGAGGAAAGCAACGAGTTAGTGCAGATTTAATTCGGTCTGACAACAGCCGCTTTGAGCATCTACCAGGGAGCCATGGCTGAGCAGAAATTCCGTGTGTGTGTGTGTGTGTATGTATGTGTGTGTGTGTGTGTGTGTGTGTGTGTGCCCGCGTGTGTCTAGGCTGTGTGCGCGATGATGTGTGGATGTGGGAGGGGTGATATGCCCCCGATGATGCCTGTCCAGCAACGACCACACCAGCGCAAGTATATTGCACAATTGGGATTTTAAGAAATTATTCTAAAAAATACACATTTGCTTTTTTTTTTTTTTTAAGTACGTAGTATTTTCCCCCTCGCGACGTTTACTGCGCGCTTTAAAACACCCAAAGTATCGCAATGAAATGCCTCAGTAGCACAAGCCATCATAGGTTAGATTGACTGAGTATTTATATGACATTGTTTGTGATTGGTTATTGGGATAAAATGCACCAGTGGTCATAGAGGGTATCGGAGATAGTAATATTGATATTTTCTCTCCTTACTGTGCGTAATTTTTAAGAAAGTGTAGACCTACACGTCTCATATTATTATATCAGGTCATTAGAAATTAATACATTTGTAATTTCTCTGCTGAGGTAGCTAAAGTATAAAAGTTTTAAGCCAAAACCGCGGCAGACTTATTATTCAAAGAGCAACCTTGTCCCAAATCTGAGAAAGAATGGTATTTCATTTGAATATTAACATATTTATTGTTTGATAAATGTAATCCAAGGTGGAATAATTTTCTCTGATAAAGAGAAACCTTATTTTTATGCCTGTTTTGTACTGGAAAGTGTAAATAAAGTGACAGCATTTTAACAAAGCAGATTCGTACCAATGCCACAGGAATCTATCTAGAAGCAGCCCATTGGCTGTTTTGTGTATGACGCGTCAATGCGGAAGTGAATCAATCGAAAATATGGCAGCTCACAGGTGCAGCTCCTCGGCTGCTCTGGTTGTTCTTTGTTACATTAGTTTTTCGGTGTTTATCGTCGCAAACAGCCAAGAAACAAAACCAACAGTTGAGAACCATGCCACTGTTGTTGAGGATACACAAACTGACACAGAAACAGCCGAAAAATCGACCGAGCAGCCGGCGGTGTCGGTGAGAGAGTGGGAGGCCACAGAGACAGAGGAAGAGACTCCGGACTCCTCTGCCCCCGAAACAGGGGTCTCCTCATCCGGACCACACCCGAAAGATGACTTTCAAGAGGAGCTGGTCATTCGACCTTTGCACTCGGGTGATATTTATGCCAGTTTCCAGTTTCGCACACTGTGGGAAACCGATTTCCTGAGTGGGAATAAAGGTGAGTGATGGCAGTGGTTAGGAAAGCCTTTATTTCGATTATGATTCATCATAAACACCTTGATTTTGCTGTAGTGATAGATTATCTAATAGTATTAAATACCCTTCTTTTAAAAGATTGTTGTCATTAGACTAGTCGTTGTATCTTAAAAAGATTACAAATACATGTGTATACTATGCATCTACTTTTTTCTGTGTAAAAAGTAATAATCAGGTTTTTGGCTCTAGTTCTTTGGTAACCGTCAAGAATATCAACTTTTCATCTCACTGTGGCATTTCTCAGTTTGACATTTTCTTTTGCAGACCCTTTATGTTCTAGGTACTACATTTTTGTGAGGTATAGATTAGAGATGGTCCAGGGAGATATGGCATTTCAAATTAATCAGCACCGGCCATTTCCTGCACACACTAAGCCAGTTTAACTAATCAGCCTATAATATCTGCAGACATTGCAGGCAGTCTCTTCGTTGTGACTGCTAGTAAGCAAAGTACACAACCATAGAATGATCATATGTGGTGAAGTGTTGCCTCTGACATAAATTTCAGTCAAGTTCTAAAAACTAAAGCCTAACCAAATGTACAGAATAACAACAACAGCCCTAACAACATAACAGCCACTGGCTGACATGCTCTGTGATTATCTGGCATCTGCATCGGTCATTATGTCCGAGCTGGACCGCTTTTCTTGCATTCAAGATTTTTAACAGTCACTACCTTTGTATAAAAGAATAAACCAGTTTATGTGCTGTAAAGAACATAAAAACAAAATCTTCACCATTTCTCATATCAAACAAATATTTAAATGGTGTTTATATACAACCACATTACTCAATCTATAACTGTGCAATTTTGTGTTTTGCAGTGTCCCATTACCGGCTATTTCCAAAGTCTCTGGGACAGGTCATCTCCAAGTTCTCGGTGCGAGAGCTGCACATATCTTTCACACAGGGCTACTGGAGGACCATGCAGTGGGGACAGCCTTTCCTGCCATCCCCTCCTGGAGCTGAACTCTGGGTCTGGTTCCAGGACTCTGTTACTGAGTGAGTACAGCTCCTCTGTTGCCAAAGACTATGTGAGGTTTTGCAAATGTTCTGGATTTGTGAATTGTGGCTGTGGTGGTGATAATGACTTATAACTTATTGACTCCAGAAAGTTTCAAATTAGTTTGAGAAGTATCAGTGGTGAACATAACTTTTTGTGTGACTCCTACAGAAAGAGCTATGGTCTCAACCTGGGGCCTATTCTACGAAGCAAGTTCAACCTAGCGAGGTAGCCTTGGAGCTACCTCCCTCAACTTAGCGCGGTAGCCAGCGGTCTCGCTAAACGGTCTTACAACGCTGGTTATCAACCTCGTGAGTGGATCCAGCTTTGCTATGAGCGCATGCTCGCATGTAAGGCGGAGCCTGCCGCATCTGACCAATCGTGAACATGGACCAGTCTGGAGCGTCAGAGCAGGCTGGAGAGCAAAGGACCGTGTACTTTACAAATGAGGAGCACCCTGAAATAGCACTGTTCAACATTTTAACATGCACCAGACATGTCTAATTCATTTCCAAGATGAATTCATTCATTTGTTCATTCCTATCGTGTTTAAAATTTTTGTTTGATATGTAGGCCATATGAGCCTTTCAAAAAGGTGGTCATCTGGAAAAGTAAGTGGGTCCGTGCGGTCCCTGAAACTCTCGCGCGCCAGAGTGCTCCTTAGACAATACGAGCACCGAGGTCTATAGGATCCTCCAAGAACGGACAAGCCATTTTTCGAGCGAGCTCATTGGTCAGTGGGCGGGGTTTTTATACTCTGTGAGTTCAATCTGGAACCTGACCTGCCCCGGAGCAGGTTAGCCGTTCAGCGTACGTTGCCATGGAGACTCGCCTCACTAAGAAGTGAACCCGCGTCGTTGAACAGGAAACCCCGAACTTACCCTTAAAGTTACCTCGCTAAGCAGTAATCCTGCTTCGTAGAATAGGCCCCAGCTCTACAGAAAGGACTCTCCAAACCATGTTTACATACCTGTTTTCTTTTCTATTCAGTGTGGATGGAACATGGAAGGAGCTGACTAATGTTTTGTCGGGGATCTTCTGTGCTTCACTCAACTTCATAGACTCTACCAACACTGTTCAACCCAGTGCCTCCTTCAAACCACTGGGAATAGGAAATGGTAAGAAGAGATTTATTTCACATCGGTGTGAATTTTGTAAAACTCTCATGTCATTCACCTTTATAAAGGTACATTTTGTGATCTAATGTCTTTTGATCCTACTGCTTGAAGCTCTAGAGAACAGCATGCATTGCACTATGTGACTGATTTTTACTTTTATGCGCTGGAATTTAAGTCACAGACCACCGCTTCCTTCGCTATGCCACTCTCCCTCGAGAGATTGTTTGCACTGAGAATTTGACACCCTGGAAGAAACTCCTGCCATGTGGATCCAAGGTCAGTTTCCATGTTTGAAATCCTGGGTATGCTCTGTCTTATGCTGTCCAGTCTGTCAATACTAGTTTTCATCTCCCCCGTCCTATGTTCAAATATCAGCACCTGCAACTAACTTGTTTTTTTTTCGCACTTGCAGGCTGGTCTCGCAGTCCTGTTGAAATCAGAGAAACTCTTCCACAGCAGTTTTCATTCCCAGGCTGTGCACATCAGACCTGTGTGTCAGGACTTGCAGTGCAAAACCACATCCTGGGAGTTGAGACAAACACTAAATGTAGTCTTTGACCTGCACACGTCTGGACAGGGCAAACGTGGTACGCAAACGCATTTTTCCAGTAATAAAGTTTAGAGTTGTGGAGCTTTGTTGGTAGTAAAGTAGAAAGAAAGATGGTATTGCTGTTGTCATCGTTAACCTAAGTTCTTTGTCATTTTAGAGTGGTCACTGTTTAAGATGTTCTCAAGGACCCTGACAGAAGCTTGTCCACTGGCTTCCTCCAGTAAAATCTACATTGACATCACAGACAATCCTGAGGTTTGAGTCCCACATAATATGACATCCTCTCTTAAAAAGTTTTTGTTTTCTGAGACACAGTGTTTGTAATGTTACACGATGTTATGGTATGTTTCTATTCAAGTAGAATGAAAGTGGGCAAATCTAGGGATTACCTATAGAGGTTTTCTTTTATTATCCACAAACAAGAGAGCACTATGTCTGCTCTATGCAGCAGATCAATATACTCAGGATTAAAATGTTTAAATGTTTTACTATGAACAGTTTGAGTTGTTAGGCTCTATCAGCTGCAGCCATAACTGTGTCAAGCAGACTTTGATGCACATAAAGAGGGATTTTAAAGACTTAAGAAGGCTTACTATAATATGATATAAAAACCACAAATGTACAGAACTTAAGTGCTTCAGTCAGTTTCTGCTGTAAGGTGATATTGGTTCACAGAGGCACAATGTGTAGTGTCATAAAAAAAGTTCAGGCCCTCCTACATCATTACCCTCAGTTACCAGGATCAATACAGTTGATTGGTAAGCAATACCGTTATATGGGTGGGGTCTATTGTGCAGAATAAGATACAGTTGCTGTATACCCCAGGTACATTTCTGCTGGAGGTAATCTCAGGTGCGCTGCAATGTCAGGACTGATTTCAAGTGCACATGGATGTTAAGAAAGCAGGATTCAAAAAGATCTCTAATGAGCATTTAGCTCATTTGTTTTCCCCTAAAATGCCACAGTGTGTTTCTGCAGGTAGCAAAGAATGTCAACATTATCTGTCTTTCTTACAAAACACTTACCATGTACCCCTAAAATGTTGAAGATGAGATTATAATATAGGTATGCTCTGTAATATGTGAATATTGAATAATAAGTGTATAAATGTACAGCAGCATTAGCTGAGAGATATATGGTTTTGTTTGTAGGGGGAGCAGTTTGAGGTGACTCCAGCCACACCTTTGCTGAGCCAGGCTGTGGTGCTAGGAGACAGACGGACATTTTCTGTCTATGACCTGACCCAACAAATCACCTTTGGCACTGTGCGCTCCCTTAACCTGCTGATCCGATGGAAATCCAGTGAGGGTGAGTAAGGAGAGTCAAAAGTATGACACACAGCTTTCTATGCAGAGCTGGACATTAACCATGTGCCAGATAGGCAAGATATATCAATAATCATATAACAATAATAATCATGAATCAGCAATGTATCAATAATCATATGATAATAATAATCATGAATCAGCAATATATCAATAATCATATGATAATAATGATCATGAATCTGCACCCTGTTCCTTTGCTATCTGTTCTCTGTCTCTCATAAAGGAGCATATGAAGTTATTACTGGATAGCATGTATGAGTGTTTCACCTAATGCTAATCCAAAAGACCAAATAAAACTATAACTCAGTGTTTTATTCAACAACATAAAACAGCTCCTGTTCCTTGTACATTGCAGAATCCAAAGTTGTTTTGTTACCGGTGCCCTAATATGAATGTTATCTATGTTTCTTGTCTCTGTACTTTGATGTCTCTCACATGGATATTCATCAAACCTGGTTGTGGCTCTCTACAGGTGATATGCTGCGTCCTCTGCTTCATGCAGAGCGTTATGTGGCTGGTTACGGACTGCAAACTGGAGAGATTCACACGCTGATGTATAACAACCACCCCTACAGGTCTTTTCCTGTGCTGCTGCTGGAATCTGTACCTTGGTACCTCCGACTGTATATCCACACTCTTACAGTCACCAGCAAGGGAAAGGACAACAAGCCCAGTGAGTCCCTTTAAAGAGCAGAGAATCATATGGATTTACTCAAAAAGGCAATCAGGATCTGAAATTAACAACTTCAAATGACCCAAATCTCTAAATAATAGGTGTATAAACTAAAATGAATGAAGCCACTCATGGATGGTTCTATTAGGGAACATTAAAGTAGATAGATAATAGATAGATATACTTTATTGATCCCAAACTGGGAAATTCACATGTTACAGCAGCAAAAAAATGCAAAATAAAATTAAATATAAGAAGAAGTAAGTACAATACAGACTACAAATACTAAAAATACTAAGTAAATACAATAAATACAGTCTAAATATACTAAACATCCTAAGAGAAAAAAGTGAGGAGTAGATAAATAAAGCAAACTTTTTGGTGATTCTATTGGTCACTTACTGTACCTCCCTTGATAAGTGCTAAGTCATACAGAAAGCAGCCGTAACATTATAAACACTTGGAAATCTAATATAATCGATGTTACCAGCTCTGCCTCAACTTTTGCTTTCAGGGAATTTACTTTTTTGACATGATGAGACTGGTGATAAATGTACTGAGTACTGTTAAAGACACAGTAGGAGGTGTACTGCAGTGTGTTCACTGTTTGGGTAGTTTCTCATAAATAAATTGTAACAAGATTACTTAAATAGTTACTGCATTTGAAAAGTAACTTCAATACTTCTTACTTTACTCTCCCGTTTCTTAATTTACCATGTACAAGGACAAACATCACAGCCCAATCATCACTGAGCATAGTCTGCATCGTTTTGTTTATTGTATGTATGTTTGTCACCTGGGTATAGAGTACATTTCACACAAATATTTTGTCCTTTCGACTAATACAGCGAAAGTAATCCAAATATCACCACTTGCTGAAAAACCCTGTGTTGTCCGCCTCCGTCTCTGTCTCCATTTCCATCTCTCTTCGCAGGCAACTTTTCGTTTACATTTGACAGGTAGGCTGCGAGATAGCGACACAGGGAGAAAAAAACACCCAAGAAAAATGAATCCCTTGAACTAAAAGACTTTCAGAGTGTACAGAGACAAGCTGGACAGTGGTCTACACACCCATGAACCACTTCAACAGATCAAAATTTTGCACACAGGGAAACACAGCTGATGTAACGCAGAGAGGAGCGTTCCCATTGTTTAGTAAAGTAATTAAGTTGCTGATTTTTTTTGTGTAGTCACACTTTATTTCGTTGCCCTCAAAAAAGCAACATCAGTAATATTACTGTAATCTGTTACTTTGTAGTGCGTTACCCCCAACACTGAGTGTGTTATAATCAAAGGCGTTCCTTTGACTTGTCTACCTCGTTAACAAACATGAGGGGAGCTTAGTGTTACGAACACCTTTCAACACTTCTAGTACACCATGGAACACCCACTTCAAGTTTAACATCAAGTTAAAGAACACGTATTACCTGTTTGACCATATCAACAGAAACAGAACATAAAGAAGCTTCCTAAAGTAGAACTTATGGTAGAGCTGTTGTGTTAGGTTACGTCCCATTGCCCAGGTTCTCACAATATGATTGCTAGTTGGTCTGTAGTGTCCAAAAAGTTAGTTTTGGATTCTACCTCCAACACGCATTCACTGAAAGTAGTATTATATGCTCCAAACTATTCTCACTTCCCTTCAGATAGTGTCAAAGCTATCAATAGAAGAAATGTCTATTATATTGCTCCTGCTTGCATCATGCACAGTGGGATTTCTTTCACTTAAGATGTTAGACACATGACTGCTCCACCGCAGGTTTTAACTGTCACCAGTAATATGACTTGTAATTATTTGCAGAGGTAACAAATAAAGACCAGAACATGCTGATTCCTAGAAATTTCAAAAATTTGATCCTGAAAACAAACAATAGGCCACTTTTTTAGGGACAGATTAATAATAGTAATGTCTATTGATAGTAGAGAAGTAAGTAAACTTCAACTATTGAATGTATTAATTACTGGTGATGGCTCACTCTCTAGAATAGGTTTGTAGGGTGAAACAGAGTGTTACCTCACTGCTGATAGGTAAAATATTTTGCTAGGCACATACAGTTAATCTACTTTCAAGTTAATCTGCAGGACTTCCTGTGACATGCTTACAGTACATGCAGATGCTTGTTTTTACCAGAAGGAGGAGGACATGAGTCGTATTCCTGTTCCAGCTGTAGAACAAGATACTCTTTATGCACCCAACTTAAAACTTTGTTTAACTTTGTATACTTTATATAACATAACAACTGGTATTTCTGTGGTACTATTTAATTGTGTGGTGTGCATTTACATCTCAGACTAACATGAAATATCTTGCTTATGTAGGCTACATCCACTACCAGCCATCGAAGGACCGTGAGAGGCCACACCTGCTGGAAATGCTGGTCCAGCTTCCTCCAAACTCTGCCACTGAGGTCACTGTGCAGTTTGAGAGGGCACTGCTCAAGTGGACTGAATACACCCCTGATCCCAACCACGGCTTCTATGTTGGGTATGTTCAAGAGTTAATCCCAAAAACTGAGAAAAAGAGATACATACATGTTGCTTGTAGGTCCTTTTAATAGTCTAAGATTTGGTAAAATTGTAGATTGAAAACTATAAGAAAGAGTCACAAGTCAAGGGAATTCCAGTGAATTTAGATTTTAGATGTTAGAATTTTAGTTTTGCCCAATGCCTGTAGTATTTTATGAGCAAAACTGATATTTTTATAGTTCAATCAAATATTTAAACTTCTAGAAATCAAGCAGCAGTTCAAACGTTTGAATATTCCTTTCGGCTCCTACTATGTCCGATTTGCCCACCATTATCTTTTTTTTTTCATCTTTATTTTGAGCTGATAGTCACATTTTTAAAGATTGATGCATCAAATTTAACAAGAGGTCTTATTTTTCTTTTTATATATATTTAAAAAAATGTGTTACCCATAGAACAACATATTGCAACCTTTTTTTTTTTTTTTTGCAGTTACTCGATCACCAGGGCTCTCAATTATTACTTTTCCACAGTGATACAACAGATTGTGCCAGCGCATAATTTTAACCCCTGCCACGCATGCAAGTCTTCATTCATAAACTGCGAGTGTTTGAAGCACTATTTCATCCACTAAACATCATCAAAATTAAATGAAACTATATGTGCCACCAGACATGGATGTCTAAGAGTGGGCTACATGTGTAAGGAAAAGTTTCTGTGCTCCTACATGTGCAAGGGTGCAAATCTGCGTCCATGTTTATAACCGGGCATGCCACGAGCATAGTTTTTACAGCCAAAAATGTGATGTCCAAGTTCTGCAGTATGAGACAAAGAGAGGGGGACATTTGGATAATTTCAACTTTGCCCTCACATCATAGCAATTGGATGGACATGCATTAAGATGCATGGGTTCTTTGGATTGTTAGGTGAGAATATATCACATCTCAAATATGTATATATAAATTTATATATAATAATAATAATAATATCTTACATTTATATAGCGCCTTTCAGGATACCCAAGGCGCTTAACAACACACTACAAAAAAACCTAAATACCAAAAGCCTGAATAAACAAGTGTCGCTTCAGAGCAGACTTGAAAGAGTCAAGAGTCTGTGCTTGGCGAATCTCAGAGGGGAGAGAGTGCGCGTAGTCAGCCTAATCGCGGTCATATTTTGGTTAGAGGTGAAAAATCACTTGTAAATGATTCCTTTCTTACATGTATCCTCTGATTCTATATGCCTATATATGATATCAGCTTACCATGAGCAAATGAATTCACTTGCATATGATTTGGTAGAGGGTGAGGCTCAAGAAAAGGAGGTAAACCTGTTGTGTGATACATGTAGGGTGATACATCGGAATTTTTATTCATTATTTTTCTAATGGTCAGGGCTGAAGTTGTTCAATAGATATGAGTTGAAAAGTAAAAAAAATGTAAAAAATTATTATTTTATGAACACTTATCTGCATGTCAGTTCTGGGGACAAGCAAGACTGGATGGAGCTTAAAAACAGAAATTAGCACTACAAAAAAATCTATTTTTACAGCACATTATTTACATGGTCCAGACTCTGTGTATTTTATATTTTTAATGTAGGTCTTTTTATATGGGAAATATGGTGTTCTTGTGTTTTTACCATTTAAAAATAACAGTGACGTGGTGCACAAAAACTAGCATTAACAGGGTGTAACATTGATTTTTCTTTTTTAATGGTCAGGGCTAAAGTTGGTTAAGAGATTTGAGCCAAAAAATAGTTTAAAAAAAGTAATTTATCAACACTTATCTGCATGTCCATTTTGGGGACAAACAAGGCAGGATGGAGCTTAAAATTACAAAGAACTGAGGGTTAATGCTGACAAGATTAGTTTTATTCATCAAGCATAAAAAGGGTATTAGGATAATATCTAAGATCCAACCATGCAACACTAAACACTATATAAGAAATGAGAAAATGTTCTATTCCTTAAGCTTCAGAGGACTGTAGCTTTGAAACTGACGTAGGAGCAGATCTGACAGAAGTATGAAAGGGGGGGGGGGGTCTTGGTGCTCATTGTTACAAGCTCTTTTGTCTTCCTGACATTCAAATGACTCAAATCTGTTTCTTTTTACATTAAGGTCTTCTGTAATCAGTTCTCTTGTACCAAGCATTGTTGCCATGGATACAAACAGCTCTCAGGACCGCCCACTATTCAGCAGCTTGTAAGTATGAATTTAATGCTGCTTATTCATGTCTTGTACGTAGAAAAACTCCCTTATCTTGAAAGTCAAATGACCGAATCAATTATCTCCCTCCAGTTTCCCCTGCAAAGAGGAGTCCAGCTACTTTATGCGAGTCTACACTGAACCTCTGCTGGTCAACCTGCCTACTCCAGACTTCAGCATGCCTTATAATGTCATCTGCTTGACCTGCACAGTGGTTGCTGTGGGCTACGGCTCCCTTTACAACCTATTGACCCGCAGTTTCCAGATTGAAGAGCCGAGTCCAGGACTGGCCAAGCGGATAGCCAACATCATCCGCAAACTAAGGGGCGTGCCTCCACTCTGAGGTTAAGGAGGACAGCCAACCTGCTCTAATTATAGAAGGGAAGTTTTCCTTTTGCTGAAACCACGGCTAAAATGTGAAACATTCAGGGAAGAACTGAGACTGAAGCACCCACTGGTATGAATGTTTTTCAAACAGACAACTTGAAGGTTTTGTTTTTGAAGAGAGCGGTTCATTTAAGCATAACTGTATTCAGGACGACGTCTCACTGGCCATGGAGGATTTAAGAAATGTCGGTGTTTATGTTCTGCAATGGAAAGTGGGAGCTTTGTTATTATTTAATGAGTCAGAGGAACCAAAGCTGTGCTGTGCACTGCTGTACTAACTGCCTCCAAATGTTTCCATTTGATTGTTTTTGTGGGGACTGAGGCCACAACTCCACTACAATATAACACATCAACACAGTGCATTGTGTTGCTGTGTGTAAACCATGGAAAATAATGTTTCTACAAATGTAATACTGATGGCCTTACACTGTATACGTAAGAGATCTGATAAACATGGACCATCAATCTCTAATCATACTGGATTACCTGTTTTCTTTTTGTTTGTTTCTTTACAAAATTAATTTATGTTAACTCTTGAAGTTAACTCTGAAATTTGGACTAAGCATCACCATCTAACTCAAGGAAATCTGTTTCCTTTTATATTTGAGAGTTCCTGAGCAACTTAGTTTATATGTGTTTTGATGTTGACTACATAACAGATGACCACCCAAATATTTAAAAGTTACCCAAATTATAATAAAAAAATGAATGTGTCCCTGAGAAATAACACAGCATGTCAAAAACTTCTCCAACTATTTCTTTGCACTCATTGGTTATCGGATGCATGTTTGAATGGTAAAGGTGATTGTCTGCGGGTCTCTTTCTGATTAATTTTATCTCTTTTACTCATCAGTTCAAAGTCTAGGTAACAGTGAATTACAGGAAGTCTGGACAATTTCATGAAACTGACATTCAAGAGTGAAACAGTCCTCTATTAAGTGTGTGTCTGCCTTTAAGTTTGAAGCAGTACTGTGTTTGTGTTTGAGTGTCAAATCTTTTACACTCTTTATTGCTTTTTCAATAAACTGATAAACGTCTCTTCTGTGTTTTATTCAAATGACGAGCTGTGAAAGAAGTTTGACCTAGGCAGCACTGGAGCTGGAGCGCTATTACTTCCCACTGGGTGCCCACATTTTTGTCTAAACAAACTTGGCCCCTTTTCTGGCAGACTCATGAAGAACAAACACAGACGTCTCTGTATTTGGCCAGTCAGTGATTCTCACCCCTGCACGTTTGGCAGCAGCATGGAATAATAACAAAGGAAATAGCAGCATTCCTCATAAGTGATGTGGATCTCAGGTCAGCTCCAAACTATGTTATCTCTCCAAGCAAGTAGACATTCACAACCGGAGAGCAAAGCTCTGGAGGCTCTGGCTTCAGGCTCTGTTATTCAAGGATGCAATAATAAGCGGCTTGTCACAACTTGAACTGCTGAAAGTTAAGTTTTTTCATCCACGTTTGTGATTAGACAAGTCTACACTTCGAAAACCTGTTTTATAACAACCAATCACATACCTTTGAACATGAATTTGAAGATGTGTTAGGCAGTAATAAAACCTTTGAAAGCTTTGGGTACCAGATGTTCTTGTCCACCTCTTGAAACAATCACGTTTTCTACCAGGAGACACTTTCCATTATTGACATATTTCAGTTGTTTATTTTTTTATTCAGTCCAGCTTACGCCTCAGAAAAGCACAGAAGAGATCTCAAAAACTTTAGCTTTAAAACCATCTAGGTGCTAAATACACACCACATGTGAAGGTTCTGGAAATATTTTTATTGGTTGAAATACAAAGAAATAGCTCCTTAACTCTAAACTTTACAAGCTACACATAAACAAGAACAATTCCTGTTAAAGCTATGTATACTACGACACCTAAACAGCTTGAATTCTCCTCCACACACAGATTTACAGAGATTATTGACACTAAGTAAAGATTACTTGAAGGTTCACAGCCCCTTCAAATACAAACACATCTCTGTCAGGTCTTCTGAAGACTCAGAATGAAAACTATTCTACAGTTCTTACTTTTCAAAATGTAGATTAGAGTCCTCAAAGACAACAACAAGAATACACTGAGTTTTGTGCTTAAAGTGCAATATATAGTATGCCTCCTTTACAACAACAAGAATTACAACTGACTTTTTTCTGCAAAATCATAAAGTTTTGTGCAAACTAATGCTGAAATGTACCAAAGCATGATTCCATGTGAAAACATTTTCTTTGTTTAATACACTTTTGATGTAGTTCCATGACATGAATCCAGACTTTATCGCTGTCTGGCCATCAGCAGGGCTCACTGCAGGCATGGCCACAGGTTGTCCTGCAGCACTTCTGCTCTCCTGGACACTGACCATCATGATAGCAGTACTCTGCACACATGGGGGTCCCCTGGGGTGGAGCACAGCGACCCCGCTTCACTGAAACACCAAAAACAAAATTTGTGTTTAAAAGCTTCACACGTGCATCTGATGACACATGAGTTTTCATGGTATTTGGTAATGGCCTTACCTGTGTATGGTGCGATACACTGATGTCCACAACCATTGTTGCAGCACTTCTCGTCATTAGGACAGTCGCTGTCATTAGAGCAGAACTCGGCACACATCCCAGAACCCCAGTTCCTGCGAGGACAGGCTCCAGGCTTTGCTGAGGGGAAAAAAGTTGATAAATAAGAAATGGGATAAAACAGACATTTGTCTAGATAGCAAAGCTTTTAAATGGAAGAGAGAAGAGTCAGTTTACTCAGTGAGAGGATTTAGCTTCTGAATTATGAGCTCAACAATAGAGAAAAAGTTCAACTTTGTGATTCGTACTGAAAGCAGGAGGAACACAGACAGCTCCACAGTCAAAGACACAGCATTTGTGGTCTGCAGGACAGTCTTCATCACATTCACAGCCCTTGTGCGATGGGACAACATTGAGGAGACGAGGACAGTGGCCTGGTTTTGGCAAAATCACTGAAAGAGAGGGTGAGAAATGCAGGGGAGCAGAAAAGGAGCACATCAGCAGTGGGAACATTAATAAAGGTGTGGTTGTCAAACTTGCATTTCTGTCATAAGTCAGGAGTCAACTGACAGACTGCAGGTTTAACAAATATAACCAACTGATCCAAAAAAAAAACATACCTGTTCGATTGCCATCAACTTCTGCAGCAATAACAATGTGCACAAATGCACTCAGTGTTAAAATCAGTGCACACGCCGCTGAGCAATGTTTCTCCATGTTAACTTCCACCAGACAAGAATGTTCTCCTGTTTGGACAAATATTTGAGTACATAACCTGCAGGCTGAGTAGCTCTGTCAGATGACCCTGGGTCCTGGTGCCTGTAGGATTTTGCTCCATTTTTAGGGGATTTTCAGTGAGTGATAAAGGAGACACATTTCTCCTTTTCTGCTAAACATGTATGATTTATGTTCATCACGTTTTCATTTTCAAAGATTTTATGTACGTGCCAAAATGATGAATAACATTTTATTTTGTTTAAAATGAATTAAGAAAGGAGACCTATAATGCTGTTCTTTGTTTAAATACAAACATATAATCAATTCCAACCCTCGCAAAGTTTCATAACATTAGATTGATGGATGACATAATAATCCTTGGATGCTTCTCTGAAAAGCTCATGGTCATCTAGGATAGCACAACTCTTCACTTTACTGATGACTCCTCTGTAAACAATTGCCAGTATCAACTGCTTTTGCATTTTTGTTGTTTTTGAAACCTGGAACTCTTCCACCTTTATGGATTATTCATAAAAGCCCCGAACCACAAGCTGTAAGTGATATAATAACAGCATCTAGTGTAACAAAAGCTAACTGCTAATAGCTGCTATAAAAAGGATGCTGGTGGCTACAGACGTTTTCGGTATGAGCGTCACTGTTCAGGTTTTTTGTGGCTAAATATCTTTAAAAAAGACCCCAAAGCAGTGATGTACTCAGGCTGTTTGATGGTCAGGGTGAAAAAAATGATTAAAGAGCACCCTTTGTATGTCATATGGCACCACAACACAAAAAGTTGTTAACTATTAAGACCTGCCTCTCTGTCAGCGTTTTGAAGATCATTTTGTATACTTTATACTTTTCTGCATCTTCCTTGCATTTTGACCCTGTCAAGTCTGTCAAAAATAAACAACATGCGGCCAGTAGGTTTGGGTGTCCTCTGCAAGGGGTATCAGGCATTTCAGACCAAATACCGTGAATTCTGCTGAACATTTATGCAGCAAATTGTGGCAATTTTATCCTGTAAAAGAAAAGATCAAGATTACAAATGCATGATTAACAAAAAAATAATGCTACGGTTTGCAAGTCCAGAAAGACTTAACCTGCTTTGCTTCACATGGTAAATTCAGCACTGAGTAGTTTGTGTAATGCAAATCAAATCAAAGAACAACTCATTTGACACCTACATTTAAAAAAAGATTAAAAAAACAAACCCTTAAACAAATCCTGCATGTCAACCAAACAAATGAGCTAAAATTACTGACTGGTCCTTTTATCCATTGATCGGACATTCAGATGGCATATTTATATTTTTATTTATTTATATTCACAGAAGGGGAATCCAGGTTTTTCTAATGTTTTGTTCAGAGGGCACTTGTTACATGGGCACCACATTATGTATACTGTAAGAGAAACATCCGCATACCTCAGGTAAACCTGTTAGCCCCAGTTTTGAGGGTTTTGTTTAACATAGTCCCATTTCAGGGATAGTGTTACACACAGTGGTGGAGAATGGTGGGTATGTTATGATTGAATTGATTGGCTTTTGTCTGTTTTTCCCCTGTTAGATAAACTGTCACAGCAGTTCTCCTTTTGACTGTGTACTGCCATCTATTGGCATTGTAAGGAGTAACATGTAAGATGCTACTTAAATAAGAGGTGATACTGTCTTGCACACAAAAAGGGATATACCGTGTTCTTGTAAAACTAATGTTCCAACAAAACCATGTCCGATAAAAATGTCTTCGTATAGAAACATGCAGGAATTTGTATGCTATTTCTCCTGTTATAAATGCATGTACTTTGCTCTTTTCCGTGAATATTAAGACCAGGCCACTAAAACTGTTATTTTAATGTCTGTGCAAAGCTTGTGGGACCATTTTAGTTCATATGCATTTAGACAATAGCTCTCTCTAAGCGCAGCCTGAACAGCTTACCATTTTAAAAGGATAGACATGATTACACAATTATAAGAGAGGGCCGCTCTTCCACTGTATGAATATAGCTAAGCAGAGACTTTCATAAGCTGTTTACATCTTTTTTATAAATCAGCTTTAAAGGCTTAGTATTTCTGTTCCTCTGAGTTCAAGAGTTTTATACTCTGCCATTTCTTTTATCCTTGCTCTTGCTCATTCCCCATGGTAACCTCTTAATTCCCTCTCATGTTCAATTTATTGTCCATATCTTTTTTCATCTAATTGGTTTTCTATACCTTACTGACCAGTCCAGTTTGCACCTCATGACCCCCATCAGTCAGTCCTACATAGAGTATCTTATGTGACTGTTTGTAGCTTCTCACTCTTAATTCTCATGTTGGCTGTAGATCGAATCTGACTGTCATCCAAAACAACATTAAGAACAACACTGCTCTCATAATAAATATGGGTAAATCAGATAGTCTGTATGATTACATATTAGTTTCTTTGTTCACAGCCTGAGGTATCAGGTTTCAAATGAGTCTGGTCGCCTCCTGTTAGACTGGACTGTGTATCTGATTCTTATTCTGATCCTGATTAGGAGGCCAGTCCACTGTGTTGTGTCATGGTGCACCAGCCTAAAACACAATATGTCAGCTTATCAAATACAGGTAAAACCTACAGGATAAGGAGAAAAGGGGTTACCAAACAAATTTCAGAAATGTCTGATGTCATATTCTCATGAGCATTTATATTTGGCAGCAAAAAAGAGACTATTTGATCAGCTTGAATCTGGAGTTGTACAGAAGCAGCTTTAATAGTTTGGACAAGTTGTGCAAACAGTTGTACAGTGATAACTCTGTATAAGAACAAGCTCAAAATTGTCAGTGGTCACATCGTTTTGATTTAAAAAAAGCAGTTTAGCATCTCAAAAAAAAAAATAAAAAAAATGGAGAAAAGTCTTGTGTTCTTTCAGATAAACTCTAAAATAAACTCATTTACTGATTTTTACAGGACGGACTACTGTTAGGCCTCCCCTCAAGAGAAAAAGCTTGTCCTCAACAGTCACAGTCTGACAAGAGAAATCAGGAACCAGCACTCAGCCTGCTTCAATCTCTACACCAACTTCTTTTACATCATTTCTGCGCTAGTGAAACATATCAGATAATGGGGTCAGAGTATGATTTTATGTAAACTTAGGAGGGCTCTAAGATAATTGATAACTTGTAAAACCCTCAACCGGTTTAACGTGGAGATGCTTTGTGCTTCTTTGTGGCACATGTAGCCTGCTAACTGTAATCACACTCAATTAATTCAACATTGTCCATTATCACTCATATCCTAAACCTGTAAACTGAACGTCTTTTGTTTCACCATTACATGAGCTGTTGTCGTTGTTGCTGTTGTTCCTGCTGCCTCCTGTCTCTCTCTCACCCTCGTTCCCTACTCTCTCTCCCTCCCCCTCCCTCTCTGTACTAATTCTCTCTCGCCTTTCCCCTATCTTGCTGTCTCTCTCCCTTCCCCTGTCCTCTCCTCCTCTCCCCTCTTCTCTCTACATTCCACCCCAACCCAGCAGCGGCATGGTGGCTGTCTAGCATGAGTCTGGTCCTGCCCAAGGTTTCTGCCTGTTAAAAGGAAGTTTTTCCTTGCCACTGCTACTCATGTTAGTTGAGATGGGCCAAAACCCATCTTAGGTTGGTTCTTGATCATCAAACAATGAGCGCGGTCCTGACCTGCTCTTGTTCCTTGAAAAGCGTCTTGAGATGACGACTGTTGTGAATTGGCGCTATATAAATAAAATTTGATTTGATTGATTGATTGACATGTATCATTTTTATTGTTCTTTTGAACTTTGGAGAACTTCAACATATCATAGTTCTGTATTTTAATCTACAGACAGTTCAACTGTGTATGACTCCTGTTATTTATTTCATCTACTGTAATCAAATTTTAAAGATCCATTTTAGTCAGTTTGAGTCCATTTTTGATTGGACTCTGTTTACAATGTCTGCCTCTTTGTTTACATGTGTTTTACACATAAAGATGCCTTCCCTAAAATGAAGCTGCATTTTTTTGAGTAAACTATGCTATACAGCATAGCAATAGCAGTCAAATGTATACTGTTGCCCTTGAAAAAGTTCTGCATTTAAAGTGTAAAAAAGCAAAACTTTAAATGACTGAGATTTGGAGTGATTCAACCCTTAGACACTATGGTCTAACACTTAGGATACCATGCAATTAAAACAAGAAAAGATGTGGGTATTAGTGGTCATGCTTGGACCCCAGAGGCTTCAAATGCCTGAGGCAGGTATGATCAGCAAAGCTATGTGCAGTACCTTACATCACCTCTAGATGGGGATCTCTGCTTGAAGATTTAAGCACCTTTTTTAAATAAGAGACTTTTCTACTTACTGGACAAGTGATATTATTTCTAGTGTCAAAACATACTTACAACCTTGAAAGAATTAACCTAAAAAATGTATTAATAATTTACCATTAGTTTAATTACATTACCTTATGTCCAGTAAATTTTGGGGGGTAAAATCTGACCCTTGTTGTGAAATATTCCATTCAATGTCTCTCAGATGTTGCAATGTAGTGCAACTAAGTTAATGTATTCGGTCTGACTTTGATTTGATTGACAGCTATACCCCAAGCTCACCAACAGGGGGGAATCCGGGGGGTTATTATACAGGGTCCATGGAGGAATAATTTTACCCCCAGGAGTGATATAAGGCCATGCAATTTACATGTTCAACTGTGTTGCTTACAACCAACTCAGCAACCAATGAGGTCTCAGCTGCTCGCTTTGAAAGGTCTGATACATGTTCTTCTGATTTACAGGCTGACCTTTCTAACACCCAACATTGTGAATGTTCGTGTTTTAATGAGCGCTTATAACACACATATACACAAATAAGTCTGGTGCATCTTTAATTTGGATTTTTTAAAATATTTTATTCATGTTGTATTCCTGCTTCTCTAAACCTCATATACACCTTACACCAGCTCCCTTTCTTCCTCTCTCTTTCCATTTTCCTATTTCCCATGTTTTTTCTTCTTTTCCTCTTGTCCTTGGGAATTCAATCATGGAATAATGTTGCTGGAAACCTTTCCTCTATGTATGCGTGTAACAAGGCTCGGCTAGTGGCTGTTATTGTATGTCCTTGAAATGATGTAGATGCTATCAGTTTCACTGCTGGCCGTGGATGTTGGACATATGAATGAGTCAGAAAAAAAGAACGTCTGCTGTGGCTTAAAGTGAAAGTTGTTGCAGGTATGTTGAAGGTGTGAATAGTGAGAAATGCTTAGAGCTTATAAAAGACAAACCTGTCCTTTTTCACAGCCTCTTTTTTTTATCACACTATGGATTCTTGGATGTCGGGCATAGATGAAGAATAGTAAACTGATTTACTAGCATGAAAGGAAAAAATGGGCGTCAGCATTGACTGCAATGTTTTACTGACTCTGAAATATAAAAAAAACAACCTCTTTTGTGACACCGTAAAAGTCAAAAAGCAAATTATTCTTTTAAGGATGTTAGACTGCAGCTTTATTATGAATGCTAAGTCAGTTCTCCAATTTTGAAAATGATTTATGGTACAGTGCAGAAATCTTTCTGGCCAAAGTCATATGACAAACATGATAAATGGGCATAATTCTCCACCTCCCTCTCATTTTTTTTTCAGTCTGACCCAAAACAACACAACCCCTTGACCGCAAGACCCCTCCCCCACTGAGATTTAATAGTCAATCATGTATTACATTGTGCATTAACCTGCCTTTGACCTCAGTATGCTAAGCTCAATTGCTATATTATCTCCAGCGTAGTGTTCTGCTTTTAGTTAACTTCACAGGGCTGAATCAGATTTTGGGTCTCACTTCAGCCTCGGGCATAAAAAAATGTCTCAGATGACTGTCAAGTCCTGTGGAGGGATGTGATGTTGGGGTAGGGTTTGAGTGGGGGGTGTCTCATCTGAATCACAAAAAAAAAAAAAAGGGTCTGAGATAAAAGCCAGATCAGTTTCTTCTTTCGATCTGAATGTTTCATGCTGAGGTGTTAGAGGAAGGCTTTTTTCATTAGAAATGTGAGTTAAATCAATTCAATAATTCCAATTACTACTTACTGGCTGGACCATCTATAACACCCATTATAAAGGCCAATACAGTTAGGACAAACATGTCTACTTATCCTTCTAATACTGAGCATAATGATAATCCTGTGATTGTGTTTTGAAGTCAAAATAATGCTAATGCCTCTAATGATGAAGCATGCTCAGAAATCCCTCCCCGTCATCCTATTGTCTCCCTGCGGTGCAGGAGCTGGCCCCCTCAGCCCCATGGGAAATCTGCAATGTATTCAGCCAGGCCTTGGGAGTAAAATGAAAACAAATGTAGTGTAATAAAGGAGAGAAGATGAAGCGATTCTGTGATGATGCTCTCCACCGGCCTTATAAATCAAAATAAAAGTGGAGCAGGTCAGATGTGCCCCCACACTCACTAGACACAAACACACACTAACACACACACACAAACACATTTTTACATGTACACGCATATTCTCATATTTATGCATACTGATACAGAATGAAGAAGGAAGACAGAAAAGGATAAAAGCTGCGGTAGTACAAGAAGAAAACTGAAAGGTCCATTTTTTGCAAACAAAACATGTTTAATGAATCATCTAGAATGCAAAAATATATTTTTTTATATTTTCATATCCAGACATTATCAAAGACAAATCTCACAAATGAGGGTTAAGTGCAATTAGTATCACACATTTCCTGTCTGAATTCTGGCTCCAAACTTCATGAAGAGCCTTTCTGTGGTATCTACAAAAACAGATCCTTTTTTTGCCAGCATTTAAACAGGAAATAAAACAACACATTTGTGACCAAAAATCCTCTTGGTATGTGTAGAGCTCGATTAAACCGGCTATGAAGGCTCCTCTGGTTTGGTTTATTTGGAAATTTCTAAAACATGTGAAGGCTCTGAATTAAAAGAAAAAATAGTGAAAATAACTTTGAAGAAAAGGCAGAGAAATTCGTGAAGAAAGGGTAATGATATTTCTGCTTCCCTGCCTTATTGATCATCTTATGAACCTGTATATTTATCTTGCTCACCCTTTAGCGGTCTCCACCTCCAGTTTGTTAACCACTTTAGCTGTAATTAAACTGATCAGGTCTGGCGACAGCTGCAGTACTGCAGTCCTCCTGTAAGGGCTGCTGTGGTGTCAGTGTAATTACTACATGCAGCCAGTGGTCCCAATCACAGAAAGAGGCTGGTGTTACAGTTGTGGCAGCTCTCATCATGCAGAAAATCCAAAAAATTAGAAATGGAAAAGAAAAAAATTAAACAGCTGGTTATCTTGGCCCAGATTTGAAGTAGGCAACTAAAGACTCAAATATTTATTGACAGGAGAAATGGGGTTGATTTGAAAATTGTCACCCTCAGTTAGGCGTAGTGGGTTCAGTTTTAAGGTCAATAACAAGAGGGGATGTTTTTTTCTTGTAGGGTTCTTGCACATTGAGAGACACACAGCAGTCCCTTTCAAACCTGCAAACTTTGAAGATAGATTTGAGACTTTCTTCGACTGCTCTGGCTGCTTATTACACAGATAAAGAATAGTAAACAGAGAAAACAATAAATAATTGATGCCTAATAAGTTGGAGGAGAGCACACTATAGGGCTCCTTCTTTATTTTCAGGGCCAAGAATAGAGAAAGCCTCCTGAGTTGTTTATTTCCTCCATCCCTTCTTTCTTTTCATGTCCTTCTCATTTTACGAGCCATGAGTCAACACAGCACACGTAAATGATATTTTGACACAGAGAGCCATGAATAATGCATTTGAATTTACTTTTATGCCAGAGTTGGACCCCTCTCAGCACCCTTTCTCTCCCTCCCAATCTCACCCCATTCCTCTCCTCTTCTTTGAGCCCCAACCCCCACCCTTCCTCCTCTTCCTCTCCTCACTATTCATCCTCATCAGAGCTCAACCTCATTTCTCCTATCCTGGCCCCTCCCTCTTTTTCTCCTCTTCCTCCTGCACCTCCATCAGACAGCAGATATCAGACTCCAGCGTCAGTATTGAAGATGTGCTGCATCTGTGTTTGTAACTCAGGTTTTATTCAGGCTGCACATCACTCATACAGTATTTCTCTAATCCTGAGAAAGGAATTGGGGTACACAGGCTTTTATTTATCTATTTATTTATTTTTGGTTGTAAAATTTGTTTTTAATTAAACCTATAATTTGATGGCATTGCTACAAGTTTGATCAAATTTGTATGATAGTATTTTTGCATAACTTAAATTGCAGGTATATTTTAATGTCTCTTTTAACTTTGAGGGGATTTTTTTCTTTTTTCTTTCCTGAAATTTAATGTTTTTATTATGTCATTTTTTTTGTGGAAAATTCTAAAAACGGTTACCTGTGTTGTTTTTTTTTGGTTTTATTCTTTTCTCTTCTTTCCCTTTTTTATTTTTGGATTCTGTGTGAATCATTTTGGTAACATGCTTGTATGATGGATGCATTTCTAATCCAGTGAGAATGGACTCCACTATCTGACTTACTGACCCCAAAATTTTCAAAAGTTAAGTCAAACTAGAAATGTAGATGGTTTTATCTCTGTAATGCTGACAGAAATATTAACTTTTTTTTTTTTCAAGTAATCATCCATTTTGGAGAGTTGGAGATTTTACATGTGTAGCTTAATACTAGCACTCCAAATAAAGGCCTCCGAGGTCACTGAGGTCCTGTTGAGGCCAACGCTACTCACTGATTCA